ATTTCGTAAGAAACTACATTTCTTTGGCCTGTTTAGGCCATTTATCACACGATAAATCCTAAATAAATATATTGGTCAATGAAAGAACTATTTATAAGTAAGCAAAATTACTAATTAGAAAAATTAGAATGTACGAAAACCGAAAAAAGGAGGATAAAATGTATTATCAGAAAACATAAATGAGTTTTGATAAAAATCAACTATTTTGAGGAAAATAAACCAAACAGATAATTGAATAGTGGTCTTACACAACCTAAAAAGAGATAATCTAGAAAGAAATCATACCACGCATTAGATAAAAATAATTCTTGAAACCTATCATTCGATTTATCTCTTCGTATTTACTCCGAATCCTAAGCTTTGGAATAATTAGTTAGACCTCTTTTTTTCTCTCGAACCACCTTTCTCATGTATGTAGTTGCTTAACTCTCAAATCCATCGTTGGTTAAATTGCAGAATGCTTCGATATTGTTGTGGTGGTAGGGTTGATCAAAACCGGGCTCAATATTTGGAAGGTGCTGCCGGGAATGTTTTCTAGAAAGCCAGATTAGTTAAATATTGGATCATGTGATGATTGTGCACTTTTTGAAGAAAGGAGACAAAAGAGGAGAATAAATCATATGGGTACTTTGGTTTCAAACTAAATCAAATGTCCTCCTTTCCCACGACTGAATTAAAGCAGCAAACAAAAAGGACATGTGTAAAATTATTTTTCCCGTCAAAAGCCATTTTCAGTATAAAATTTTTTTGACACGTGGCACTCTAACTAATCAGAAAAAAAAAGATAGAATACATAAATACATAAATCCCTTAATTATAGTTACATAAAAATATCTTAATTATAAGTATATACTAATCCCTTAAAACAACAATATTTAGTTGATAAAATCAAACGTAAGGAAATTCCCTTAAATCAAGTGAAACAATCAAATCTAAGGAAATTCCCTTAAATCAAGTGAAACACCAGTAATGTCTTCCTAATACCCAATTTCAAAGAATCTCTTCCATTCCGCTCTTCTTTCACACCCGGGTCTTTAAATCAATTACTTAAAATCTAACATCAATTATCAATCTATCTCTTTCTGCAACAGAAAAAAAAACTGTCATAAAGAAATTTAATTTTTTAAGGATTTTTTTTTTATTTTTTCTGTTGTAGATATTGGTCTATGATTTATGTAAACCCGAGCATAAGTGTTATAAATTAAATGTTGTAAATCTGTGCATAAATTTATGTCTAATAACTCACTTTTTGTCCTTTAAATCGATTTTCTATTCTTCTATTTTTTTTTATTCTTTTAAGAATGATTTGTATTTTTTATTTAATCAATTTAAAAATACAGGCGACTCCTCGGGCATTCGCCCGGAACAAGCATCTAGTTTGTACTAAAGACAGTACAAAATTCAAAACTCAATATGGACTATTTTTGTGGGACGGAGGGAGTATTTAATTTGGGTTTTGTTGCAATTAAAAAGTAGGGTTGATCAACTGTATTTAGGTCACCATAGGACATCACTTATCAAAAAAAAAAAAAAAGAGTGCATTCACACGGGCAGAGCTGCTAAATTTGTGTTTTTTTCCAGAAGGGAAGGAAAAAGTGAGATAAGCAAAACTTAGTACAATACAAGTACTAGAATATAATCATCAAATCCTGATTCCATAACAAAAAGCAATACAACATTGAATCAATTAGAAATCATGAGCATTTCTGAGATAAGAGTCGACCCAAATGACAACTCCAATTACTAGAAGCATTAGTTAAATCAATACTGAAAAGAATATGAACTTCGTCTTTCGAAACATCACCAAAGAATCTGATAACACAATAGCATAAAATCTATGGATTACGCGCGACAGTTTTTCTGCGAATAAATTTTTCTCCATTTTATTGAATTCAAAATTAGCCTAATTTTATTTACCAAGAAGGGGGGACCACCAATTTCAAGACAGTTCGATGGATGATGATTGGGAGCGACATTTTTTTTGCGAATGAATTTTTCTCCATTTTATTGAATTCAAAATTAGCCTAATTTTGTTTACCAAAAAAAGGAAAAAGAACCCCCCAATTCCAAGACAGTTCGATGGATGATGATTCGGAGCTGCATTTTCTTTAATGTCACTTTAATTCATTGTTAGTAATTGATTAGCTTGTGTAATATTTATATTATTTTCTCTGTATGTATATTGCAACCTGAAAATTTTTACACTCAAAAAGAATTATTTTGCTTAGTAACTATTAACAATATATATGAAACAAACCCTATATATATTACAAATGAACTCAATATAAATGGCCTCATTCGATTAATTACTTCTCTTTGTTATTATATTTACAATCTTAATTATAAATCACATCCTTTTTACCCTATTAAAGCAAAAAACATGAAGCTTATGTGGCAACTACGTATGCATCTGTTTTGGCTCCAATGCACTATATTTCAGATTTCATGAGTCTTTTTGCCACGTGTAAGTCTTTTTTAATTAGAAGCTATATAATTTTTTTTAAAAAAAAAACACACATGTTTTACTACAAATAAGGATCAGTTACATTTCAAATGAATGGATATATTAATTCAAATTCAAATGTCCAATCGTATAGTTTTGCAGGCTTAATATAAACAAAAAAATAAAAATACCTAAATCCAGCAATTAAGAATAATGCCTTATAAACTAATTATTTATTATTCCCTTATAGCCTCATATTTATAGGTATATTTTTTAAGCCCCACCCATAGCATAAATGATATATACGCCAAATTAATTTCTCAAAAAATAGTAATTCAATTAGATTTTAATAAAATAGTAATTTAAAAGGGGCGCCCGGGCATCTGCCTGGGCCAAACATCTAGTTTATTATTAATAATATTAACAAAAGTGTTAAGGGTAAAAGAGAAATACATGAATCTGATTGCACATATAAATGAATTGGACTACAAATCATGATTGTAAATGAACCTAATAAAAGGCTACAATAAGGGCATAAGACCCTTATAATTTCCCAGTTTTTCTTCAAACTGTTACGTCCGCAAATGTAAACCCTTCAAAGAATTTAGCAACACCAGAAAAACAAATCCAAAAATTTCAGAAACTAGCTTTAGAAGATTCCCAGAAAGATACACAACCATGATTACGTAGAGGAGATCAGTCGTCAAATTCCTTATAATTCATTTAACCATTACCATCCATAATATATAGCTTCCTTGTATTAAGTCATCAACTTCTTCAGCGGTCAATTTTTCCCCAAGGTTTGTCATTATATTGCAGAGTTGAGCAGAGGAAATGAAGCCACTTGGATATCCTTTTCAAACAACTCAAAAGCTTTGATAATTAATTTCTTCCTCGGAGGTGGTATCCTTCCTGTTATTTGCCAGCAACTCCGAAAACTACCGCTAGTTTTTACATATATATATATATATATATATATATATATATAATCAAATCTTATACTCTAGAAATGGGATGCTAAAAACAATAATTGATTGATGAAAAAAAACTGCTTCAACCCAATATCATCTTCCCGGTCACCTTCAGCGGCATTGGTGTTTTTCTTCGAGCCATCAGATTTACGATCAACAAGTTTTGGTCTTTTCCTCTTTAGGGACTTCAACGAACCATACTTGACCGCCATGATCATCAAGATCGAATCCGCCTGATGTATCTCTTAAGGGTTCTTGTAGATATTTTGGTCTTCATTAACATGGAGGATTATTGCGGGAACAACTTTGGTGTTCCATCATCAATATGAGCACACAAAAAAAAAGAAGAGCGAATACTACAAAATGTTGAAGAAATTAAAGGAATCGAACTGGGCAACATTCGCAGTAAATTCTGTAGGCTGATTTTAGGAGCTTTAGATGAATGGGAATGAATGTGAAACGAAAATATCAGAACTACAGCCGCGAGAAAATATCTATGATGATTAACTGAAGAAGAGGAAAGAGTAACCAACCCCAGTAAGAGCCCTGGTAAATGGTAATTACACATCCGCCCTATTCATTTTATTAAGATCACAAAACTGTTCAAATTGATAGCTCCTTTGATATAGGCATCTGCTTTGGAAATCGATCCATTGGGTCAGTTGACATGGTTATAACGTTAGATGTAATTCCAAAAGTATAAACTCATATTTGTTGTATAAAAATAATTTAATTAATAAGACTATTATTATGAGAGGTGACAGTACTTATGTTATTCGTAAGAAAGAAAAAAGATTTCATGGAAAAAGTGATTAGTACTACTGGTCGATTCGATGGTCAAATAAATTTTCTTAAATGTATCACGCAAATATAAATCATACGTTTACATAAATGGTTTTTGTTGCTGGAAATAGTTTCAAGTGGGATTGTCGGTGGAAGCCGTAATTTAACGATTTTGATTATTAATTCCATTCTGACCGATGAACCCTAGATTGTAAGGCAATATACACAAGAATGCAACCATTGAGGTCATCACAGAGTATTTTAGTGAGATTCCACCACTTCTATTTTCAATTAAATAGGACGAAATCATTGAGTTGCGTTATGTCAAATTTTTTAGCTATACCCATATTCATCAATTTGCTCTCAGAAACTCATCTCTTTGCTTCCATCAAAATATCCTTGTGTCAACTAAATCAACGTACTTTTAAAAGACTTGTTCAACTCCAACGAAATAGTACTGTACATGGAAAAACGCACAACTTGCGACTACTTTCGCTTCAACTAAATCACCTCTCCTTTTTTGTTAACTCTATCGAAAGATTTAGAGACATGGACCCATATGACTTGTATATCATGGAGCTGGCGCTACTTGAGCCCTGGAACTCATTCACACGTTACTTTCCGCAACTGCTGGAAAAGCTGGATCGAATAAAGTTTCTACGTGTTTAGAGAGAATATAAAAATTTCGAAGAATCTCTTGCGATTTTGGGGCTTTCTTTATAGTTCCTTGTGTAATGTCCCAGTAAGACCAATAGAAGCGGTCCATCCTCTTGTTCAATGTTTGAACGAGATTTTGGGTACTATTAATAGCACAACGCACAATAGGTTCTCGTTCTAATTCTGGATTGGAGATTTCTGGATGGTATAGAGATGTTGGCCAAGTTGTATAAATGATTTTTTCCCACTCCTTTAGTAGCTGGAGCGTTATCACAGTTAGTGCTGATCAACCTCCAAATCTCTGTCCCAGATGCATCTGCAACCACCAGGCCATTCATCTTCATCAAAGCAACACATTCTCTGACCTCAGTCATATTCCATATATTTACTTGTGCATGTGTTATTTCTTCTGGAAGACGTATAAATCTAAATCTTTCTTGGCCAACCGAGAAAACCATGAGAGCCAAATGTTGTGGATATCCAACCATAATGTAAATCTCATCCTTTAAGTAGAGATTTGGGTTAGTGGGGAACCACATGAGAGTCATGTCCTTGATCGCCTCTCCCGGAATATGGTGAGTGATGTCTCTCCATGACGATTTAGCTCCTTCTAAAGTAATGACTTGCATTTGGAACATCCCTTGAAGAAACTCAATCCTTTTGCTGTGAGTACTGTATTTCATTCTAAGACTTGATTCCTCCGGGCAACCAACACAAATACTTAATACCTTGTATTGCTTAGTAGACGAATCAAAACCTAAGTAGTGAGCATTCTCAATTTTAGCCCTATTGCTGCCTCTACGAATGATGGACATTTTAACACATTGGGGTGGAAGATCAAATCTTTTTCTTATAGTGGGATTCCATATCATGTTATCCAGGCATATTAGGCCTTCCACGCCTGCTTGACAATAACCATTGCTACGTCGTATCATGAGGGGGTTGTCGTTTATTGGAGTTGGAAGGGGCATCCAATTTCCTTTTGCATCAACTAATAACAAAAATTCGCGATCATAGGTTACACCATCGCGCAATGTTATCTTCCCATACTGGCTAGCAAGAAGTTTGACTCCACCCCGTCGGTGATGTGATTGGATACGGTGCATGTCAATGAAGGAAGGGTCGTCTATTATACACCGCCAGGACTTGCATACACACCGGAACCTCAATAAGGATTTAACCGGAAGTTTCTTAAGAATGTTTAAGATAACTGTGTGTGGAATAACATCAACATTAGTAGTTGATGAGAATCTCGTCTTCTTCTTCTTCAAAGGAGCAATGTTATTATCATGCATATTTTTGCTGAGCGGGAGTTGATTGGAATCCATGGGTTTTGCTGAATTTTTCCTTGAATAATTTAGTTATTGAGGGTCACGGGATATACTTATATATTCTTTTAATTCACCTATTCTTTGAGAGCAAAATGGACAAGGATCAATTAATAATCTATGTCCTAATCGCAAAAGGACTCCGTCCCAATTAATATGCTTAATCTATATCCTCGATTCTTCACTGCTTCCTTCCTTCTAATAATCCCTTTTAGGAATTGAAAACTTTAAAAAATATATCCTCACATGTAACCAAAAAATAATAATAATAAATAAATCCTCACAGTCATCGACTAAATCTATTTGTTGTGAATTAGAAAAAGTAATAATTTTACCTTTAGGAAATTGAAACCAGTTATCCTATTTGCGTTTGCTTTAAATATTTTAAGAGACATCCTCAATGTCTATTTTAAGTTAACTCGTGGGTGAATCTGCGCGGTACGGTCATGGCAACCAAGTGCTATTTTTTGCCTATAATTTCTTCGTTTTTGTCTTTTCAAACTTCTATGTATTGTACTAAGTCAGCTAGTGCGAGGCTTTCGTATTCTCTTGGAAATCATACGATGATACTCTCTCTGTCTTATGAAAATAGTATATATTGTATTCCATAAATTATATTGAAAACAATATTATTAGCAAAATCGCCTAGGGTTTACAGTGTAACAATAATATTGTTTTCACTTCTCCTTTGAGTTGAACCTACGTGATGATCCCCGGAAAATCATTGGTCGTGAGATCATATGGGGAAATTGTTTTCCGCCGAACAACCTCCGTCGAAGACTCATCAACAGGAGGACGAGAGGAACTAGAATCGATTGAAGGAATTTCTGTTTGCGAATTTTTAGTCATGGCAACAGGAAATAGAATGAAAAACATGCGATTGATACCATGAAGAAATGTAATAACAAAGGATTTTGGGAGCCAAAAACCCTTGGCCTCTCTATTCACACTTAGGGTTTGTATATATAGACAAAGGTTAACGATGATTAGATCATCGTAAAAGAATAATTACAATGTTACAATGTTACAATGTAAACCTAGGTAACTTCCGTAATCTGTACATAATTAAATATCTCTTGATGAGTTTAGAATCTTGAACGTAATTAGTCAGAAATTAAATTGAGCAATTTGATTGGCCAATTAATTCATATGACGTCGTCAAATTTAAATTGAGCTCTTTGATTGGTTAATATATTAACTTGACATCAGTCATTTAAAACAAGGTTGTAATTGTCAATTACTAAAGTTGTTTTTTATTTTTTGCCAACCAGGCATCCAAAACGACGTTGTTTCATTACCTAATTTCATAAAACCATCTTAATTTATAGCGTAACCATTTGAAATGAATTCATATTTACATGATTCAAAATGGTCATGTGTGGCGCGACGATAAAAAATCTAGTAATAAATATAATTCACCATATATAATATGAAAAATATTTTTGTGGATTAGGAAAGAGTACCTTTTTATATAAGTCCCGAACAATTAAGATTTTGCTTTTGAACAAACAACTAAACTATAAAGTATCAGGAAAAGGATTCCAAATTAAATCACCCTTTTAAATTTTATTCGAAACACCATTAAGATTGAATTGTGTATCCCTTCTTTAGTTCATAATCGATTTCTTGCTTATGCATACATGCATGCGTACTGTTTGGCCGCTTCAGTTTGGAGATAAAAGTCTTATTGTCGAAAGATTTGCGTGTGCAGTATACTTGTTTTTTGGTATACTTGGAACTGCATGCAGAAAACGAGAATATGTATGTGATGGATCTCAACACTTGTTAATTGAATCAGTGATATCCATTGATGGATCAGTGATTTTCCACCAACACTTGTTAAGCTTTCTTCCTGCAATCACCACAGATGTAAGTGCCAATTTTGGGTTGGGCCCGGTTAAATACTCTGATGCCGAAGTTAGATGGTGAACGTGAAGATAAGTGCTTATGAACTTAGAAGGATTGTAACCCTAACCTTGGAGAGGCAGAAGTAAGGTATATATGGGTGGAATCCGACTTGAGATGAAGGGTCTAGATCATTTGAGGAGCATGTGCCGTTGAGGTCAAAGTTTCTTTAGTCGGTTGTGTCATTTTTCTCCGGCAGACTTGCTTCTCCAAGTTGCTTCCTCTGTCTTCTATACCAGAAATGGAGGTGATAGTCGTGTGAGGTCAAGATGACTCTTTTCCCTTAGTAACAAAAAATGGTAGTTGCTGGTCCCCAAATCTGTCAAGTGGACGATCCGAATTGAGCCATTTTATATGGGTAACCCGATCAGCGTTTAAAATAGGTTGACCCTTGTCTTATTAATTTGACCATGGGTCCCATCATCCACTAAAAAAAATGGCCGCATTCCACGAATACCATGGAAATGAAGCTTTCCTTATTAATCAAAGTAAAGTTTCATCCTATTTCGCTTGTCTATAACAACAACTTTTTGGATTTTGAAATACTCCAAAAAATTTTATAAGTGGAGCTTAGACCATCTATTTAGGGCTAGTAGTACTCTACTCTGTAAATTTTTTTATACTTTGGAAAAATTAAAAGGCTTTTCATCACTGAAGCATGCACCCACAAGTGTTACTCTTTGGGGGCCTGTTTAGGTCCATCTTCACATTTGATTTGATGAATGAAGAGTTTTTTGTTGTGTAAAATTGCATTAATTTGTGATTTGACCCAGCCTCAGGCCCTTTTCATTAGTTGATTTGAGATATGTTGCAATGATGTTGCAAGCTTTGTAAATTAATTTACCAAGGCTAGCCAAGTACTTAATGCGTTTCAAAACACGAATCATACTAATTTCGTATTTGATGTGTTGTTGAACATATGGAAATGCAAGCATTGATGGACGGAACAATAACATCTGAACCCTCGAGGGAGGTATATGTGTAGTGTGTTAAAGAACTCATATCAATGAATCTGATTACACCCACTATGATATGAATGAATATAACTAAACAATCCTACAGTACCAATGAATGAAGTAGAAAGTTTTCTTTTTCACTATCCAATTGACCAGTATTTAACCACTATTTATTCTCCCCCAGTTAAATTCGGATTAGGTTGTACTAACCGTGACCTTTTCTTCCATTTCCTTTTCCTCTTGGTAGCTTTCTCTCTTTTTCTGGGAATCTCTCACTTTGAGCTGAGTCTCCTTCTCTTGTCAGTTACCCCTCCAAACTTGAGCTAGTAAGCTCATTGAATCTAGAAATGCACTCAGAAACTTTCACTCCCATCCGCAATGAGATAGTTTCAAGTTGACTGTTATGTTGTTCTGCCAAAGACAAGAGGACCTCCTCATACCTGGTCATTTAAGGGCCTTGTTTAGCAGAAATGGTGTAACTTTCATTCTCATTATGATGATTTCTACGTTGATCATCATCAATTATTTACCTTCCTATCACTTTAACCAACTCCGAGAAATTGATTCTTTCTCCCAGGTCGGGATTGATGATAGTACTATGCTATAGTGGGAGTATCACCCACTGATCTCATCAATTGTGCCAACTGATGTGTGGTGATCACACCATCTTTGTCCTTGTCCAAGAGGTTGAAAGCATCTTTGCACCTCTGCATCCCCTCATTGATAAATTTTTCTACATCATCAGTACCTTCCAAAACCTTCTTCGCCTTTTCTTTGCGAAGATTATAAGCCCACTGATCATCATTCATGTGGCCGATAACTGTGATATACCCGCCAAATTTTATACTCTTACCGGAAGCTAAAAACTAGATCCGCTAATGAAAAAAACAAAACTGATCCAAATTGAAGAAAACTCTTTTTTACTAATTAGATATGTTACCATCATAATGTCTCAGAGCTGCCAAGATCAACGTCGAGTAAACTGCTCGTAACGAAATAACGAATTCAATATAAAATTTTAGGATTATTTTGTTATTATACTTCCATCCCTTGATTTTATTAAATTTATAAATATTTAATTTCTAGACAACTCGATGGATGATGGATTAGGCGCGACATTTTTTATGTGAATAAATTTTACGCCGTTTTATTGAATTCAAAATGAGCCTAATTTTGTTTACTAACAAAAAAAAAATTAAGACAGGTCGTATGGATGATGATTAGGAGCTGCATTTTTTAAAATGTCATTTTAATTCATTGTTAGTAATTAACTAACAGAAAACAATCAGAACTATCGCAAGACACTTCAATCTTGGGTGTTTCTTCATATAAGGAACTAATTATGGACGATGAACTGAAGAAAGAAGAGAAAGATTAAAATTCAATGAACGGCAAATCTTGACTTTTTCAGGCAATACTGCTCATGAGAGTATAAACTAAACTGTAAAAACGTTTCAAGAGTCCTTTGTAATTACATTTCGGTCCCTTCATTTCATTAAATTCATAATTGTCCCATTTTCTTGACATTATATTTGTAACTTTTAAAGCCCCCCAAGACGTAATAGTCTATATGTTTGTAACATGCATTTAAAAGAACCAAAATAGAAAAAAGGTAGTGTTGTCTGTCTTGTGATTTCTAAGTTTTCTTAAAACAATGCAAAAACAAAAAATTAATAATAATAAATTTTTGTGAATTCATTCATATTGAATATGGATAAATTCTGTTTCAAAAGTAAAATTTTCTCAATGTATATATACAAAAGAATATAAATGCATCGGGGAAGCGGAAGATTATAGCCGAGGTGGACAATTTTATTGTTGTTCAATTCGTGACGAGTGAGAGGAAGTATAAGGCATGCATCGGAGCTTAGTGATGGCAATCCAAGAACTTTTGCTTATGGATTGATTGGTGGAGCTGAAGAATATATAAAGAGAGCTGAATTTTGCTGGGGACTCACTGGCGACATTAGTATCATCTAGTCCTAGTGGTTTGTTGTGGCTAGAGGAGCCACCACATGTGGTAAAACCGTGGTTAGAACATGATATAATTGAGATTTCTTACCAGTGAGCAGTAGTTACCTGATGAACGCCTCCTTTTTTGTACCAAAAAGAATATAAATGCATCCAGTTACCAGAATGTAGTATCCCGGCCGATTCTATTAAAAAAAGGTAGATTATGAACTGGCTGTTACAAGTTATAGCACTATCAAAAATGATAATCCAAATTGTTGAGAAACTACATCAATGAATCTGATAATTATAGGTACGGAATTAATCAAACCCCAAAAAAAAACCCTATTCCCATGGACAAATGAATAACAAAGCTGTTGAAACCTTTCGTAATTCAATAATATAGAACCACATGAATTTTCACCTCAAAACCAATTGGCAATTAGAGAAGTAGCTCAAGCACTTAGAAAATTGATAACAGTCTTTCTCAGCACCGATGTGTGATTCTAAACTCCCCCGAAGGCCCAACAATTTTTTTCTTTTTTGTTGGATTTAGCCTTTTTTTTTTATGTCTAGGACCCATCTTACGTATCAGCCCTATTAATTTTATCACATCAAACTTTTTCAAATCCTATTTTTCCTATTTGGCTCTAATAGCATATAAAACCCCATAAGGTTTCACCTCAAAACTAATTAGTAATGAGGTGCGTATCCAAACCACTTATATATTGATATCCAGTCTCTCCCAATACCGATGTGAGATTCTCAATAAGTATTAAAGACTCTGTAAGCTCAGAAGAACTCAATATCTTAATTTTCCAACTCAACGAAGAACTTCAAGCTAGTACGATACACTTAATCATTATCACACTATGTAGAGGTTTGAAGGGGTTGAAATGGTTGAAGGGCTTACTACGCAGTCGTGGAGTTGCTTACTCTCAACCCTTGCGCCTTCATTGTGACAATCAAATAGCGTTGCGTATTGTTGCCAATCCAATCTTTCATGAGTGCACAAAGTATATTGAAGTTGACTACAATTTTGTGTGTGATGCTATGATGCCCTCCTCACTGATCTTATTTCTACTAGTTACGTGTCTACTTGAGAGAACTAAGGCACTTGATAAACGGGAGTTTGACTTCTTTCATGGCAAGTTACACTTCAAAATTCCCATATTCCAATTTGAGGGGATGTTAGTGTACATATATAATTAGGATCTATTTTTGTACTTAAGGTAATTACTCCTTTACTATGTACAGTTACTATTTTACATAGATTAATCTTTGCAACTACATAAACCATAATTTATATATATATATATATATAAAATTCTATGGTTCAGTTATTAGATTTTGACTGAACCATTCATTTAGTACATATTTAATTAAAACATAACATGTCATTTCTAATAATGGGGTGAGAAGTATTCAAACAAATCTATTTCTAATCCTTACCTTTGTTATTAATTGGAAAAATAATTACTTAATTTAAAAATAAATGTAAATTTTCTATTAAAGTAAAAAGTCTTGTTATCTTCAACCTATGCCGTCAGATAAACAACATCCGCTCTGACTATATATCTCCGGTGAAATCACCCATGAGCTGATTCGCCTGTCTAATTCTTTTTTTTTTTCAATCTTTTTTATCAGGGGAAATAATCTCGGATGAGAATTAACTTTTACCAAAAACTGTCGCAACCTTCAATGACTTGTTCATTAGTGAAACTCTATGTTGTTTTAGCAAACTTTGCAAAGCACCCAAAATCTTTGTTAGGCATCATTCGTTAAACATCTTAAACCCAAATGGGTGGAATGTTCAATTTTTGTTAAGTTGAATACATGTGATGATGAATTCATACTAAGAGCCAAAGAAATTTGAAAGATCAATAACTTATACCACACTTAGCAGAGTCGGTCATTGTTGTCTTCAATCAGGGCTAAAAAAATAAACACTTAGCAGAATCGACCATTGTTGTCTTCAAATAGGGTTCAAAAATAATTTTTGATCTCAAATATAACAATATAGGACAACAATAGACTTGAATTAAATTCTGAAAAATAGATAAAGGCAATTGATGGTTTTATAATCAAAGCCGCAACTCCACCAACCAAAAACTTAACCCTAATTCCATTTTTAGAACAATTGCAGATTCACAAATTAGAAAAGTAATCACAAATTTACTCCCGATTTGTTTATTTTCTCTTCAAATTTAAATTGATCGATCGGTGATTGACGAGGTCTTTTGTGGAAGTAAACATTGAGAGAATCAGCAGAAATGAAAAATTAGATATTTGCGGAAGCTCTAATTTTTGCTTGGTGAATAATGTTCAATTGTTGATGAATTGTTTTTTTGGTGCAAATGATCTTGACAAAGTGAACATTTCGTAATTGTGTAAGAGGGAGTTCGTCGGAGAAATCCTTTGAGATACAAAAAAATATGGACGTGGGATGTCTATATTGTTTTAAATGTTGTATAATTATAGATAAAGGTAATATTTAATTTTTTAAATTTTAAAAAATCTAAAAATTTTGATAATTAACACATTAGATAAAATCATATGTGTCAAGTAGAGAACCATCTAGCTTTCTCTCTTTGAGTTTCTATTAGTATATTATATATACATAGATAGATATAAATATATAGATATATACATATAATTACAGATAATCTTAATTAGTACTCACTCAATTCTTTTTTATATGTCGTTTTAGAGTTTAGGAGATTTTTTTAAATATATATTATTTTCAGAAATCGAGACACATTTGACCAATTTTTATCAATATTATCTTTGTATTGGAAGTAAAACAGTATTTATAATAAATTTTTATTGATTTGTAATGAGTTGTATGGACAATAAATGAAACTATTTTTGTATTTCAGCTATATTATATTATAATACTCCTAAAAGTCTATTTTTCTTAGTTTTGATGAATTCTCCATAAAGAAGTAAAGTATCATACTTGTAAAAGACTTTTTCAAATACTACAAAATAGGGCATGGAAAAAACACACAAGTTGTGATTACTTCTATGTCAACTAAATCACCAAATTCTCTTGAATGCTTCAAAAACTAAATTACATTATACTTTTGCCCAACTTTTTGGGGATGTGGGATCGAATAATGTTTCGACGTGTTTAGAAATGATGGAGTAATATCCAAGAATCTTCTGTAGCTTTCGGGCTTTTTTCATATTTCCTTGCGTGATGTCCCAGTAGGAGTAATAGAACTTGGTCGCCGTCTCGTCCAACGTTTCAACGAGATTCTGGGTGCTATTAATAGCACAAAGCACAACAGGTTCTCGTTCTAATTCTGGATTAGAGATTTTTGGATGGTATAGATATATTGGCCAAGTTGAATAAATGATTTTTTCCCAATCTTCTTTAGCAGCAGGAGCGTTGTTATGAATACTACTAGTATTAGTGTTGATCAACCTCCAAATCTCTGTCCCAGTTGCATCTGCGATTTCGTCGTTATTCATCTTGATTAGAGCAACACATTCTCTGACCTCAATCAAATTCCAGAACTTTGATTCTGCATGTGTTATTTCTTCTGGGAGGTGTATAAATCTAAATGTCTCTTGGCCAACCGAGAAAACCATGAGAGCCAAATGTTCCGGATATCCCACCACAATGTAAATCTCATCCTTGAGGTAGAGGTTAGTGGAGTACCCAATCAGAGTCATGTCCTTCATCTCCTTCTCCGGAATATGGTGAGTGATGTCTCTCCATGACGATTTAGTTCCTTCTATGGTGATGACTTGCATTTGAAACATCCCTTGGAGAAACAAACCACCTTGGCTGTAACGGTTTCCAAGTTCTGATTCCTTCGGGCAACCAACACAAATACTTAAAACCTTGTATTGTTGAGTTGGTGAATCAAACCCTAAGTAGTAAATATTCTCAATTTCAGGTTCATTAGAGCCGCTGCGAATAAAGGACATGTTAGGACATTGGGGCGGAAGATCAAATTTTTTTCTTATAGTAGGATTCCATATCATGTTATCTAGGCATATTATGCCTTCCACACCTGCCTGACTGTAACTATCATACGTCAACGTCTGGCCGTCCATTGGATGCGGAACCTCAGTCTTGTTTCCTTCTTGATCAACTAACAAGAAATGTTGATCATTTTGGTGATTTCCCCTCTTCCTAGACCTCTTCTTGTTCTGCATTGCCAGAAACTTGAGTCCACCGCGTCGGTGACGTGATCGGAGACCGTACATGTAAACAAAATGAGGATCTTCTATGATACACCGCCAATCCTTTGATACACACCGGAACCTCAATAAAGATTTGGCCGGGAGTTCCATAAGAATGTTTAAGATAATGTCGGCTGGAATATTATCATAATCATAAGCAACTAATGATGATGAGTATCTAGTCTTCTTCTTCAATGGAGGAATGTTATCATCCAGCATACTATGGTTGATCAGTAGCCGTGAATCATCAACACATGAGTACGTAGTTTTGGGATCCATATATGTGGCTGGCTCAAGGATTGCTTGGTTTTGCGGAAAAATCTACCTTACGTTTATGGGGCTTAATAAAGGATTTTATATATATATATATATATATATATATATATATATATATATCATATATGTCACCTATTCATTTAAAACCGCAACGGAGAAGGATTACAATTAATCTATACCTGAATGCGAAAGGGTTTCGACTCCGAAACCGATTGGACTTCAGAAATAACGATTAAGTTATGCATGTAGGAGTGATGATTAAGCTTCCGATCACCTTCCATGCACCTTTATAGTCATACATCCAAATTAATTAATGAACGGCAACTTGCCGGAGAAGAATCAAAACTCAAGAAAGAATCCCTCGTAAGCCCTTTTGGATGAAAACGTACAGAATGAGTCTACTAGACTCAGCATCAATGTCCGGAACGATATTGGTTTTGGTAAGTAACCGATCGATAAAAACATTCCCCTCAATAATCAAACCAAGTTGTCTTCCTATCTTTCAAGTCGGCAAGAGCAAACTGAGATGAAACCAAATTCCTCAGCCGACTTTCCTCCAAATTCAAAGCTTCAAATCGATTTATATTAATATACTCCCACCACCCTTTTTATATGTCATTTCAGGATTTATTATATTTTTTCAAATACATGTAGTTCTCACAAATCAAGGTACATTTGACCACTTTTTTTTAATTGTAAATAAAAATAGTGTTTATCATGAATTTTTATTACTATGTGATGAATATATGAATAATAAATAAGAGTGATTTTATATTTTAACTACATTAATTACTATTTTTTTAATTTTGATGAATCCTCTAAAAAGACATGTAGAAAAGACTCGGTGTTGGTTTCTATGATTGTAACTTCCCAAATCTTAGGCGTGTTTTCACTCTGGTCATTGTTAACATATCTCCTAAAGGCTCTTTCCTTCCAGACCAGTTGCAGAAAACTACTGACGACGTCTTTGTAGAGGGATTCAGGAATAAAACAATTTGTGGTTTTATATAAGAATTAGACGTAATTTTGTGTTAGTTTCAGAACAAGCTTTTTGGGCAGCATTTGACATTGATCTCCTCGTGTCTGTGCCTGATCCTAACATTCTATCAGTATTGTTGCATATAATATCTCTCTGTTGCTAGTGACCATACCAAAAGTATGGCTTATAAAACTGGTTAAAGGTTTAAGAGAATGGCCATATTGATAGTTTACAATTGCATGAATGTAAATACTCACCCAAGTCTGCTAGTCTTATTTATGTGGCGTGAATTTGTATGAAAGTTTAGATTAGATTTGTACCTTATGAATAGACAGGAAAAATTCTTTCACTAATTGTTCACGAAACCAATATGAAGAGACAAATGACATAATAAAAATCCCCTTTCAAAATAAAGACATAATAAAAATCTTCCGTCCTAGCTGAGACCCGGATCGTGTCATACCCTTTAATTTGCAGGCGTGGCGTGTTGGCGGGCTGAATATGCCTAAATTTACATTCAAACACAGGAAATATCTGTCTTGTGTGGGTTGATTGGATTTGCAAGGATCGGTTGTGACTTGTGACAAAAAATTATTATATGCACTTGGTGTATTTTACTTTTTATCAGTATCGTACATTAAACCAATTACAATAAAAATAAGTAATCAAATATTTTTCTTGTCTTTCATGAATTTTTAATCAACTCCCTCTAAAATTATATATTGCATATGCTAATGAGATACAGTGACTGCACTGAATAATGTGAAACGAATTATTAAAGAGAAAAATTATTCATGATTGCAGTTTGATGTTTCTCGTTGGATCCCAGATTGGAGTAACATATTACGTACGTATCATATGTCACACCAGATACTAGACTAATTTACTATTTTAATTTATTTCTAAAATTAATGTACATATTGATTTTTTGTGGGAACCATTTTATCCTCCATTTCTACAAAAAAAAAAAAAACATTAGATTATATTGCTTCTGGATCTTATTTTAATACTTTTTGATTTCTCCTAAATTTCATTTATTGTGTTTTTGCAATTAATAATAAAATCTTAAGATGCTTTTTCTCTTTTATTGTATTCTTCAAATTATTATGAAGTTTTAAAATTTTATTTGTAATTGAAAAAATATGATAACTAAAACTTTGAATAACTAAATTATTTTATAATAAGGACCGGAGGAAATACGTTACAAAGGTATACTCTATGAGGAAAGGATGATTATGAAAATTATATATTTATATATTATATATATAAAAGCCTAAGGGATCATATCATAACAGGCCGCGGGTAAGAAACCCCGATAATAGTGTTCTAGCCTATGCACACAAATTCACTCAGACATCTGGCACTTTAAATGGCGTTTATTGGCTCACTTCGCCTCTCATTAGCACAACCTAGAATTCAATAAAATTACCAACTTAGTAATACATAAAATTAAGTAGGGTGCAAAATGCATGCAATTATGATGAGTACTTGGGTACCATGCACGTATGCATATATAATGCAACACGTAACTAGTTGTGTGATTAAAGCGTTTATTACATCAACAAAACAGCCATGGAAGAAGAGGCGGACTCTCTGAACTGTTCAGAGATCAACCTGTGGGCAGGATTTAGCATAGGATCTTTAGTTTATTAGATTCTCGGGTTGAGCATCCCTGCAGGGTATGACAAGATCAAAGACAGAAAGACTAATGCAATTCCTACATTATATATTATCCTTTCCCCAGAATTTCTAAATAATTTTATATTTGCTCCTTGCGGAAGATGTTTGGATAATTCGGAAAAATAGAAATTTTCAGTCTTTCATATTTAATTTGAAACCTCCCCCAAAAAAAAAAATTAATTTGAAGTTCCAGTTTTTGAATATCCTGATATGCCCTTGACTTGTCATTTAATGTATAAGTAACAAGGATTCTCTTTTGAAGTTTTTTTTCCCTTACAACTTTTTATTTTTTTCATTTACATAACATAAACTTTAATAGCTTGGAAAAAAAGTCTGACAATCAAACACACCCAAAATCGGAAGCGATTTCGTTATTCTTGTGAGTCTATCAAATGTTAATCAGTTTCGAAGTCCTTTTCGTAATTTGAAATAGATAGCTTAATCCTTCTCCATTGAAGTTTCAAAAGATAATCACATTAAACTCTATTCGATCCCACATTTCCAGTGGTTGCATAGAAGTAAAGTGTGAATAAGTTCCAGGGTTTAAGTAGCCCCAACTTCAAACTACATAGACGTCGTGGAAAAGGTGGACAGGTGATTTAGTTTGAAACCAAAGTAATCCTAGGCTTTGTTGTCTTCTCTCGCCCCCCATCCTATATGGATATCAACAGCGCTAGAAAAGTAGAATATCTATTGCCTCCTTTCTTCAAAAATCACATGATCCAATTAACCAAAATCTGGTGTGCCTATTCTATTCAATCACATGAGTGGATTTCATTTCATTTCTGGAAACCCTGGCCTCAGTTTTTTTTTTTACTAATTATTAATTAAATAACCTTAATTTGTACTACCTCCGTTTCATTTTATTTGTCGTTTTACGGTGAAACCAAAATTTTTTTTTATCTGTCGCATTTCATTTCCAATGCAGTAATACAGTTTTTCTAATTTCACCCTTATCTCTCTCTAGTTTTTATAACATATATTAATGACAATTACTTATTCTTTTACTTCAATTTTAAATTTTTGTAGAGTTCCAATACTTTAATTAGGGGCAAGAAAGACAATATACTTAAAAATTAAATAATCAATTATTGCTTCCTTAATAGTTGTACAAACCCTAAAGTGACAAATAAAACGAAACGGAGGTAATAGTTTATAGTGCACTTAGATTTTGTTCACCTTACCAAGATTTTTCATCGAACCCTATTCCAAGTGTATTCATTTGGTGTTGTTACATGCGCGTAGTAATTATAACGATTTTCATTTAAAAAGCAACATTAGGAAGTGAATGATTCAGCATAAACCAAAAAAAAAAAAAAAAAATCCATATCATGTCGATATAGGTTTGTCTTTACTACAGTATGTTTTCTCTTTTGTATTCCACCTCATTCACTCTGCCAAATCAACTATGGTTTGGCATTCTGAATGTAAAAATTGACTTCATATAGAGCCTGAATTGATGGCAGGAAAAACGCTGAGAAAGCTTGGAGATATTTGATTAATTAGGACCAAACTACTGGTTTCATTTCTGCTGTTGATATCTCCGCCCGACGAACAAGTCGTCTACGACTGAAAGTTTCACTTCTAGCAATACAAAAATCGTGGATTGATTTAATGATTCTTGAACCTCATCTTTTTCTGACTACCCGATTCATAATTCGACTCCTGCATTTCTTTTTTTATGCGTTGATTCAAATGGTGATATTTATACTAGACAATCTTTGATGCGAGCTAAGGTGTATATGTATATGTTATAAGATTAAAATGATGAATATGTGGATTTGTATTTTGACATTATATATGCAACTCAATGTTTGAGAAATCGTCCTTGTTAATTTGAAAATATAAGTGGTGAGTCTCTCTAAAACATTCTCATGACTTCAAAGGTTACATTTTGTCACAAGATTTTGTGTGATATATTTGTGTTACCATCAGTAGTACACTAGTTAAATTACTGCTTCCTCCGTCTCATAATTATTATTCAGTTTGAGTTTTTATTTTTAGTTCAAATTATAAAAAGTGAAATTTAAAACGTGGACAATAATTTGGGCCAGAAGGAGTACTATTTTCCCCGATCTTGTGCACATTGCCTTACAATCTAGGGCTCATCGATAAGGCAGCCTTCATAATCAGAATTAGTATATGACGGCCTTCACCGATATTCCGAAACAATAAAAGCCATTTATGTAAGCTTATGATTTGTATTTGCGTTAGTTTTTTCACTAGATTGAACAATCAAGACAACCAGTACATTAGTAAAAGTTCTATCCGTGAAATCTTTTTTCTTTTTCCATGACACAAGTATTCTCTCTACAACAAACATGAGTTTACTAGACCAAGGCAGTTTACATTTTTATAAATACTAGTACTAACATTACAAATGTCAACTGGCCTAATGGATCAATTTTACCAAAGCAGATGCCTAGCCTAAATCCAAAGAGCTATCAATTTCAGCAGCTGTTTTGTCTTTTTTTCAGAAAAAATGAATGGGCGGATGTGTAATTAGAATTGATAGCTTCATTAATCCAGGGCTCTTAACCGCTGACCGGGGTTGGCTGTGAGAAAGTCAAAGAAAGTTGATTTGGCGTTGACTCACTCTTTTTTTCTTACTTCTTCAGTTCATTCGTATAGAGAGATTCATGATTGAAATTTGTTGCTGTAGTCCTGATATCTTTGCTACAAATTCATTCCCATTCATCCAAATCTCCTAAAATCTTCAGCCTACAGAATTTACTGCCCAGTTCGTTTCCTTTAATTTCTTCAACATTTTTTGTATACTCTTCTTTTCTTTGTATAGAATTTGGCTTGTGAAATTAATGGAAGCTGTACGTAGTAGCTCTTAGTTTCTGGATGATTTGTCGTTACACACTAGAAGTAATCCCTGGAAAAGTTCAGAATGTGGTTAATAAATTCTTCTACTAAGAAATTCCCTGTTTTGCAGGTCAGGGATTTTGATTTAATGCAGGGCTTTTGAATCTTTGAGATTGATCTTTAGAACTGATTACGTACGGTTTTTAATTTTTTGGTCCTTACAGTTGATTTGGATAAATTTATCGAGGAGGAGAAGAAAAAGGTACAGAGATGCTTTCAACCAGTTCGACGAAACTATAACAAAGATGGTTATCAAAAAATACGTATGTATCTTTCATGTTTCAAATAAAACCTACAGCATGAATGAAATGAATGAACCGCAGAAGACCTATCAGAAGTCAGTATAAGGCTCTGTAAGCTCAGAAGAACCAAACACCTGAAGCTCCCAGTTTTCCTTCAAGCTCATCAAAGAATTTACCAGCACCAGAACAAGAAAAAACACCACCCAAAAGCTACTCAATTTCTCCACATTATGAAAAGTTAAAAATAAAAAACCTCAGAAAAAGACCCCACAGAAGATGCACCAGCCATTAGTCCATTACTGTTTGCCATACAGCTTCTTCACATACTCCTTATAGTTGATAAGACTTTATCATCTCATCAACTTCTTCATTTACTGTCTTCCAGTTGAAGACGGAGTTTTCGCTTTTTAGGCTGAACTAACCTCTTTTTCTTTTCTTTATACCTTTTTCTAAATTTGTCAGTTGCCAATTTTGAGCTCCGTCTCCTGTCTTTCACCCCCGCAATATTTGACCCTGTTAGTTGATTTAGCCTTGAAATGCAGGCCGAAGCTTCGACGCCCATCCTAAGAGATACGGTTTCTACCTGACCCGGATGGTTTCCTACCAACTGCACGAGTCTCTGATCATATTCGGACGTCCATAAAACATCTGCTTAGGCCAAGATAACATCTTTATTTAGTTCAAAGATTAATAAAAGGGCTCAAATTTAAGTGTTAATTTGATAAGCCACTCAAATTTCCCTCAAGAACTACGAAACCTTTTACGAAATTAAGCAAAGAATTGCTTCAAATAAGCTGATTAAAGGAGTTATTATTTTACCGCCTCCGCGTCTCGGAAGTGCAATCGGAACTCTTGTCGCCGGCGGTGGGGGGATTTCCCGAAGCCCTTCTCGGAATTCAACTCCGGAAGCATCACGAAGATACAGAGTCTTATTTGAATGCTCATCAGGAAGAACAAGACCATATAACGACGACCCTTGGATCTTGGAGGAATCAGGTGGATTGGAAGGACCTTTTGCTTCGACTTCCAGCTTCTTTTCTTCTTCTTTACGAGCATCACTGCGGGAGGAATCTTTTGAGTTAGCTGTATTAGTCTTCTTGGGACTTTTTGCTTCGACTTCGGGCTTCTTTTCTTCTTCTTTAGGAGTATCATCACTCCGAGATGAATCTTTTGAGTCTGCTGTATTAGTCTTCTTGCGGCCCCCCGCATTATTCCGTACATCATTCACCATTTTTCTGAGTGAATTCGTCATGGTTTCTTTGTTCCTCTGGTTTCTGATATGGGTTTTGATGGGGTTTTTTCTTGTCAGTAACTGAATAGCTATTAAGAGGAAGAAGAAGAAGAAGAAGAAGAAGAAGAAGAAGAAGTGGAGAGAAAATGAGGAAGACGATCAAAAACAGAGCATGCAGATGATGATGAAGGTGGTATGTGTGTGTGTGTGTGTGTTTTATTTCTGAACTGAATGAAGATTACAGTCTGTAGAGAGTGAAGGTTTATACTAAAAAAAAGAAGAAATTCAGCCAAATTTCATTGACTTTCCCCAATTGCAATAACCGCTCGTAACAGAGTAACCACCACAGAGGCAACAGTCGGCTACGAGCTCTGGAAAATTACACAAGAGCCCATTAATTGTTTGTTAAAGTCTGATTTAACTTGTAATTATGCAGTCTTTGATATTAGACCAATTCATTTGGTCCAAAAATAAATTATAAGCTGTCAAAATATGTTCTGAAAGCCAGCTAGACTCTTCGACTATGAGTTTATTTGCAGAGAACAGTTTGATGAACCGGAGAAGAAGACTGATTATAATTCAGTCAACGCCTAACTATCTTTTCCTTGACTTTCCTTCCAAACTCCATATATGCTCAGAGCAAATTAACCAACCAGTTAACTCGGTTTAAGAGTTTCTTGAATTACGTATCCGCCCCTCAATTTTATTAGAATCGGAAAAATCCTATTTTCATAAGAGCTCGTGGGATTTTTAAGTCATCGTTCCTGAATATTACTCCCTCCCGTCCTAATTATAAGGTACAAATTGACACAAAAATTAGTTCAAAATTTGTGTCTAACAATTAGAGCCAGAGTCCAAAGAGAGAGAATAGTATTCATTGGTCGTAGTATATGTCAATTTGTTTGTTTAATTCGACTAAAATGTCCCAAAGATCTATACATAAACATTCGATTTGGATGTAAGTATGATACGTCAAATTCTCAATGTTATTGTCCAGATAACACTAGGTTTCATAGAAATATATTTCTGCACAGAATACCTTAGCAATAACCTTTTTATGAATCCAGCATGCAATCAGAACAGAAATAATGTCCCCATTTAGAAGATCTTTCCATCTATTTTCAGCTGGTTTTCTTAACATCATCAATCAACGGCGTTTGGTCCGATTCGTCTTTCCAATGGGATGGAAGCAGGTTTCCATAACCATCATCCTCGCTAACTCCTCATAATTGATTTCCCCTTCACCATTCACATCAGCTGCACTAAACATCTCATCAACTTCTTCATCAGTCATCTTCTCTCCAAGGTTTGTCATCACACGGCGGATCTCGGCTTCTGAAACGAACCCATTTTGATCCTTATCAAACACTTTGAATGCTTCTTTAAGATCCTCCTCAGAGTCGCCGGCTTCTTTCACTGCCATGAAATTCAGGAACTCACTGAATATATTTTTACATTGTTGCTTTGGGTATGATTTTGGGCCAACAAAATAATACTTTTGACTATACAATCTTTTTTATTTCTTTTCTCTTTTCGATGAATAACATATGACAAATATCTTAAACCTGAAAAATAACATTGTGAATTGACATAACATATTTACATCTCGAATGTTTATGTATAGATCTTTGGGACATTTTAGTCGAGTTGAACAAACATATTGACATACTACTACTAACAAATATTACTCCCTTTGTCCCAAAAAATAATTCACATTGAGTTTTGAGTTTTATACGATTTTAGGTATAAATTTCAAAACTCAATGTGGATTATTTTTCGGGGACGGAGGTTGTACTATTCTCTCTGGTCCTAATTAAAAGCACAAATTTGGACTAATGTTATTGTCAATTGTGCCGTATAATTAGGACAAGAGGGGGGCTAAAAATCCCAAGTTCAAAAAACTCTTAAACCGAGTTAACTGGTTGGTTAATTTGCTCTGAGCAGATATGGAGTATGGAAGGAAAAAGTCAAGGAAAAGATAGTTAGGCGTTCTCTCTCCTCCGGTCCATCAAATTGTTCTCTGCAAACAAACTCATAATCGAAGCGTCATGCTGGCTTTCAGAACATATTTTTTGACAGCTTATAATGTATTCCACTTAAAGATTCATGGCGCAAAATTGCTCATCCAGGGATTGATTCGAGAACGTAACAACATTGTTGCTAAAAGTCTATGCTCAGGTTGAGAATTTTGGATCAATAGGTAGCTCCATCTTTTCCTTTTTGTACAAGTTTTTATCGCATTTGATCTAATATAATAAAATACAAATTATAATTAACTTAGTTGTAAGAACTCTTCATTCAACTTAAAAGCAGATTTCGTGACATTCGTAACAGATCATGCTCAATTTCTAATACAGTCATTTCTCATCACTTTTAAAAAATATGGATCAGATGAACCCTTATGCATCATTTCCCTCCGAAACACACACATACATATGACGAGGATGAAATCCAATTTTTTTTTTAAGCAATCCAATTTTTATTTTTTTTTTGGTCAAAAAATTCGTGAAATAATTTTTGGACCAATTCTTTGATTAATTGGTCTAATATCAAAGACTGCATAATTACAAGTTAAATCAGACTTTAACAAACAATTAATGGGCTCTTGTGTAATTTTCCAGAGCTCGTAGCCGACTGCTGCCTCTGTGGTGGTTACTCTGTTACGAGCGGTTATTGCAATTGGGGAAAGTCAATGAAATTTGGCTGAATTTCTTCTTTTTAGTATGAACTTTCACTCTCTACAGACTGTAATCTTCATTCAGTTCAGAAATAAAACACGCACACACACACACACACCACCTGCATCATCGTCTGCATGCTCTGTTTTTTATCGTCGTCCTCATTTTCTCTCCACCTCTTCTTCTTCTTCTTCTTCTTCCTCCTCTTAATAGCTATTCAGTTACTGACAAAAAAAACCCCATTAAAACCCATATCAGAAACCAGAGGAATAAAGAAACCATGACGAATCCACTCAAAAAATTTGTGAATGATGTACGGAATAATGCGGGGAGCCGCAAGAAGACTAATACAGCTGACTCAAAAGATTCATCCCGGAGTGATGATGCTCCTAAAGAAGAAGAAAAGAAGCCGGAAGTCGAAGCAAAAGGTCCTCCCAATCCACCTGATTCCTCCAAGATCCAAGGGTCGTCGTTATATGGTCTTGTTCTTCCTGATGAGCATTCAAATAAGACTCTGTATCTTCGTGACGCTTCCGGAGTTGAAATCCAAGCAGGGCTTCGGAAAATCCCCCTACCGCCGGCGACAAGAGCTGAGATTGCACTTCCGAGACGCGGAGACGGTAAAATAATAACTCCTTTTAATCAGCTTATTTTGAAGCACTTCTTGGCTTAATTTTAGTAGAAGGTTTCGTAGTTCTTGAGGGGAATTTGAATGGGCTTATGAATTTGTTCCATCTAGCAATTTTCTTTTTTTACATCGTCTTTTTTTATTCTGGACGTCAAATTAACATGAAATTCTTGAATCATGGGTTAGCCCTGAATAACAAGATTCTCTCTCACTTAAGTCTTGAAATTGATTTTTGTTCACTTTCAATTTTGGTATTTACAGGATCAACGAAGCCCATTTCAGCCGGTGTCCAATCTGGTCAAACTTCTTCTGCTGGGAAATCCCCTAAATTGACGCAATCAGGTAATCATCATTTTGATCGTCAACGCAAGGGGATGAATTTCTTTTTTTTCTTTTCTGTTTTTTTTTTTGGAGTTTCAATATTTTTGTTAACCTGGTAGAAGTTAATTAGGAAGGGCTTGTTTCAATCTTGACAGATGCTTGCAAAGTTATAAAACTTCCCCTTCGATGCGGCATTTGTGATAAAGGAAAACGAATAAAGGATTTGGAACTAACTGCTGGATGCCACCATTGTTTCTGCCATGAATGTATCAAGGTCTATGCTACCAGTAAGGTCAGGGATAAAGCTCAGAGGGCAATTTTTGTCGATGTGCGTTGCCCAGTAGAAGGGTGCGAGGAAAACTGGCAACCAAAAATACTGAGGAATTTTCTTGATGACGAAGTCAGAAAAATCTGGGAAATCAATCATGAGTTCTGGAATTCAGAAGATGCTCAAGTCGCTGGTTCTGGTGAATCTTCTAATGTCTTGTCAGAAAAGGATGCAGAGGAGAGCAGAAAAGTAGTTGGTGTCCTCCTTCGGTGTGCTACCGATTTGGACAAAAAGTTTGACGCTAAGAACCCAACAGGGCATCAAGATGGTAATTAAATTCATAGTCTACCATTTCTTTAAGCCCTTTCTTTTTTTAATCAGCTCTTGTTATTCTTCTGGGGATTTGGGAGGGGGTTGATTAATTTTATTCCATGCCCAGAAACAAAGTTTTTTCTTGTAAAATATGTCCAGTTCTTTTTGGTGATTGATATATATATTTTGGGATCTTTCTCACTTTGCGGTTTTGATTCCTAGATTATCAGCAATATGGCGATGAAGAAACCCAACGTAAAATTAAGCTCGCCTTAGGTATGAATACCAAAATTTTCACTTCAATAAAGAGCAATTGTTTGTTTACTGGTTGTGATGAATTCTATTTGGTCATAACAGAAAGGAATCGCTTTGGAAGTTCTTCTTCTCAAAGTGGTGGTGGTGCACCTTCTACTCAACGATCCCCGGATCAAAAAGGTACTATTTTGTTCTTTACCTTATCCTGCTGAACTCAGGGGATTCAATTTTGGCTTAAGGGTGCTGAATATCTCAATAATCTGATGATAATGAATTGACATTTCCCTGATGTGAATGTAGATGATGAGCAGAAGACTGTTGCAGAGCAATTGACTGGTGAGCAGATGAGTGAGTTTGCTGAAGTTTTTAGCATCGTCGACAAAGACAAGGATGGTTTCATCTCCGCAGAGGAACTGAGAACAGTGATGAGATCAATTGGTCAGAATCCCACTGAAGCTGAACTCCAAGACATTTTCAATAAGTTGGATGCTGATCAGAATGGAAAAATTGATGAAGCTGAGTTCCTGAAATGGATGGAACGAGTCATGAAGATTACCCTCAATGTGGAACAGCTTTTTGTAAGAGATCTTGAGGAATTTGATAAGGATCAAACTGGCTTCATTTCCACTGACAATTTCCGCCGTGTAGTGACCAGCTACCTTGGGGACCAGATGACTGATGAAGATTTTGTTGGTATGATGATTTCAGTTGATCCAAAAAGTACTGGTCAAATCAACTATAAGGAGTATGTGAAGAAGATGTTTGGACGCCGGTAATGGTTGTGCTTCTGAAATTTTTGCTTACCAAAGGAACAAATATTGAGTAGTTTTCGGGATTGCTGGGAGGATTCTTCGCAGAGCTTTTGAAGGAAAACTGGAAAGTTAATTAGGTGTGCGTTCTTCAGAACTTACAGAGTCTTACTGAATTCTTACAGGATTTCTGCTGTTAAATTCATTCTTGGGGTACAGAGGATTCTTCAGTTCAATTCATGATTCAGATCATATTGTAATCAGATTTTTGATTGTGGGTTCTCAACATTCTGGGATGTTGATGATGATGATGATGATGTTGGAACAGATTCATTTTGGTGATGCTATGATATATTGTATGATACATTTTGGTCTCAAATTTCATTGTGGTTTTAGAATCTCCAATCACACAGAAAGTGGCCAATGATTTCATTTTGATCTGATTATTCAATTTTGTAGGTCTTTTTTGTAGTCAATAAATTCAAGTTTTTAGCATACTGATCAAAGGGGAAGATCTTACTATCCTGCTTTGATAAATTTAAACGAAGATTCAAGTTTGGTGTTTACAGAAGTAAAAGAGCTCTTTTAGTCCATTTAGCTTGGGATGGGTAGGAGGAATATGGTTTTGTCAATTTTTTGGGTGGTCAATGTTTATCTTCAGTGGTAAATCTATTTTGCCAACTACAAGTGAATCTCTGTTTTTGCAACAGTAAAAGATAAATGTGATTCTTCCTAATTCCCCAAACATAATGGTTTGAAGAAACTGACTAATCGGTCTGTCTGTCCCATTGTACTACTTTAGTTCAATAAAATAAGATTAATGGAGTAGTAACAACTATTTTGCCCTTTTCTTTTGACCACCGATTTTATCAGTGCAAAAATTAGTTTTTGCAGCAAATTATACTATGATTTCTCTAAATTAGAATCAGCTTCTAATTACTCTCTCCCAAGTCACATCTCTTGCTTCGAAACCATCATCGCCTCTTGCTTAGAAACAACCTAACAACACATGCCCAATTTTTTAATACTTGGGACAGGCGGTAGGCATTAGCATATGGTGTGCGGATGTGGATGGTAACTTTATTGTAGCAAGAACTTGCAAAAAATAGCATGCAAAAGACTCTTTAGTCGCTGAGATATTGGCTCTTCGCGAGGCATTGGACCTAGCGGAATCCGAGAAACTTGAAAACTTTACAATTCAAGGTGATTCGATTAATGCCATTCTTGCTCTACATGATGACTATCCTTGTCCGATCATTTGCAAAACGGTAGTAATCCGAATTCGTTTGGCCAGTTCATCTTGTTTGGGAGTATATCGGAGCCATAGAACAGAGAATACAGTAGCTCATGAATTAGCTTTCTATGCAAAAAATAATAGTTCTCTGTATGAATTGTGATATGAACCACCTTCTTTCTATCAATCGCAGTTAAGCGTTTCCTAGCAATTTAAATAAAGCTTCTTTGATTTCAAAAAAAAAAAAAAAAACAAGGAGCAACATTTAGGGGTGTTAAGAAAAAACTGACACCAATTGACCAAACTAAAATCGACATAAAACTGAATTAGCAATTAATTCATTAATAGGTTCCGATTAAAGAATTTTTTACTGATTATTTGGTTTGTTTTTTGGTTTTACTTATATTTTTTAATTAAATCGGTTATTATAGTAATTAATTACGATTTATAAATTTAGTCAAAATTTCTATGTCTCACATTTCTATATCATCAATTTTTCTCGTTTTGTCAAATCTTCATTCTCTGCCCCCGCGGCATATCACAAATCTCCATCTCCAGCAAATATGACTAATCCTAGTGCTGAGTTGTGGACAAATAAGCAAGTGACTTATAATGTTTGTGCGAAAATAACCAGTAGAAACCGATATGCGCTTTCAAATAATTGAGAAAAATCCACTTTATATACCCTAAGAATTAGGAGTTGCCAAATTATATACCTTAACAATTTCTCTCTCCAAATCATGTACCTTAAGTTTCACAAAGTGAATTCTAGCTCCAATTTAACATAATTAAGAGTGAATTAACGGTGATGCCCATTACTGCCGTTAACCTTTATTTTTTCAATATTTTCCAGCAAGACTTCGTTGACCAAACTGTTAACCTAATTAAAAATTAAGTAAAAAGGAGAAAATGATGGAAAAATTGGCGCCGTTTATGGTCGAAAAATTGGCGGCAACTCTAGCGCCCAAAGCCCATTACTTAAAGCTGCCAATAGCTTTCATGGGAGAAAATATTACTTCTTTCCTTCAATTTCCTACAACAATTTCAATCCAAATGTTCCAGTATACAAATCTTGTGAAAACAAAATTTAATGGAAATAGAATAACTTGAAATGATTCTTCATATATAACGGAGTTCATAGATGCCAAACTAATAACAAAAGAGTAGGATCACTCATCAAAAAAGTGCCGCAAAATAATAGGATCCTACTTCAAAACCACGGCATCAACTCTAGTTATCATCAACTATCCGACTACAAAGAAGCCATACTAAAGTGAAATAACATCTAGATATTTAGCAATATAAGCTCAAGATTGTTTCCCCTTGCCTTTCTTGTTGCCTTTGACCTTAGTATCTTTGTTTTGAGCATCCTGTTGGTCTTTTGAAGAATGGATGAACCAACCATCTCTTATGTATGCAGGTACAGGCATACCATAGTGTTGATAAAGTCTAGGAGCCGTTAAAGCTATACTAGCATGGATTTCATTCAAGGTCTCATTTGTGGAAGGCATTACTGTTTGTGCCTTGTAAGTTTCCTTCTTCACATTTTTCAACTCAGGGGGTTCCTTATACTGGAAAGCAGTAGGTACAGGCCCAGCAAAAATTTCGGCGAAAGTCTTCTTTCCTTTTTTTTGTGGCAAGGTGGATAATTTCAGCATCATCATCACGAATTTCAGTTCCAGGCTCCCTTTTCTTTGTCTGGTTTGTATGATTTTTCCTTGGAGTGGCACTATAAAAAAGGATTAAATAAGATAGATGATGATATTGTGTATAGTTATAAGGCAGTTCAATACAATATAAATACATTACCTTTGCCTTTCCTTTCTTAGTGGTTTCCTTATTTCCAGGTAGGTTTGCAGCTTTATCAACAGTTGGAGCAGAACTAGATATTTTTAGAACCTCATTATCAATATCCTCATCAATAAGTTCATGTGCACATTTACATCAAGGAAGTGTTAAAATATGTTAATCTTGTAACCTGTGTCATCTGTGATGTGGATAAACGAAGTGATCGTATGGAATAAATGCCCCGATGCAACCACTGGTTTGTTTGGTCGGCTACAAAGATTGGGGTTGCCAAAAGAATTGAGGCTCGTGTTCCATCTTATTTTTGTCCATCCAGAGATTGCACAAACAAATTTTCTCCAGTGGAGCGTCTAATGGTGATGGAGAATCCTTACACCCCACAGAAGAAGACATGGGAAGAGCACGGATGGATAAAGTGTGTTATTTGCAAAGTCGAAAAGCTGGCAGAAAAGTTTGAAGAATCTTCTCAATGCAATCATAAGTTCTGTTTGAAATGCATTAGAGATTAAATTGGTACAATGATGAAGATGTCTCAGGGTTTATTGCCCCCAAAGGCAATGTCAGCCAGCATAAGTACTGAATCATAAGTACTGAACTGATTATGTCTTGTTTGATAAAAATCAAAATTTGAAGACTGAATAAAATGTCTGAAATATGAAGTATGAACACTGAAATCAAAGTATCTCGACTTATAATTTTATCTAAGAAAATAATTGATGAACACTGAAATTAAAGTATCTCGACTTATAATTTTATCTAAGAAAATAATTGATGTGTATATATATATACATGATATATATATATATGTATATATGAAACTATGATTATATAAAGATAATAATAGTATTATAAAATTATGTAATACAAATATTTAAATTTTATTATGTCATTATTTTTTCAGTTCCCAATAATATCATGTCTTTATCCTTGTCAAAAAAATCAAATCTTTATGATAAATATATATTTATAATGGACTTGATTCGTATTTTATTTTTTGTATTAAAATAAGTATTTATTAAATAAAAATAATTTAAATAAATTTTAATTTATAACTAAACACCAAGATTAAAAAAAATATATTTGAAGATAAAATATCAAAAGTATATATAAAAAAAAAGAAGTAAATAAATAGAAAAAAAAATGTCTCAGTAATTCAGTTTAGACATAAGTGATATGCCTATCACTTATTTCTAGACTCACATTTGTGCTAGCATTTCAGACTCACTTAATTTATTAAGACATCCTAATTTGAGTTATCAAACACACTTAAAATTTAAGTCCTTAATTAATTAAGTTCTTAATCAATTAAGTTGTGATGGGATTGTGTTATCAAACAGTGTCAATCAATTAAGCACTTAATCAATTAAGTTTAAGTGCTGAATTGTTTATCAAACAGGACACTTCATCAATTATTTTGTGCTCTTGCAAGTTGTTCTTCTCTACACTAATAAACAAAAAAAACTACCTTAGCTTAATTAGGTTTCCACATTCAAGACTCCTTTGATTAGAGTTTAACTACTGAAACCAGCCGACATTGACTAGGTACAGATTGAGATCCTGTTTGATAAACCAATTAAGTACTTAAACTTATTAATTAAGTACTTAATTGATTAGCACTGTTTGATAACACAATATCATAACAACTTAATTTCTTAAGAACTTAATTTATTAAGAACTTAAATTTTAAGTGTGTTTGATAACTCAAAGTAGGATGTCTTAATAAATTAAGTGGGTCTGAAATGCTAGTACAAATGTAAGCCTAAAAATAAATGATAGGCCTATCACTTATGTCTGAACTGAATTCTTGAGACGATTTTTTCCTATTTATTTATTTTTATGTTTATACTTTTGATATTTTATCTTAAAATATTTTTATTAATCATGATGTCTAGTTCTAAATTAAAATTTATGTAAATTATTTTTTATTTAATAAATATTTATTTTTATATAAAAATTAAAATCCATTAAATTCCATGATCAATATATATTTACCATAAAATATGAATTTTTTTGACAAGGATAAAATATGATATTATTATTAACTGAAAAATAATAACATAATAAAATTTAAATATTTTTATTACATTATTTAATAATATTATTATTATTTTTATTATCATAGTTTCATATACATCAATTATTTTTTTAGATAAAATTATAAGTCGAGATACTTTAAATTTCAGTATTCGGACTTAAGATTTCAGACATTTTATTCAGTGTTTAGATTTTGATTTTTATCAAACACGACAAACTTAATCAATTCAGTACTTATGATTCAGTTTTCATATTTCAGACTTTAGACCCAAATTAAGTTTTATCAAATGGGCCTTGAATCTCAATTGTTCAAGAAATCTTTAGCACAAACTAGACGGACAGAAGGTGAACATCATCAAATTTCTTAGGAAGGTAGCTACAAACCAAAAGTTAAAAGAAGTGATCTTTCCATATTAAATTCACATAACATGCTATGAACTCTAAGAAATCCAAGAACAGACATAGAACCAAGAAGAAAGGCGATGGTAGTAGGAGAACGTAAGTTTGATGGGAATCCAGTGAGGGACTACGAACTTTGGGTTGAAAAAGAGGGACTAGAAGGGGGGAATAAGGGGAGAACTCCCTATGAATAATATCATTATATGGAATGCAAGGAGTTTGCATAGTCCCCTGAAACAAAGAGAACTAAAAAACTTAGTCTCAGTAAACTATGCTAGTATCATGGGATCGTTGAAGTCAAAATGAAAAGTGAGAAGTTAGATGAGTATATGAAAAAGGATTGGCCAGATTATGAATATATGGGGAATAGTACAGATGGTGCAAGAACTAGAATATTAGTAATATGGAAGAAGGAGGAAATTGATGTAAATATTTTTAGAAATGAAAATCAGTTTATGCACTGTGAAGTGGTTGATCATGTGGCCAAAAGACAGTTCTTCATGACAATAATATATGGAGCTAATAGCAGAAGTGAAAGAAAGTCCTTGTGGAACGAATTGATGCAGATAGGGCAAACAGTAACCAAAGCTTGGATGGTTGCAGGTGACTTCAACAATGTGTTGGAGCCAAATGAGAAAGTTGGAGGACTGCCAGTGACATCCATGGAAACGGGGGATTTTAAAAGGATGATAGATGAATGTTAGTTGGTTCATTTAACTTCGCATGGAGGATATTTTACCTGGAATAGTAAGCAAGCTGGGGATCAGAGAATATATGCAAGGTTATACAGAGTATTGGTCAACGGGGAGTGGATGTTAAAATTTGAAGAGAGTTTGGTAAAAGTGCTACCAGAAGGACTGTCTGATCACTGTCCCATGGTGATCAGATGGAACTATAAAGTTTGTGACTCGAAGAAATGGTTCGGGTTTTTCAACATGTGGGCTAATGATATAGAATATGTGAGTACAGTTAAGAAGATATGGGATGTTGAGATGAAAGGATGCAAGCAGTTTCAGTTAGTTCAAAAACAGAAGCTTCTAAAGCCTCTTCTCAAAGACTTGAATCGCAGGAAATTTGTTAATATTGATCAGAAAGTTATCTTACAGAGGGAGTTGTTGGAAACTTTGCAGAAGGAACTACAGAATAATCTTCAGAATATGGAACTCCAAGAAAAGGAAAAGGAAGCAGAAAAGAAGTATGTGGAAGTTAGTATGCATGCATACACATACTGGCAGCAGAAGGTAAAGGAAAAATGGGTGCAGCAAGGAGACCTAAATACAACATATTTCCATGCTGCCATAAAACAGAAACAAAATAGAAAACGAATTCTGTCCTTTAAAGCTGAAAACGGAATGGTGGTTGAGGAATGGAAAGATGTCGAAGCGCATTTTCTTGGGTTCTTTCAGGAGTTGTTGGGGGAAAGAAATGAGTACAGGTCCTATTAGACAAGAGGTATGTGATATGGGGCCTCTTCTGACAGTAGAGGATCAGATGCAACTAATCAAGGAAGTTACAGAGGCAGAAATTAAGATGGCCATGTACTCAATTGATGATTTGAAAAGTCCGGGTCCTGATGGGTTCAACAGTGGATTTTATAAGAAAACGTGGGAGGTGGTTGGGAAGAGTACCTGTGAAGCAATAGCGGAATTCTTTTATACTAGGAAGCTTCTAAAGCAGGTGAATGCAATGGTGATATCTTTGATTCCTAAAGTGGAATCCCCGCAATCAGCAGCAAAATACAGGCCGATTTCTTGTTGTAATACATTGTACAAGTGTATTACCAAGATTTTGAGTAATAGGCTCTCCAAAATATTGCCGAGTCTGGTGGATCAAAGTCAGGGAGCTTTTATAAAGGACAAAATTATTATTCACAATATTTTGTTGACACAGGAAATGTTGCAGCTGTATAACAGGAAAAATGTGTCCCCCAGATGCCTTATGAAGGTGGATTTACAGAAGGCATATGATTCCATTGCCTGGCAGTTTGTAGAAGAGGTGCCTACAGCGTATAAGTTCCTTGGTAAGTTTATCAGTTGGATAAAAGAATGCATGTCTACCTGCAGTTTCTCTCTGTGTTTGAATGGTGGTCTAACAGGTTATTTTAAGGGTAAACGGGGACTTAGACAAGGTGATCCTGTTTCCCCTTTAGTGTTTGTGCTTCGTATGGAATATTTGAGTAGGATGATTAAGTTTGAAGTAGCAATGGGAGGTTTCTATTATCATCCCAAGTGTAAGAGGCTGCAGATTATGAACCTTTGTTTTGCTGATGACTTAATCTTCTTGTGCAAAGCTGAACTAGGGACTGTTAAAAGAATAAAGAAGGTTTTAGGTGAGTTTTATGCTACATCAGGTTTGAAGGCCAATTTAAAGAAGTCGAATGTTTACTGTGGGGGAGTTAACAAGGAATTAAGAGATGAAATTCAGAAGACTACAGGATTTAGTAATGGAACCTTTCTGATGAAATATTTAGGGGTCCCTATATCCTCAAATAAATGGAAAGACGTTGATTGTCAAGTATTGGTGGATAAGTGATTGCAAGGTTAAAATGTTGGACAACACGCCACTTATCCTATGCAGGAAGAGTGGTGTTAGTTAATTCTGTACTGCTTGCTATGCACACATATTGGGCTTCTATTTTTATACTGCCCAAAAGTATTATCACTCAGGTAGTAAGGGTGTGTAGGGATTTCTTATGGGGCAAAAAAGGAAGGGCATTTGTGTTGGTTGCCTGGGATGACCTATGTTGACCAAAGAAATGTGGGGGATTAAATTTTAAAGAACCTGAGATCTGGAATCAGGCAGTGATAGGGAAGCAAGTATGGGATCTAGCTATGAAAAAATAAAATCTTTGGGTCAAATGGTGCCACAAATATTATCTGAAGGGAAAGAGAATCTAGGACTACGAACCAAGGCAGGGGACCTATTGGTATTGGAGGAAACTGATGAATATTAAGGACAAAATGAAGGATGGGGTTGCAGGAGGACAGTGGAAAGCAACCAGCAATGGCAAATATTCTGCAAAAGCTGGATATGAGTGGTTTAGAAGCCCAGGGAAGAAAATGCAGGAAGTTGTGTTGATATGGAACAAGTATAATGTTCCTAAGCATAATTTTATCAGGTGTTGCAGTCTTTGAAGAATTGGCTGGAATGCAGGACTGTACCTGATTGCATCTCAAGATGGAAGACAAGGTTCTTGAATACCTAGAAGCAGAGCAAGAGTAAGCAAATGGTTTTGATTGGTGTTCTGGTTGGCGCAGTGTATCACTTGTGGAAGCTGCGCAATATAGTTTACCATGGGGGACAATGTTTGGCTGTAAATGTAATAGTTGATCAGATTAAACAGGAAATGATTAGGAAGGGTAGAGTTTGTTGTAAAAAGTATAGAAAAGTGGAGGAGAGGTATTTGCACAAGATAGGTATCTTGAGCTGAGTGAATGTATAGAAACAGGACTGATGTAAATGTTGATTTGTGATGAGAAATTAATATAATTTTAACCTTTCACAAAAAAAAAAAAAAACCAAGAACAGGCAAAAAGGAACAGAGGATGAACATCATCACATACTATGCACAAATAGCTAGAAACCCAATTTTCATCAGATAAATCAGTTTCAGAAAACAACATATATATCGCGTATCTGTGGGAATCTCTGTGCAAGTTCTCCATCAGTTCCGCTACTACCAATACCACTACTTGGTAACAATATCTAAGCTAAGGAATCACCCCCAATGAGGGTGCAATTCTATGAATTAGTAGTACACAGTTACAGGAAATCTTCAGCTTCCAATTCAGAGCCATGAAGAAAACCTTTCTAGGGTCTAATATATCAATGACACAAACTACTAATACCGAAAACTAAGAATAAAGAGTAATCAATGATAGTAGAATGACCTAAAAAACCAGGATTATTTCCAGCGTCGGCTTCAACGTCCCAATCGCAATTCCAATGCAGCTTCTGAAGGATAGGAGGAAGAAGCATCATCTTCAGCTGGTGCAGGCAAGTTCAAATCCAACACATAAGCCGCCTCCTTCCCTGAAGAGAGATTATTAAGGTCATGAGTCAACCCTGATGATGGTTGTTCATCCCCTCTTTCCCAATGGCACCTCTTATGCCCACCCAAAGCTTGACCACTTGGAAAAACCCTCAAACAAATGCTACATTTGTGTCCAAACACCATCACAACTCTGTCATCCCCTCCATCTTTTACTTCCCCTTTGTCATCAACAACCGGGGCGGCGGCGGCGGCTTCTTCTTCCCCTTCTTCTTCACTCCTGGTAATTGCAAAGCAACCCTTAACATTCTTGTGACTAGCCCTGTGTCCTCCTAAAGCCTGATGAGAACCAAACACTTTCTTGCAACTGGAACACTCAAATTTAGTGCAATTCAAACTGGAAGAAGGCCCAGCAACAACATCAGCATCAGCAACATCACTTCCGGCAACAACGTTGACATTGTTTGTCTCCAGAGTTCCTTGACTTCCGGCAACAGTTGGTGATTCCGAGGCACTGGGACCATTAGCCAAAATCAATAAACTTGTGGCAACCTCGCGATCATCATCCTCGGACCCAATGTGGGAGAAGAACTTCTTCTTGGTTCCTGAAGAGGAAGCCTGGTTATTATTAGTATTATGATTCGGCCTGAAATTCAGGGGAGGATTAATCCCCCGCCATTGTCGTTCAGGGTGGCATCTCATATGCCCAAAAAGAGCCTTCTGTGACGGAAATCTCCTCCCACACTCAGAACAAGGATCTGTGATTTTGGCGGCATCAGGGTTTGGCTTTCTGGCAGCACATTTGGGCTTATTAGAATTCACCCCAAAGTCCTCAACTCTGACCAATTTCGTTCTTTTCTTCCTGGGTTTCTGGTAATACTTGACAACACTTGGAAAAGCTTCCGCCTTTGGAGCATCAGGAACATCAGAAACCAGAGTCAGTGTCTGTGGGTACATTTCTCGATGATCAGGGCAAGTAAATTGCTGGAAGATTGAAGGGCTAACACCGAAATTGTGGCTGTCATCCATCTTTCAGGTGAATATAATCTAGGTAAAAAGAATCAACAACGATAACAATGCTTCTTAGAAATTGGGAGAGAAAAAAAGAGGGGGAAAAAAAGGGAAATGATGGGAGGGAAGTGGGAATTTATAAGAGGAGAGGTTTTGCAGATGAAGAACACACAACAGGGGGAAGTTACTGATGTTTGTGGGATGAGAAGTGAGAGAGAGAGAGAGAGGGAGGAGTTGGGTAGTTATTTACAGTTGTGGACAGAGGCGGTTACAGTGTATAAGCCCGGAGAAGCGTAGTGGAAAAAAAAAAAAAAAAAGAAATCCTTTTTTTTGGGAAAATTTGCAATATATAATAAGAGCAGTGGAAAAATCTAAATTAATTAAAGGAGTGCAACTCTTTCATAATTTGAATTACAGGTACTAAATATAGTATATTTATGAAAATTATAAATAAAAACTATGTAAGCAATGAAGGGTTGCCTTTATTCTTTGTTTACGATGACTCATGGGGGGTCTAGTTTGAATCATGTTCATGGAGGATTTAATCGCAGCCCAGAATCATGAGCATAATTTTTGTTCCAAACAGATAACATCTAATTCTAACCCTAAAATCTCCTCAATATCTGTTTTTATCAAACGAACTTCCTGGTTGTTCTTTCAAATGTATTAAAAAAATAAAAAGAAAAAGAAGCTGCCACAAGTCCACAAAGGACGTGTATATATACTTAGGAATCAAAATATGAAACTTGGATATTTTGAAGAAATCCAATTGATTTTTGCAATTTATGCCGAAAATCAATTCATATATATTGAGAGTTTATGGAATTGTCGATCTTGTAGCGGTCAAATATCACAGGTCAAGAAATCTGAGCAAGGAAATATCCACATTCGGGAACCAAAACGGTATCATTAATTTTATTTTTTATCTTCATATTTATTCTGCCCTAAAATAATTTTCTAGTGTGAATTTATTTTTATTTTTAATAATCCGAACCAGACACTCATTTTGGAATGGATTAAAGTTTCAACAATTATTATCCACAAGTATTTTAGGAATAAAGTTAAAAAAAAAATATATATATATATATATAATGGGCCATGTCGCCAGGGGGAAATGGTTAAGGTTGACCAAAGTTGGTGGGATTCGCACATTCGGCCCGCCGCTTCCCTCTTTCGTTTTGGACCTTGGTACTATTACCTATACATCCCTGAGGTTTAAGCGAACTATAATTTGCCCTTTAATACTCGAGAAAATTATGTACTGCTCCCTTTGACAACAGATATTTGCATCAAGGACGCACAGAAACTCAAAAAATTGGCTAATAAACCACTGCCCATTTTTTTTTCCATTCTGTGTTTGCTCTTCTATATAGTTCTTAGTTACAAGAAGCTTTCCACATTTAGGCACAACCCCCTAAGGAAACTAATCTAATCCTCTAAGATGTGTTAGATATCAACTACTAAAACCATATTTCTACCTAAGATATACTACAAACCAGCATCAATGAGTAATTGATGATCCCCAAAATATGGTCATGAATCAGAAGATTTCTGCGTTTGTTCAATGACAAAATGATCCACGATGCGAACGGTGCTCACAGGATCTTGCTGAGGGGACGACGCTCGCCATTTACTTGGAAACTTCCTCTGGTGACTTACTTGCTGTTTGGGTTCTGCATCCCAGTTCGGATCCAGCTTCCATTCCTTCGGGACCTGCATCAGTTAAAATCAGTTAGATGTCACAAAAAGGTGATCAAATAATAGTATGGAATGTATACAAGTTTGCATTGTTTCTTACCTTGTCTACAGCAAGGGTGAAAACTTCAAGATCGCCTTTGCGGTTGATATGAAACCGTGTGAAGGACTTGTAATTAGCAATTCGAAGAGATGAAAAGGCTTCGTCGAAGTGTAGATGGAGCCAGTTAATGCAGACATAGAGATAGCTTCCGAAAACCAATGAAACAACGGGAGTTGAGAAGACCCAAAAGTAAAGAAACACAGAAGCATAATATATCACGGCACCCTCACGGGACAGCGACTCTAACCCTTTCTTGCAGATGTTAGTTCTAGAGACAGCCATGACCTAAAAGTAGCACAGAGACTGTATGTTAGATGACAGGGCAGGGGGGCAAAAATAGAAACATGTGAGAGTAATTTCGTAAAAGAGATGTCTTTCTATTCGCTTTAATCTTTTCTCTTACCTCAGGAACATCAAAAGCAGACATGAGGTACTTAATACATGCTGGATAAAGGCCAAATGTCCATTGTTCTAAACGTGCCCGAAGACCTGTTGGGTCTGGAAAATGTTCGCTCTCCACTGATCGGTACCATTCATATAAAGTGTGATAACCTGAAACCAAATGTTGGGTCATCAATCATTGCAATAACCCAAACAACTACATTAACTTTTAAGCAGAGGGAAATATGTTCTCAATGGAATATCACAATCATCAGAAATGCAACTGTCAAGGACTCAGGCCATATCCTCAAGAGAATTTTCAGCAAGTTCGGTGGTACATGCTAGGAATGGCAAATTAGAATTAGTTCAAGGTCCACAATCACGAGTTTCTTACCTGATGTAGCCAATAAGTTGTGTCTGATACATGTCTCCACACCCAATTCCATTAACAACATTAGGATCAATGCCGAAGCTAAGTGAGCAGACACATGAAGAATCCCAATAAATACTCTCTTTTTACGAGAGACTTTGATGGGCACAAAAGCAATTGAAGCCACCAGCAATGAAAAAGCGCCAAATGAGGATACATAAGAACGTCCCAACACGTAAAGAAAAGAATCCCAGACAGTGAAAAAGAAGCTCTTTAAGTGACCAGAAAAGCTGTCATCCTGTAAAATGTGATCTAGTTTACACTAGATTACAAGAAACAACAATCAGTCATGCATATCTGGAGCAGCAAGACAATATCCAGAAAATATTGAATAAAGTTCACTCAACGAAGATTACCTGAGGAAACAACGAAAATGCCAGGACGAAGTATATAATCCCACCAAAGACATCAAACTGCCAATTTTTCTTGCGGAACTTCAATATATTTCCCAAAGCAATCTGTGTATAACAATTGGCAGGTTAGCAACAATAAAAATGATCTTAGTCCAACTAACAGAAACACGATTTCTTACCCTGCTTGAATCTTCATATGAAGGATAAGCAGCCTTGCACTCATAAGAAGCTCCACATAATTCCTTGAAATCACTGAAGACATGTGTGGGGTGTAAAAACGCCCCACCGCAACCATTTACAAGCAGATGTTGCACATAAACAGGCTTCTCTGATGGAATAAATGAATGGCGCATGTAGTGATGCAAGTCCCCAGCCACTCGGAGTTTACATCTTCCATTCAAGTGGTCACGTATGAGATAGGTGACATTCTTGCCAGTGACATCATTCCAATATGAATCAAGGAGCCAATTGGGTTCATGTGTCATAATAATCACTGAATCATTTTCCCCAACCTGATTAAAGTAACAACAATCAGTAACAATCGTCTGATATAAATAGGTAGAAGGTTTTGAAGGAACTGACGATTGGGATGATTTACATGTACCTTTTCCTTTATTAACTCCGAAAAGAATTTGAATTGATAAACATCAATATCACAATGAAGAGCAAGATCGAGACCAAATACCCACCACCCTTTCGGCAGCTGCAAAGCAAAATAACTTTTCTTCTGAGGCATGAACCACCCTCCCAACCAGCTTTTATGACAGATATACCTCATAAACGTCTGAAGTCCATCAAACCAGTCTATAAAACAGGAAAAAGAACCGCAAAAAATAAATGTTTGATAAAAAGAAGGCAAATAGCAGATTTAAAGCACTTAGTTTGATTTATACATGAACAGATGAGTTACTGAATTCTCACTTCAACTAGACATACAAATAAAGTGAAATTCCAGATGAACACTAACCATGATTTCCAGGGATTAGGAAAGTCTGTGGTCCATCATACTGCTTTAATTCACTCACACCACTAGGCAATTCTGGCTTGTTAACAGCAATATGCTCTTGCTTATACCAAGCTGGAGGCTGAAGAGCATATTCAAAAGGACGGAACAACCGTTTCTCATATGTGAATGCTGATGGATTAGGGTACCTGCAAAAGAAGCCATAATCATATGTAATCTGTGAGTATCAGTCAGTTCCATTTCTGATCCACAAAATACATGCAATTTCACAAGAAAAACAAGAACCTTTGGTTGAATGCATTAATGATAAATGTGGATCTATTCTTAAACCACTCACAGCAAAAAGCTTCCGAAAGAAATATTAACAAATAAAACTTTAGTTTTAATAAGTGATAAATAAACACTGAGTTTCATCCAAAGAAAAAATTTGAGCACGCATTTATTACACGAGCAAGCACATTTCATGAAAAGAGTACGAGGTTCAACCAAATGAAAATGTAGTCTATGAGGTTAACAAGAAAAATGAAGGAAATACAATATACACGTGTCTGAATGTATAACAAACCTGGGCAAACAAAGGACTATTCACGAAAACATGGTATGCTCTTTACCACAATTTAAGACTCAAGTAAAAGCGCCAAATTAAGAGGATAGAAGTAAAACCTAAAAGTCTTCCTTTTCTACAGACAAAAGGTGTCAATCGTGAAAAGTAGATAAATAAAGGTGTCAATCATGAAAAATGCTGCATGTGAAACCATACAAAACTGCAAAAATGGACTTATCTAGATAAACCCATGCCAAATTACATTAAATTCTTTGCAAAACTTAAGAGATCTCCAATGAAGTTCATAAAAACCCACATATAAAACTTTCCAATGGAATATATCACAAAACTAGATTGTTTATTATTACATTAAACAACAAGTTATAGAGCTTACGCAAGATCACCCCCAATAAGGAGCAGGTTACCACGAGGCAGCGTAATCACAGAACCATTTTCCCGTACCCTCAGCAAAGGCTGAGCTAGAAGACGCGCAATGCTATAGGATGAATTTCCACCATCACCGGTGTCAGCCATAAAATCAAACCATAACTCATCTTTCTCGGTAAACTGATCATACAGTAGATCGTCCTGTTTGGCTCCATCTTGAACTCTACTCATTGCTGCCTAATAAGAGGGGAAAATAATATCACAATCATCATGGAAACCAAAGTGAAATCAAAGCTTAAGTCTCTGGAATAAAGGAAACTGGGACCAACATAAAGCACTATAATAACTCAAATAATTTTAGACCTTAGGTTCACATAACAGATACACCAGAGACAAAAGAGAGAAATTTAAAGCTGATATCGAATCATATCAGAAAGTTTAGGATTTTTACCTGCATCATACGCATATCAAAACGTCCAACAAATACGGTAACTGACACCAGCAGGTCAAATGCTGTCTTGAATAAATCAGCAGATGTTCTGTGGCATTCAACCAAAAGAAATGGATCATACTTCTTAGTTCCTAATCCACCAAACATTTCCCAGGTACACTTTCCAAGCGTTTAGAAAGTAAAAACGTACCCAGAGTACCAAGGAACCATGTCCAAAAACTCCGGCTTCATCTGCTTCTTTTTCAACTTCTCAAATTCTTTCAACGACATGGGATGACTGAGTGCCCATCTGTTAACAACATATGATATTGTTAACAAAAAGTTAAACAATCAAAAAAAAAAAAAAATTAAAAAAAATCATAGTGTAGAACTGGAAGTTAAAAATTAAGAAGTGAGGTTGATAACATTAGAAGTAAGGACACAACTGGGCCGCCCCCAGATGCTACTTATGTAATATCTGTTGACCACAGAACAAACAAAGACATGACAAAAGCGATGACAAGATGCTAATACACTACAAAGGTATAGTAAATACTGCCAAAGGAACACAATTTTAAACAAGTGATGGTACCCCTAATTTGTCGCCTAAGACACATATTTGACACCAAGAAATAATGACCATTCAAGAAATGAAGAAACAACAAAGAAGCTAGCACCCACCCTGTCGATCTTTCAACAACATAATTGGCAATGTAGAGGCCTATGAAAGTTGCCCAGAGTGAGTATATGGGGGAAATATCATTTGATGATCCTGCACACGAGCCGTTGCTACAGTTCAACTGAACAAATAATGTGAAAAGAAATGAAATCAGTATAAGTTCCTTCATAGTGGAGTCACTCAAAAAGTAACAAGAAAAGTTTACAGAGGGTTAACAAACCTCCCCATATATAACCCATTTTGACAAGAGAGGGTAGTCACTTGCAGATCCAACAGGAGCAAACCAAGATGAGCAAATTTCATTTTTGAACTCATTTATCTTGATAAACTTTGAGATCAATGTATTGCGCTCTTCTTTATTCCACAGCGCAAACCATCCTGAGCTCTTCCTCTCAAATGGTTTTTTATTCAAAAGAGTGCGGTTGCCACAATGGCTATAAAAGACACAGCAGGCAATACTTAAAACCTACACAGAAGTAAAGCCATACAATAAGGACCTGAGTTTTAATTACTTAAAAGATGTGCATTGAATACTTACAGCGCAATTTTGAAATATAGTCAGAATTTCTGGCTTCTTTCCAGCTACACGAGCAACAAGGCCAATGTACCACAGTCCAAGGAATACAATGTGGAACACCATGAGAAACAAAATGGACGAGATATATATAGTCAAGAACAAAGAAAGGTTCATCCTCAGGTCTACTCCCATTGACTGAAAACTGGGAAGATGATATAAAGCAGCTACTAATATCCATGCTATATACCTGCCAAAAAAAAAGTCTCTATCTCATTAACTCTATTTCCATTTACAAACATGTAAACTGATTCATGTCATGGAATCTAAAACAGTTCAACTTGATGATCAAGGTGAGAGAGAGAGAGAGAGAGAGAGAGAAATTACCATCTACTGAAATTTGAATAGCTCGGTTTGATGGTTTTCCCTACAAATGGAGATGAAAAGAAATAGAAGAATCCCAACAAACAGGCATACATAGACCACCACTTGATATTGGTGTCTAATTTCTGAATAAGAGTGTGCATATTATCTGAAGATATAAAAAACAAGCAACCCACAACTACAGCAATCACAGCATGACGGGAGTGCTCATGTGGGTACGGAGAAGTGTGGGTCAAAATAGTCCTAACTGTCTCCATATTGAGAGTATCTAATAAACCAACAGAATGTTTATCCGAATCCATTAACTGATCTTGAATTCAAGTCAATTCAGTTCACTGAAAGTTCTGCAGACAATTGCCAGCTCATAAATTCCAATTGCAGCAAACCGACCAGCCCCTATATCCTGAAAGGGAATTTCAAATTGAATTATAAACAAAGTTGCATATCTTCAAATGCAACAGAAAATTAACCCCCAAAAAAATAAAATAAAATAAAATAAAATAAAAGAATCAGCAAAGAGGATCAACAGAATCATGTAAAGCCAGCCATGAATAGCAGTAACGCAAATGTGTAATCATAATTTGGTACAATAAACGGATATCCATCTATAGGCAAATATGATCAGCCAATTCTCTAGATTATAACCATCTTTATGCACAAAACTCTATGAAATACATGGTCTTTAATTTGTTCATCAATCGCTAAAGCAAGTCTTAAATTATTAATACAGCCAAATGCAGTGAAACTAAAACAAATAACCGCTTCCCCCTTACTTATTCCACTACCACTACATAGCAATAGCATCAATGACACAAGAAAGACTACATTTCTCTTTCCTACAAAAAATACCGAGTATATTAAGGAGACTTGGGCCATCGTGGTATTCCCTTATTCAAAAAGAAAATAAATAAATAAAGGAATCTCATTTTCAATTTCAGGAAACGCTAAACCAGCATAGAGTACAAGCTTGACAACAGAAAATTTCCGCTGATGAACAAAGGCAATCAAAGGGATTTGAGCTGTATCATTCACATCCATAACCATCAGCAAAATTCATTGCATAACCCATCAATTCCATGGACATTAGATAACAACGACCAATAAAGATCACCAATCTTACACCAAGAGAAGAAAAAAAAACACAGAGAGAATGTACACATCAATATAGAATTCACATTCAGGAAGAGAAAAAACGCACCTGAGTGTGGAAAGCAGAGAGCGATTGTTTGAAAGGGAAGAATGGAAAGCGAGCATGTGGGCTTTTGAGGCTAACCGGAGGGGAATATAAACTACAAGTACCAGAATAATACTGAAAATGAATGTTTTTGCTAAAGAACCAATTTTGGCAGGAAAAGCATATTCTTTTGTCCAGTACAAAAATTTGGGACAGCAACCCTCTTTCCTGACCCAGCTCCAAACCCGGAAAAAAAAAAAAAAAGAAATTAAAAGAAAACAAAATGGCAAGAAATTAAAGAAAAATTTGGATTGACTCTGTTCTTCTGGTTTGAACCCAGCAAAAACAACAAAAGAATGGGTCTTTCGTGATTCGCTCAAAAACAAGGAATCGTGATTGGATAAAGGGCATCAAAATACTAATATGATTGCTTGCTATCACTAATAAATCCATATAAAATTGTCGGGTTTTTTCCTGATTTTGTTAAATGGTTCACAAAGTTTTTTCCTTCGTCAAACGTCGTCACTCGTCCTTGTTTCATCCTTACGATCATCGAAGTTGCGTCTGGGTTTCTAACTTTTAAACCGTTGGATCAGAAAAGACTCTCTGAGAGAAGGTATTGTGGTCGTTTTACGGTTTACGCAACCTAGGAAAGGGCACTACTGCCGCACGACGCCGGGACAAATGACACGTGTACTTGCAGTTTCCTTAACCCTCTTTTTTTTGTTTAATTATTTTCTTAACCTTTCTTTTTTGGTTCTTTTGGCTTTCTTATGAGAAATTGCCAGTTCCAGTGTGGTGGGACACCACCAGTTGCAGTACCATGTAAAATTACTGGAGGGGGTGGGGTTGAGTTTTTTTAACCGACTTACAAATTTACCGGGTTGGGTTGGTTTTGGTTTTAACCGACTTACTAAATAGAGATAAAGGAAGTCAAACCCTTTGGGAATCTAGAACTTGGAAGCAATTTCAAGTGTAAGGCACATTGGCACAATGGGAAAGTTGGGGCTACAGGCTACGAAACTGAATAGTCCACATTTTTCCATATGCAAGAACGTCGCATTGTCCTGTAGATTAGAACTTCGAAAGTGTAGAGCAGTCAAACTTTAACAAAGTTTCGAACAAAAATAGAAAATTCATTCTTTGTATAACTGGTGAGATTCGAACTTGTGACCTTTCACTTAAACTCTTGTGTTCTTTTTAAGAAGTTGTTCATTTAGTGTATGAATGGAAATTATATCTACGATTAACTAGTTTTTCATTGATATTATGAAATTCAAAAATAAGGGTGTTGTGTCTCTATAATGTTCTATTGATTCCAACAATCTATTTTTAGTTACTTGATCAAAACATTACAATGATATTTTTACGCAAACAGTTCAACTACAATGAAAAGTGAAATTACCGAATTTGTTAATCGTTTGAATGATCGGATATGACAATATTGAAATATCGTAATACAATACATACAAATCAACCAGACACACAAGGTAAGTTTCACTTCAACGACAAATTATTAGAAGTGTAAAATTTTTTTGGTTGTTACTGTATGAATAAGATGTGTGGTTTTCCAACGAGGACAAAATTGGATCTTCAATGTTGAAATCTATCTTCACCTATTGTGAAAGGTTCGTGTTTTTTTACCATGTTTATATGTATTTCAAACATGGCTTTTTTAAAAAACGAAAATTGAACCTCATGATGGAAACAGTTGCTTTGTTTAAAATGGCATTTTCCTCGAGGGTAACTGGTGTATAGCCAATTTCGATATTTGATGAACAATTACATAACTACTAGTAGCAGCCAACATAAGCTATTGAAAAATTAATGAGCAAGAATTACAGTTGAGACCTACTTCAACAACTAACAAAACTAGTAGCCAGCTCCCACAAAGTTGCTGGCCAACCCCGGAACTTCCCATTTGAGGCTATGAGCATTTGCAAATGTTCACTGGAGTTCATAGGTTAAAAATCTGAGAATTCATGGCAAAAAAACTACTGCCAATGAGGAAATAAGGTTCCAAAACGGTGAAAAAGCAAAAAAGAGATGATACAACTTCCAAACTTGTCTACATCTTTTGAGGCTGCCCAAAAAGATGATAACAGGTTACTAGCGGCCCATTTTGCATCACATATTTGTTATAGCCCAAATCAAAGTAGCTCATGGGTGAGTTTATTTATTTGCTACTTCCAAACATACATAAGGGTTCCCATTTATTAACGGGCCATGGCACTAATGATTATTATCACATTTTCGATTTTTCTTCTTTAGGGATTTGAGCTTTTGATAGTTGAAGTTGAAAATATTCCGTTGTAACCAGAAATAAAAAAAGAATTTTCTTTCACCAAATCAACTGCAAATTAATAGTTTAAGTATTTTCTGAGTATTACTGAAAATGAAATAGATATAAAGAAAATTGGAAATGACTATGTATAATTGCTAGAAATGGCAGCAATGGCAGCTGACAAAGGCAAATCGTGATGGCGGTCAGTCAACAATCAACTAGAAAAAAACTTGCAAAGCAATGACTAAATTAATTTTAGTGAGAAAAAAGTGATTACTGCACACTTAATCAAGAGAGAAAGTTTAGAGAGTAACTCAACCAGTTTGGCCTACGCAAGACAGAGTTGGGCCTTGAGGAGCTGGGCCCTTACCTCTAGGGCCCATCAGCGGCTTGGAGATTAAAGAATTGGTCTGGATGATAAAGGTTTTAGTTTTTTCATTCTGAAGTTAAGGTTGAAATTTCGCATTTAAAAAGTAAAGTGGTTGTAGTGGAGTGAAAGGGATTCCTTCACCTTTAACTATAGATTGAGGGTTCGAACCTCTGTTATGGGCATGGAGCAATTTTAAATATTTTGACGAGCTGTCCCACCCATCGAAGTACCTACAATCCAACTAGGGGGATTAGGCACTGTTGCCGACGGTGAACACCCTACAAATATATATAAAAAAAAAAATTCGCGTTAAAATGATTTTACTTTTTTTCATAGCAAGAAAAAAGAAGGGGGGTGGGGGTGAGGATGGATGGCGGCTCTCGAGAGGCGTCGCAAAATATTTTCAACAATTCCATAATTGCATAAGGCAACAAGGGGCTCAAGCTTTTTGGGTGTACCAATTCAATTAACGAACATCATAAAATTTGATTCCTGTCCATTCTTTTTGGAAGAAACAGTGAAAGTGTCCATTCTCTGGCCGTTTTAAGTAATTCACTGAAAAACACATAATTCCTCAATCTTGGGAACCAACCAGAACCGAACAAGGAATCTTTGGAGAATCAAATGAGTTTGAATCAACGTAAGGTTGATAGTAAATATCAGACGAAAGATAACTATATATGACACTTAACTTGTTTGACTTGTCCCAAAAAATGAAAAATGGTGCGTACCAGCCACCATTCTGACTTAGTGCTCCTACCATTTTTTAAATTTCTTCTTTTACATGATTATACTTCTGGGAATATCCCACCTAAAAAATTCTGCGCTTTTTACTGTATGTATAGAAAATTCGATAGCGGAAAAACAAGAACAATTTGGAAACACTGGTTTACTTTATGGTAGGACTTGCCTAATTGATCGATGCATGTTTAATCGCCATTGCGGAAATGCCTACTTTGATTTGATGGCTATAATTCCACTTGGAAAGTTAACAAATATGAAGGGACTTCAAAGATCTTCATGTTGCCACCACACTTTTTTAATAAGATGAGAACTGGAGTATTCTACTTTTCACATAATTCCCGTACTTTATAGCGTTTGTATAGGGATATCACATAAAATTTGATCGATATGAAATTTCTTATAATTCACGCATAGAAGAAAGTGAAGTAACCTTTTCATCTCAAAATAAAAATTAAGTTTATTGAACAGTTTTAGTAATTAAGAAAGGGGGTAACAACTAGCAGCCCACACGAAAAATAATATAGTGATTTGGAATGAGTGATTACTCTAGTAATTGAGAACATACAAATGAGTGATTTAGAATGTAAATTACTCTATTACTAATCGCCTAAGTGTATAGTTGCTCTGCATTTATGTACTTGGACAATCTTCAAAGTTGTAAATAATATAAACACATGTGCCGCACTTTGGTGGCTTTTTGGGTGTGCTCACTGTTGGGATGCACATGAAAATCTCAGAACAACAGCAGACTGAATCAACTATGTATCGTTGATGGAAAGCCAAGTTGCAACAAGTCAGGATGGAGAACCAGAAATGTCTTTTTCCTAGAGTCGTGCGGCCATGCTAGATTCACATGACTAATATTCTACCCTTCATGTTCACAACAGATTATGAAATATTGAAATGAGATATTGACTGATGTAATCATGAGAAAATATTCATTTTAATTAAGTTAGTAACATATGTAAAACTATTGTTTATTGATGTTATTCCTTTGCTCAATACATAACTTACTATATACTCAGTCTCCAGTTCAAAAGAAAAATAATACTCCTTCTGTCATAGAATTATTGTCCAGTTTAAATTTTCATTTTTAGTACAAATTTTACTAAAAGTGATACTAAATTGGACAATAATTTCGGGACGGAGAAAATAATATATAGGTTGAAGTTGATGGAATAATTAATTCAAGCATATGGTTCAGTTATGGACATATGTAACAATCATCATAAAGTTCGGTCACTTTGTTATAACCTATTCGAGATACATAATATGTTTGTAAGTAGACCACATGCATTTCACTTTTTTATATATATAAAAAATAAAATTCAAATACACTAATTACTAGTAAAAAAAGAATCTCAAAATGATTCCCAGAAAAAAATAAAAATCATTCAACATCCTACATTAGTCGTGCTTTAGTCGTGCAAGTTAATATGTTCACTTCCAAATTGTATGGTCCAGGCGGCTGTTTTTCTGCCTATAAATACTAATCGAAGTCACACTCTCCTCTCTCATCCCAAGATACCTTAACTAAACTCCCGTTTCTCTAGACCAACTTCAAAAAAATATATCTTCAGCTTCCTTTAGTCACCATCCATTATGGCCAAAATTGTTCTCCTTTTTGCCTTTTGTATTGCACTGATATTGTCTTACGGAATCAACCCTTCTGAGGAAACACGCTTGTTGAAAGCACCGACCCATAACATTTCTGCTCAAGGCAAACACATTACTAATGTCCAAGAGCATGTAGCCGGAAGCCGGAGTCCGGTTCCGGCGAACACCATTGCCGGCAATAATGTTGTTGAAGAAGACAAAGGATCAGAAGACGATATTGGTCACAGCCCAGGAGTTGGTCACTGAATTATTTATAGCATAAAAGGAAGTACAGATGAATTATGTGATCATATTATATTCGACCTTCCAATATTCTCCATGCAATATTATTATTGTAGTTATTATGTACATATTCTCCCTGTGAATGTTTGCCCATAATGGGAGTGTTTTTAATTGCGTGAAGGATGCTACTGGCACCATTCTGTCTTGTCTTCTTTTCCATTTTAAGTTACACTATAATTGCAAGGGAAATCAGCTTTAAGGTAGCTTTCTATCCCTAAAGTTTGATGCAAATTAGTGCCTAACATATAACTAGATATTTTCAACCTTTGTATTATAGCTCCTCCCTCGTACAATGTCAATCACTCCTGTCCTAAAATGATTATCCAATTTAAATTTTCGTTTTTAATATAATCTGTACCGAAAATGAGAGTTCAAACCGGACAATCATTTCGAGATCGGAAAATTACTATTTTTTATGGTAAGTATTTTAGTGTAATTTTACTGTTGTTATTTTGAAACAACTTGCTAGGTACTCCAACTCAAAACAGTTGAAATTGTAAAACAGCCGTGCAAAACTGTATTTTTGTGTTCATCTAAGTTTAGAAATATTATTTGAATAACTCCTTTTATTTTTAAAAAGTTACAGCTTTAATGGAACCCGTGCAAAAATGCAAGCTATGAATTTACTGCGCCACATTCGTAGACAAACATATCTCCACCAGAGTACAATTTCTTATTCCTCAACGGCCCATGTGGCACTTGCCGTTAAAATGAAACCCAAGCAGGCCAGTCCACTATTAAAATTCAAAAAGATTTCTCGGTGTAATTCTTTTTGGGCCCAGATCGGCTTCCTTAGCAGACGGGTTAAGCACCAGCATTCTTCTGTAATTATCCTTGCTTGGCTGTGAGAATTTCCTTGGTTTAAAGAAAAAAAGTTTTGAAAAATTGTACATACAGTTTTCATTCTGTAAGTATGCCCTTCTCCATATAAAAATAGTCAATTTAATTCAATAAATAGACCACATGAAAGGAAGGGAATATTTAAATAATCCTTCCGTTCACATATTTCCAACTATAAAAAAAAGAAAATGAAAGTAGGCATGAGTTTTGTTGATGAATGTATCCGGAGATTAGTGTTTTTAAAGTTTAAAAATAATATAATCATTTCGTCCTAGAAAAATATTTAACATTAAATTTTAAAATTTGTACTATTTTAGTACAAATTTCCAAACTTCAATACAAACTATTTTGTTTTTAGCATAGAGGAAATATAAAAATTAGACAATTATTTTGAAAAAAAAAAAGACTAGTTGTATATTCAGCTATTAGAATCTTTTAGAAAGACATTTCAAATTGTATTTTTAATCACCCTTTCAAATTACAAAATTGCACATACAAGGATGCATATGTTGGTTGGCTTAATATTACTTCACGACTTTGTACCAAGATTAAAAAAAAAATACTTAATTTACTGACAATGAATAAAAATTATAGTGAGTATTTATTGAATGTTGAATCAAAATAACAGCGCACTTTTCGTCATCTAACATCCCTATTCCAGATGTGGCTAGTGTAAGGGATTAACTACGGTACCCAATACCATAAGTAGAACCAACCCGATCACCTTATGAGGTTAAAAAAAATGGAACTTTCAGAAAGGAAAAAAAAAAGGTAAATAAATGGTCGATAGGCCACAAAATCTTAATATATATCTCCCTTTATGAGGTAAAGAAATGGCCGAAAGATGAGTTCTAAATTCTAATACGTAAATTCCTAGCATTTGACTAATATTCCACGTTCAGTAGCAAAGGATTGGACTATCTGCAGATCCATTTAAGTGGTTATCTTAATTTTTATTTTCTCATTCATTACTTTAAAAACCTAATTAATGGTGCTCAAATTCTAATTTTATTTAGTGTCACGGTGGTTATTATCTAACAGAAAAAACAATAATCATTTACTATCCTTATGATAATAAGAAAAAAAACAAGTACCTAAATATCAAATAATTGATCATCACCAGAGCTTATAATATCAAACTACATTACTACAGCCATGAGCCAACCGAAAATGAAAAAAGTTCAATAAGAAACAAGTCCATTATTATGAATAAAAACAAGACTAAAAGACTATCATTCATAACAACACGTACGTTTATTTGATTATTTCCAAGCAAATCCAAAAAAATGATAATCATTCAACAAATTGATATTATTTCCGGGTCATTTCTGAAAAATTACGGCATGTCGTAATGAATGCTTCCATAGTATCCGGATGGATCGTCACGGGGATCAAGGACGGTCACCACTCCGGTCACGTCCTCTCTTATGAGGTTAAAAAATGGCCGATCAGCCACAAAATCTTGATCTTCTTTTGTAAGTGATTCTGGTTCACTACATGATGAATTATTCGTCATCATCATGTTACTTGCATCAGCGATTTTCGTGTTTTCTTCGTCTCCAATCTCAACAATGCATTCCTAGAAAACCCTTGAAATATAGAGTTCATGACTATCCGGAGAGTCTATAATGTCGGTGAACCCACCATCGGAGATAGTAAAAGGCGAAGTCAACTCCAAGTCTTTTGCCAGAGTTTTTGAAGCTTCGAAATTAAACGACATCTTAAACTTTGGGATGCGGAAGTTACTGAGACTAACTTTCGTATGTGGTATATAACTCTCCAAAAATCGAGCTAGGTTTATAACTGAAATATTCCATGAAGAGAGAGAACGGGCGCTCGCGATCTGGTAGATATATGTACATGGAGAACTTGCGAGGATGATTGTCCTTATTGTTGTTGCCTTGTTTGAGAGGAAGTTTCAACACTTTCAGACTATCGAAAGCTGTTGTTCGGAGCTGGTAATGAAGTGGACTTGAACCGGGGTGTCATTGTGTATGAAGTAAAACGTATGATTTGATGTCCTGGATGCATCAAACTTGGTTTCCCAAGTTCCTTTGAAATGTAAAGCATTAGCTAAAATCAATCTTGAATACTTTCTTATGGCACCGGGCTCAATTAAATTTTCGATTAGCCCTCTTGTTTCTCTTCTAGCCCATTCATTTATTTCTCCTGCCGCTTTAGCTTGCTGCAAAAAAAAATTTAAAAAAAAATAAATATTTTTTCTTCACTATCAGTAACAAATCTCAAAACTCAATATGAACAATTTTTTTTTTCTGGAACAAAGAAAGTATATATATAAACAAAGAAATAACTAACCATGTATTTGAAATCAGCTTGACCAGAATAAGACTTATAAACACCATTGATAAGGTCCTTGTAACCAGGCTTGAAAGAAAGAGACCGATCAATCCAGACTCCGTTAGCGCTTGACAAGATAGGGCCGACGGAAGAATCGCCGCCTTGGGTTAATAGAGAATTGACGTAATGAGAAAAGCAGGAATTGAGTTCATCGATGGAACCCAACTTGAGGAAAGATAAAAGGTTTTTCTTAGTTGTGCCTTTTAATCCGGCTGCGCTCATGGCCAGTTACATTTGGACGTGCAACGGCGAGAATAGGAAACTCATGTCGGTTTTGTAGACCGTTGTTGCGCTTCATCATTTTCGGTCAAACTTCGCTTCGTTTGCTGTTATTAATCGCCTCATCATTCTTCTTATCATTTTTCTTTGGCTCCGTGTGAGTGATCACTTTATTGGGTAGTGCATGAATTTGGACGAGATTGTGTGCTACTGGTAATATGTAATTAAACAAATATTAGATATTCACTACTCATTATAATCAAAGACAATTATTCTATCCATCACAAATTTATAGTCATGTACTACATCACAACTTGTGCCCAATTTTAAGATGTTCATTAACGAAAAATTTCTATTCAAACAATTTTTTCTTAAACTTACTTTATGAAATGCAATACCACAGTTAACAGTCGTTGTTCCCCCATAATTGAATTGTCCGAAGAGGATCGGACCCAGACCTGGGAATTAATCTATTAATCCCTCAACCCTAAAAGGCTTAACCCCCTCCCCTATTTGCTAGCAATATTGATGACGTTTTCATACAAGAATAACGAAGTAACGAAAATAATGCAAAAAAATTTCTACCAAAAAAAAAATAATGCAAAATTACGGGGGGAATCAGAAAAATAGAGACCACCTTTTTCCGGTTAGAAGGAAGCTCATTGACCGTCTCACCGAATACTGAAGCAGCCTCATCGAACTAATAGGAATTTGGATCGTTCGCCGATGATGCTCAGATTTTTTTTATTCTTTTTTCTTTGGTTTGGGGGGTGGGGGCGGTGGAATGCTCAGATCATCTAAAAGAAGCCCTAATAAAAGTCATGACCGAAGTTGAGTTTTAACAAAAGAATTAAAAAAAAATTAACAGAAGGGAAAATGAAATACATCTAACACAATGAAGGAAAAATCAATGTGTATATAATTGTTTGATTTATCAATGATTACCTTTATTGATCCATTTTATTAATTTATTAAAGCTTTACTGATTTTTTATTAATATAAACATATCTCAATAGATTCATTTTATTATTAATTTAAAGCTTTGATTGGCAAATTGAGAGACAGAGCAATATGAATTATGAAGCTTTTAGAGAATTATTATTTGTGAAAAAATGATCATAACCACAGTCAAGACTCACAGTGACTTTGTGTAGTATAATGATTGATTGATGTGTCAAACTTTCAAATGTAAATATAATGAAAATAATGGTATTTCAAGCGTAATAAATTAGTGAATTGTACAACAATCACTATACCAAAACTGCTATAATTAATTTTTCACTGTCTCTATTAGTATTGTTACTTTAAAGTAGGGAATTATTACGATAATGTAATAGTAGTTCAAAAATTGGTTGGGACACAATAATCTTTTTCTTTAAAAATCATAGAAAGATAAAATATGCATAAAAATATAAAAGCACTTTTTGTCATATAAAGATTGACGGTGGTGATCCAAACGGATTAGTAGAAATTTTATCCTTTTCTGAATCAATCAAAATTAGTCTGAATATAAATTTTCTGATTTTGTGTTCAATATTGAAGTTCCTTCGTACTATAGGGGTCAATTGTCACTACATCATTATAATAGGGGTCAAAGTAAAATACATTCCTTTATTTAATTAAAATAATCTGAAATGCACTTCTTTCTTTTCATTAATTTGAAATGTACCTTTTTCTTAACCAATAAAAAAGAAGAAAGAAATGTTGGATAGGATAATAATTTCCGTCTAAGATAAGTAATTTATTTTATTTTATTGAGCTATTAAAACAACAAATTAAGTGGATTATATTTATGAGACAAAGAGCATATTGATTTTCATAGTACTAGATGGTACCTACACGATGTACGGGTTAGGTAAATTGTGTATGAAATCAAACATAATAAAAATCAAAGAAAATATTTAATATTTTAGTAAATTGATATACAATTTAAAAACTAAATTAAATAATGTTACATTAAAAGTAATTTTTATGCGCTACTTATTTACAGAAGAAAATGAAGGGATCCATATATTGATATGTTAAATATATTTTGTATTCACAATTTGACATATTTGACCACTTTTGTTACTTATGATATTGTACCATCTCGAACAAAGCATTACAACTCAATGAGATGATTCAGATTTCAAAGTCACATTCGAACGCATGAGCCAAACTGAAAAATATGACCACCCTTAGTCAATAGTACCATAGGTCAAACCACTGACAAAAAAACTGATTTCCAGAACCAACCTGCCTTCTCTAATTCATTTGTCTAAAATGCTCCAAAGAAATAAATTACACCATAAGGTAGAATAATTTTCTTGAAGAAAATTGAAGGAAAGATTTCATATTAATATATGACAGTTAAATGAGACTATTTATCATTGTGCCCTCTAATTTTATTTTCGCGAATTATCATTATATATTTCGCCATTGTCCCTAAAAAAAATCAAACATTGAAATCATTAATTAAGATCGACAAAGAAACTCACCATGGATGTGCATTCGAAAATCCTTGCTACAGAAAAATAATTGCCCACAGCTTGCAAAAGTTAGAAATGAAAAACTTTTGAAACCAAAAAATAATGATTATTAAAGAAAAACATAAATTCTAAAAAAAAAAAGAGAGAGAGAAGAAGAAGAAGAAGAAGAAGAAGAAGAAGAAGAAGAAGAAGAAGATTCCAATGTAAACTAGGATTGCAAGCTAGTTGAGTTTTATAAGCACATTTTATACATACATAATAATTTTAGTCATATGATTAATGTGATTGGAGTGATTTTAGGTATATGTTTGTATTTTATTTTGTTAAAATAAAGTGAATGGATTTCCGTGTATGCAATTATGACACATGATAAATCTCTAAAAAAACATTATCCTCAATTTCATTAATTATTTTTGAATTTCAAAAAATTAATATTGTTTAATGATCAAACCAATATGTAATGACATTATTCAAACCAATCGAAAAATCTTTTCAAATCAATCAGCTTTAGTGTTGAATTAAAGAATCACTATTGATTTTGTATTTATTATTTTCAAATTTCGAAAACACATTAATATTGTTTAATGATCAAACCAATATGTTTTGACATTATTCAAACCAATCAGAAAATCTTTCGAAATCAAACAGCTTTAATGTTGAATTAAAGAATTACTGATGATTTTGTATTTAATATTTTTCAATTTCAAATAATAATTAATATTATTTAATAATCAAATCAAGATGTAATGCCATTTTTCAAGTCATTCGGATAATCTTTTTCAAATCAATCTTATTTAATGTTGATTAAAAATTTCCGTTTTCATTTTCATTTCAGGGAATGCAAAATAGAAAGTTTATCACACAATTAATTGATATACTTTAATTAAGAATTGATAATAATTTATTAACTGGAAATTCAAAGGACCGCTAGTGTAATTGTTGTAAATATTTTTTGTGTCAACCTGTAGGAAAATGACACGTATGATTTTGTCCTATGTGTCAACGGAAAGAGAAGTTTGATTTCCTCTATCTGATTTCTTTCTTACTATAATATATACTATACTATACTATAGATATGCTTTCTTTATTATGTCTTAAAATTTTTCTCTTATTTGTTTATTTATTATATCACTTTAGTTTGTGTGCTTTCCAAATTGGAAGTACATTAATCAAATTTGACTGAAAAGAGGCTACCCACAAAAACGGGAAAAAAAATTATTAGGATAATAAAGAACAGAAAAATAGAAGGAAAAAAAAAACCGTTTTATTTAGCACAGTAATTACCAGACTTTTTCGCTTGTCTCATGATCTGAGCAAATTTTCTGAAAAAGGCAATCCTCAGTCTTCCCTAAAAAGCAAAAAAAAAAAAAAAAAAAGTCCTCACAAAAAAAGAAAGAAGGAAGGGTGTGTCATTATGTAGTAGTAGCAAAAATCAAGGTATGACACAAAGTAGTCATTTCACTTCCAATTTAGTATAAGTACTGAATCTCACTGATTTCTGAATGAAATGAATGAATGAGGTAAGAAAGAGATCTATCTACATCTATTAGTCTCTTATCACAGAGTGTCTCACACACAGTCACACACTGAATTCAAAGAAAAACAACAAACTTCCCCTATTCATCTGTTTAGACACATTAGATTCCTACGTCACCCACAAAATCCCCACTTCCACAGTCCCCAAATGTGGTAACCAACCCATATTTACTAAATCCATCCAAATCCAAATTACTGCTCTCCGTATCCATTTTACCCACCCTTAAATCAGGGGGCGCCATTCCAAAGGGCAAACCCTCCCATGAGGGAAATTTCTATCATGCTTCTCTTTCAAACATTTTTCTGTGAAATATTTTGAGTATAAACATTAAAATTCGATGAGGGTTTTCTTTTTCCCCTTAATGTGTTATTCCTTACGTCCTGAAATTATAGTTCACCTTGGATTTTGATTTTTAATACAAATTAAACTATAAGTGACAATCCAAACTGGACAATAATTTTGAGACAGAAAGAATACATTAAAATGACTATTTGATTAGAATAACTATTCATGGTTGGATTATGATTTAAATTATTTGGTCGCAAGGATTGCACAATTTTTTTATTGAGAAAAACTAGGAAGAAAAAAAAAAAAAAGAAGAAAATCCTCTAGGTCTTTCCAAATATAGGCTAAAATTTTCCAAAACTCAATCTCACTTCTCCTCCCAAAACTGGCGGCCGACCAAAGCCATATACGATTTTTTTTTTAAAAAAAAAAAAAGAAAGAAAACACAGCAAAAAAAAAGGTAGTCTAATAACTGGAAATAGTAGAGATGTAGATAGATATGGTAAATCCAATCCTTCGAGAATCAACGAACGACGTTAAAAACCACCGTTTAATCTGACGGCTATAATGACGCGTCCCATGAATCCGTCATCTTGGGTTTGTAGTAGTAGTAGTATATATCTTTTATAGCCTTCCACAAAAGTTTCTCTCTCCTCTTCCCAAAACCCAGATTTGATTTCAGGCTACATATACGTACAACAAACTTATAACTTCCTTTCCCCCTTTTCTTTCTCTCTCTAGATTTCTACCTTATAGAATAAATCTGAATAAATTATTTTTTATTCTTTTTTGCCCTTTTCCTTTTCCTCTGAGAATTATCATTGTTATTATTTAGTAACAGAGTTTCTAGGGTTTGAGAGAAGCCTCCGGTGAGAGAGAGAGAGAGAGAAAAGAAGAAGGAAAGAATGCAAGGCAACAGCGGTTCTTCCGAGTCGAAAGATAGTAATAACACTGGACAGAACAGCAACAATAATCCCACTGATAATAATAATAGTAACGGCAGTAATAATGTTAACAACAATCATCTGAGTAGCCAGCCGCAGCCGGCGGTGGCGGCGGCGGCGGCGGTGACACCAGCAGCTGTGGCGCCGCAGCAGCAGTGGGTGGCGATGCAGTACCCGGCGGCGGCGATGGTAATGCCACACCATATGATGCCGGCCCCGCATTTTCCACCTCACTATATGCCGTACCACCACCACCACCTCCACCATCCTCCTCAGCCGCAGCCGCAGCAGCTACAGCCACCTCAGCAGCAACAAGGCGGAGGCGGCGGAGGAGGAGCAGGATCCAACGGTGAGAATCGGACGATCTGGGTTGGTGACCTTCATAATTGGATGGATGAGGATTATCTCCGCACCTGCTTTGCTTCCACTGGAGAGGTCTAATCCTAGCTCATCTCATGATTTTTTTTTTCTTGTCTGTCTGTCTTTTTTTGTTTGGGTATGTTTTATGTATTCACGTTACCTTTTGTAATAATGGCGTGCTTTGCGTGTGACCCTTTCATGGTGATAATATGCTGACTGGATTGGTTTGATTTGTGAGTATTCGTGTGGGAGAAAAGAATGTCTTTTTTTTTTTTTTTTTAATCTGAAACTATTGGCTTTTATATGCTTGAGGAGTAGGACTGTTATTGGGGTATGTAATGCATTGTCTTTTTGTGCGAAGAAAGTATTTTCCTCTGATTGGGTGTGGTTGATTTTATAACGGAGCTGAAATTAGCATCAAAGAGAACTAAAAATCTGTGGTGTTGTTTAAGGTAGCTAATTAATTTCTTAGTAATACTGACCATTTCTTTTTGGGATGCGTTCTTAATTAGTACATATATCCAGTACCAAGCTTGTGTCTTTCTTGGTAAGAATTGAACAGCATTGCAAGGACAGATCAAGTAATACATTAAATTTTGTTGCCTAATCTTTTTTGGTTTCCTTAATCGTCGGAATGTAATCTTGTGAAATTGCCTGTCCTTTCTTTTAATGTTGTTTGTGGTGTGTTGTTAAGTACTGTCATTATATTATACCACACTGATATGGTATGAGAATCTGTGGCTTGAAACTTTAGGTTGGATTGTTATTCTTGATACATTTGCACTCTGATGTTTAACATCGTCACTTATCTCAAATAATAAAAATGTAGCTTTATTACGAATCAAATGATAACAAATGTTCATATAATAGACACATGATTTTGGCACTTGTATATATAACTTATGTCAATAGAAGCTAGATATTTGTCATTTGTGAGTGCCATGTGTGTACAGAAATGAAGTTTTTATCAGTCACAATTGTGATTTAACTACTTTCGGATGATAACTTTCTCTGAATAGAGTGCGTGGCGTGTAGTTGCGTGATTGACACCTGTATGTTTACATTCACTGTTTGCACTCTGATGGTTCAACATTATCAACGGTCTTGAATGATAAACTAAGAATGTTCAATATGACCGTCACACTTTAATATATGACTATGCTAATCTAAACTAGTCATCAGGGATTGCCACGTTGGTATAGAAATGAAATTGTAACATACACATCTATGATCAAGCTATTTCCTCATGACAACTTTGTCTGAAAAAGAGTCCTTGGGATATAATTTCATCACATACACTTAGATGGGTATATTCTTAGCATTAACTAGACACGGAGCCGTGAAAATTTTAAAGTTTTTACTGTGCTTTTTGAACGAGGAGAAAACTATATATGTGAACTGCGATCCGTTTAATGGGGCTGATGCAAATTTTCGGCTTCTGATTTCCCTTTTAAGCACAAGAACAGATCTTAATTGTATTCCTACCAACTAAATAGACTGCAAGTTTACTGCCATCAATGTTACTTTGAAGCAAATGTTTCCCATCTTTTTTGAAACTTGATATATAACATGTGACAAGTTCCTGTATTAGTGTTCTGAATCGGGAGCTGATCTTATTTGTGTATCATGTAAATTGATTGGCATCTTCTGCTTTGATGTAGGTTGCCTCAATTAAGGTCATCCGCAACAAACAAACAGGCTTTTCAGAGGGATATGGATTTGTTGAGTTCTTCTCACATGCTGCAGCTGAGAAAGTTTTGCAAGCATATTCTTGCATTGCTATGCCTAATACGGAACAACCTTTCCGTCTGAATTGGGCTACATTTAGCACAGGGGACAAGCGTTCAAACAACGGTTCTGATCTATCCATTTTTGTAGGAGATTTAGCTGCTGATGTTACTGATAGCCTATTGCTTGAAACTTTTGCCAATAAATATCCTTCTGTTAAAGCTGCTAAAGTTGTAATTGATGCAAATACTGGACGTTCAAAGGGTTATGGTTTTGTAAGGTTTGGAGATGATAATGAGAGATCTCAAGCCATGACTGAAATGAATGGTGCATACTGTTCAAGCAGGGCCATGCGCATTGGTGCTGCAACTCCTAGGAAATCAACTGGATATCAACAACAGTATTCTTCACAAGGTAATAATTTGTGTGGGGTGTTCCATTTTTCTTCAGATATCATTCACGCAAGTAACTTGCAGTTAGTCTTACGCCATCCTTTTTAGTTTGGTTCATCCTTACACAAAATTTTAAGTCATGGTCAGTTCACTTTTTGTGGTTAGGGGTTTCTGTTTTTAGAACTAACATTTGCTTGTTGCATCTATTCCCTGTGGTTGCTGTTGTTTGAATTAACATTTGGTTTTTACATCTATTCCTTCTGCTGAAGTTCCCAGCAGTTGAAGGGTGCCTTTGATATTTTCAGCAGTCGATATGTTGTGGTATATGTGCCACGTTAACATATTCCAGTAGTACTTGTATGATTGCACTATAATCTGACTAGTTCATGATTCCACACTTGAGGACTTGTTGTCCATTGTTCTGTATAGTAATTATGGATTCCTTAAATCCCTTTCACATGTGCTGGCACAATTGCATGCACTTATGCACTCAGATTGGGAATCTCAGGAAATTACTCATCCTTATTTTCTATTGATGAAGCATGAAAATGCACAATGGAAACTTTGGGAAGTATGGTCTGCAATTAGATTCCATAGGATGAAATTTCCTGTCTTGGCTGTTTTTCAGCAACAATGAACTACCACTTATGTTATTCTATCTTCAGTAATATTAGCTTGGAGCACCGACACCATCACTTGTGTAGACATTGTGCCAATCAATGAAATTTTAACGCTGCAAATTATCTTTGTTTACGTTGTGTCTTACAGGTGGATACTTCAATAGTCCCTCTGGACATGGCTCTCAATCAGATGGAGATTCTCCAAATACAACAGTTGATTCCATTCTTCTTACTTTCCTTTTCTTTCTTTACCGTTTTCCTCATCTAACTTATGATAGTTGTAGATATTTGTTGGAGGGCTGGATCCAAATGTCAGTGATGAAGATCTGAAGCAGGCTTTCTCCCAGTACGGTGAAATAGTATCTGTGAAAATTCCAGTTGGGAAAGGGTGTGGATTTGTACAATTTGCTAACCGGTACTACATTTCGCTCAAAGTTTTCTTTCTGTTACCATGAATTTGGGTTCTTCTGCAGCTACTAAGTTATTATTTAAAACATTACAAATGTTTTGACAGAAATGACGCTGAGGAAGCATTGCAGAAGTTGAATGGTACCACCATAGGAAAGCAAACTGTGAGGCTCTCTTGGGGTCGTAATCCTGCAAATAAGCAGGTTAGTACTCTTTCCCCCCTCCCCCCCAATCACTCAATCTCTCTCCATTTGCTACTTCGAAGTGGTTTCCTTTCCGACTCACATATTGGGACAACTTAGCAAACATCGATTTCACCTCTAAAAGTTCTGAAACATATAAGAGACCTTCTATATGATCGTGACACTTGTATCTGCTGTGATTCCGGGTACTTTTGAGTGATTGAGTAGAAGCTAAAGGTTATGCTGTGCTTTGTTTTCCAATGTGCTGAGCGACCCATATTATATCTTGTTTATGCTTCTTTTGTTGGATTCTTTTCATTACATTAAGTTTATCTTGCAAATAAAAAATATATATATAAAAAAATAGTATGCCAATATTATATTTAGCTTTTTGAGGTTCACAATTTTAATGGACTTTGTAATTGACTGGCCATAGCTATTTTCTTACTTGGGATAAGCTTGGTTTTTTGCAGGTGAGAGGTGATTTCGGAAATCAGTGGACTGGGGCATACTATGGAGGACACTTTTACGACGGGTATGGCTATGCGATTCCCCCACCCCATGACCCGGGCATGTACGCAGCAGCAGCTGCAGCTTATGGAGCGTATCCCATGTATGGAACCCACCAGCAACAAGTGAGCTGAGTAGAACTGCTCGTGCTTCCTCTGTGTTGGTTAGAGTAATGTTGCTTGGGAAGTTAGAAATCCTCTTAATTCCCTCCAGATTCTGGGGAGGAAACTGAATTTTGAGTAGAAAAGAAATGAGGTAGTTTCTCTAAATAGGGGGTTTGATTAAAACATTCGTTTAGAAGTGTGGTGGATTTTAACAAAGGGTGGGGACTTCTTAATTTGAATAAATCATGGTGTGACATTAGTATTGCGAGTACATTGGTTGCCACGATACTTTATGGAAAATGTTACTGAAATCCAAACATGATTCTGTAGTGTTTGTGATTGTGATTGTTGACACATAACTAGTTACATTCTTTACTCTCCACAAGCCTTCTCAGGCATCTGCTTTGGGAAACTTCCCTGACCGGAAAACCATCCCCCCGTGGTTAAATTCCGTTCACTGCTTCAACATTCGGTTGAAACATTTGATGAGTCATATTAACAGTATGGATTTTTCCTTTTTTAGAGAGGAGAAGAGTATGGATGGACGCATAGTTTATTATTAATCCTTCATGATGATGGCTTCTCAATTTTTTTTTCAAACCTACGGAGGATGATGCGTAATAAGTTATCATTATCCATTCTCAAAACATGGATTTGATGAGAAGGGAAAGCGTTGCTTCTTAAAGAAGAAAATATTAAACCTTTAGTTCCAAAACCTAAATTCTAACCAAATCAAGTAAAACTTGCTACTTAAACACAACGTTAACACAAATCAGGTAATCAATTAAAATAAAATAAAATTCAATAAAAAATGAAAAGGCACCGACCCCCCCATGATTTTGCTTCGTTATGGGGCACAGAGCAGAGTCCCTGCTGGGAGTCCGGAAGCAACCACAACAAATTTTTAATTCTAAACAGGACTAAATTATCTTTAATTTTTAGCAGCCAGGATAGTTTAGTAACTAAATCAGATTAAAAAATAATGCTGTACTTCTTTTTCCATTTTAATCATAATAATTAGATTCACAAAAACTCAAAAAGTAGTTTAAGCCATCATTTCAGGGAGTGGACTCCGTCCTCTCGCGGCCTTAAGAGCCACCTGCCCAATCCACGTAGCCCGTTCTGTCCGAAAATATCTGGATTAGTTTATACTACTCCCTCCAGTCCTTATTGTAAGGTATTTTGATTTTATTCTGAGTTTCACTTAAGATGTGTATTTTATTCGAATAATAACTTTAAAAATATTTCATAATTATTAAGAGAATACTACAAATATGAAAATATATTTTAAAAGGTTTTTTCCCAATAAAAAAAGACATTCTCGATTAAACCTAGGACGAAATCAAAATGACTGACTGGAAGGATTAGTATAGTATTAGTAATTTATAAAGTAGTAAATCAATCTTAATTTTATCGAACTAAATTGTTTAATTCCTAATCACGAGTATGAAAATGGCCACAATTACTTAGAGGCTTACATCTGGCTCACTTTGGGGGCACGAACTCCCACACACGCGCACACACAGTCACGCACTGAAACATTATGCCTTGCCTTTCTCTCTCTTCTCTTCGTCTCCCTCCTGCTGCTCCTCCTCCACCGTCTTCTTCTTCCTCTGTTGAATTTCGCAGAGTAGCTTTTCTCCGAGCTTCGGCGTCGGTAGTTTCCGCGGCTTCCACTTCCGAGCCGAAAGTTGTGGTTACTAGAGAACGCGGCAAGAACGCTAAACTTATTAATGCTCTGGTACGGTTTTACTGTTTTCTTCCTCCTTCTTTAGTTATATCTCTTTCAGCAAATTATTGGATAAATTATTATTATTTTTTTCCTCTAAAGTCAACCGCGCACATTGGGTGTTTTGACACAGAATATTTTAATTGCTGGATGCATTCTGTTTTGATGGACTTAATTGGTTTAGGACAATGTGGTGTTCATTTTAGAGCTGAATCATTTTCAATGAATTTACTAGTTCCAGCGAGTAGTTTTCGGTTTAGGTTACTGATGATGATAGTAGGCTCAACTAAGGTTTCTGAATAATTTAACTGAAGTTAGTTTGAGAATAACTTTTGGAAGACCAAAAAACTCCTCCCTGAATGTGGGGGAAGATTTCTAGTTAAGATGTTTTGCCACAAATGGAGTCCTCAATCATTCATCTTCTAAGCTGCAGAATGACATCTTTACCTGCCCTTTTTGCTTGTGTCGGTAATATAGTTCAAAGAAGTATGCTTATCTTGAAAAATGGAAAAAATATATGGTTTCCTCGGCTACTTGACATAAATTAGAAGTGGTTGTGAATACTCAGCGTCCAGTTAAATTCAATGTCTGCCAAAAATTGAGTACTAATATCTTCCATTTGTCCTCAATTTACTTGGTTTACTGGGGCAAGTGCCATCCTTGTGGTCTAAAGATCATGCACATGCTTCTCTCTTATGGGGAAGTGTTACAGAGGAGATTCTGTGCCACGGATTGGCTTCCCCTCTGCATTTTCCCAAAATCTTGTATTCATCTTTTTTTAATAACCTAACTGTGCTCATATGATGGGCAAACCCCTTTGTAATATATGTATGTGAATGCCCCCCCCCCCGGCACTGTGGCACCTAGGCTTTTGAATCTTTTGGCCCAAAATCAGACTATAATCATTGTGTCTACTAATTTTTGGATAGGCAAGTAAAGATTACAAAGGATACTTTGATTTGCTCCCATTGTTATTTTTCCACGATGGCTACTGATTTCCTGTTGAATTTGGAGTTCTGTTTGTGGGAGAACATACAGTTCATGATAGCTTTTCTTTAGTGAGCTAGAATGGACGTTTGGGCTCTTTCTTTCTTATGTGTTCACTGCAGTAGTACACGTAGTATTTTTGCTACTGTATTTATCATCAGAGGCTTGTATCTTGTTTGCGGAGGATCCTGATTGTATGCTCAGCCGTTATATGTGTCTAAGATTATCTTTCGACATCATATGCTGCAGGAGAAGCATGGAGTTGCTTGTCTCGAGCTTCCTCTTATCCAGCACAAGCATTTACCAGATTTAGATAAGCTGTCATCTTTGTTAAAGTGTAAGTGAACTTTCTGGTTTTACTTGCAATGCCTTGCTTTTCAAAATTAGCTACGAATGCAAGAATAACCTTTCAAGGAATGGAGAGGGAAGAAGGGCCTCTCGCAGGATAGTGGGTTTGCCTTTGAATGTCATCATTCATCAATCATTAGCAGATCCACCATCCCCCTTGATCGATTGATCGCTTAAATTTTATGTTTCATTTTTTTTTTAATTTTTTTTTTTGGGTTATTTCTTGACTTCAGATCGCATTTCATACCTATTTGTTTTCAATTTATACGGACAGAATAAATAGAACTTGCTGTCCTTGATACTAGTTCTGGCCTTTCTAAACTGCTTGTATCTGCAGGCTCTGCATTTGATTGGATCATTATAACATCACCCGAGGCAGGAATAGTTTTCCTTGATGCTTGGAAGTAAGTTTCACCTTACTGTACCTTCAGCGAACAAAATACTTGTATAAAAGCATCCGCATCCCTGCCATTGGATTACTCTTTAAATGCAACATCCACATCAAGCTGAATTGGTCCTCTGAATTTTGTTGCTAAGGCTATTATCTTTGGTTATTGTTCTTGAATTTTACTAAAATTGATTGGTAAAGTTGTGTTTCTTCTGATTTAGAAGTTTAGATACTGAAAGTCTATGTTGCCCTTTTTGAGTTTTGTCTGCAAAAAAAAATTGAAAATATAATGATAAAAGAATAAATTATGATGTGTCAGAAAAGAGTAGGTTAAAAGAGTATTGTTAATATGAAATGTGCTCGAAATAGTGGATTGGTATCTTGGTTAATTGATGGACTGTCAACAATTTTGTGTGTCAGAGCTGCAGGTAATCCAAATGTCAAAGTAGGCGTGGTTGGAGGTGGTACAGCAAGTGTGTTTGAAAATATTGCACCATCTTCAAAGCAGTTCCTAAATGTTGCCTTTTCACCTTCCAAAGGTTATGTATTGATTCTCAGATATATCCTTTGACAACATGTTGACTGCTGAGGCGTAGTTTGCTTCAGCCAATCTTTCTGATTTTGCTTTTCGCATGGATTACATGGAATTGCACAGAACCTAAATCTATTTTATTTGTTAATTTCAGCAACTGGTAAGGTTTTGGCTTCAGAACTTCCAAGGAATGGAGATGAAAGATGTACAGTTCTATATCCTGCTTCAGCAAAAGCTAGCAATGAAATTGGTATGTATCCCTTTCAGCTGTAGGGCTTCTTTTTTGAAATTGTTACAGTTCTTCCCTCTTAAGCCTTCTCTGAAAATCATGTACAAAGTTTATGCGCCCCTTGCCATTTTTAACCTCCTTAGTTCACTAGCAAGAGCCCTTTAGCTTCAGTCAGGCATATTGGAGACATTTGTTTAACACTGCAAAAAACTCATCTCCACCACTTTTCATGAAATAACATGTGGTGTTGAAGTACATATCTCTATGCTTGTGCATCTTGATGTGCACAATAACCACTATGTTATAGTTTCATATTTGATGATCTCGTACATGAGAAATAATATCCTGAATGCCATCTAATCTTACGAAGTGGTAAAATGAGAGTTTGGATATTTGTGATTCTAATGTCTTGAGGTCTTCTTCCTCTTTCCGCAACAAGAAGTGGTTTAAATTAAAGGTTGGGTGAACCACACCATGCTTAAAGGATAAAGAAGATTTATAGAGCAAAGTGACTGAACAATTCTGTGGAGTTTGAGATGTAATAAATTATATAAGTTAAAACAATGTATAAAGTGATGTGCGGTCTGGAAAAGTTTGTATGAACTTCATTCAGTTTTCCAATTGAGGCCCATTTGAAGAAATTGATTAAAAGTTGTTGCATAGCTTAGTCAAAACATTCTGATATTTGCGTTTGCATTACATGGATTGTATTTAAATGGAAACCATTTAACATCTCTTCATTTATCATTAGTAGTTTGTGTTACCCTTGCAGTCCATTTTCTAGCTTCCAGTTTCTATATGTCAATCTTTAGCACAGAAATTCTAAATATTTATTATCCTTTTTCTTTTCCCAGAAGAAGGCCTTTCAGAGCGTGGATTTGATGTCACCCGACTGAATACTTACACAACGGTAGATGTTGATTGACATTGTCTTCAATGTCCTCTTCAATTTCATGCTTATGAAATTTTCAGTTTTGCTCCTTTGTGGATCTCTTGATAAATCTCAATTCCCACAGTATTTTGCTTGATGGCTCGCTATGTTTACCACTTCCTCCCAGTGGGCTGCTTTGAGTGGATTCTTCTTGTCTGCAAATCCTCACTAGTCTGATCCACATATATTTATGTACCCTTGATACGCTCTTTTGCGTTCTGGTGACAAAACATAAAATGTAGAGTACTTAATTGTATCTCCAACTTTAAACATCTTTGGTTCACACACATGTTAAGAGTTTTATGCAAATTTTCTGGCTATGAAGGATTAGATCTCTAATACTGTTTGATGTTATTTTATTGAAAGTCTAGTAGATGACTATTGTCAGGTTCATTAGTTTCCCCTGTTACTAACAAATAGCTTTCCGTTAGCGTTTTTCATGCATCATTTTTTGCCTAATTTCATCCCACCCATGATGTTTTAAACCCGGACCTCCTGGTTGGAAGCCAAATTCCAGAGGTTTCTTCTCTAGCTTTTCAGTATCTTTGGAAGATTTGTTTCCCTACTAACCGGCGAATGGATGATTTGTTTTACAAATAACTTTCATTCAAAAAAGTTCTTGTGTTATCTGTTCTTTTTCTCTTAGTCTTCTTTCTTCAGTAATTAAAGCATGTGGTACTAATTTGTCCAGGTGCCTGTCCAGCATGTTGATGAGAAGATTTTAAAAAGGGCACTTTCCATGCCTGTAGTTGCTGTAGCCTCACCTTCTGCTCTGCGGTACATTACTTCCCTTTGATTCTATTGTTTTCCTTTAAAATTTCTTGTTACCCCAGGGAAATCCCATGAAAAACTTGTTATGGAAACAAATGTAGCTGCAACTGCTCTGGTCTTATGAACTAATGTAGTAATAATGAAGCAATCACGAGTCACATATATGACAACTAGTAGTGAGGTTCTCTAATACAGATCGATCTGAAGTCTTTTTCACCTGAACAATACCGAACCTTGCTAACACAACCTAACACTAGAGAAATTTTTATTTTTATTTTATGCTTTTTGAACTGGTTGAATTTTAGAGTTTATTTTTTTAAGGCATTACTTTTGTGGATGTACATGACATATTCATACTGCAGAGTTTGTTTATGCATTCTCACACAGGGCATGGGTCAATCTAGTTCCAGAATTGGAAAGGTGGAATTATGCTGTTGCTTGTATTGGCGAGACAACTGCTTTAGCTGCAAAAAGACTGGGATTGAAGAGTGTGTATCATCCAACAAACCCTGGTCTTGAAGGGTAACAGTACTCTGGCCTTATAAGTCCTACTCTGAACTAGTCATTACCTTTTTCTTTAATAATATTTAATAAAGAAATTATATGGTGGTCTAAACTCAGTGAAGGTATCAAAGGATATTTAATAAAGATGTTAATTTTATGGTGGTGTAAACTCAGTGAAGTTATGAAAGGTGTGAAAATGTGTGCTATCTTGTGGGAAAAAGGGTTGTCGTCGTCGTCGTCGTCGTCGTCGTCGTCGTCGTCGTCGTTGTTGTTCCTTACAATTATTGCCCTTGAAAATTTGGTATCCTAGAAACTTTTGCAACCTGAAGTTTTTTTTTTTTGTCTACTGCGTGGAAGGTCGCTTCTGAATAAATTTATTTCTTCTCTTAGCGATACTGTCGCCCCAAAGCTGGGATGAATGATCAGTATTTAACAGCTTAAACGGTTATTATAATTAACCTCTCTAAAGTTCTGTGTATCTTTCACTCTTCTGGACTGTTGTACACTATACACCCAACACTAGTTAGTTTATTCTTTAATCTGTGCCTTTCCTTGGCTGAACTTTGACTAATCTTGCTTTCTGGTTTCTCCCTGTCACAGTGTTTCTTTTTTTCTCTTTACTCTTTTCATTTAGTCACATGATAATATGCAATTACTATTTACTGCTGCATAGAGGCCTTCTCATCTGTAGTTTAGGATAAGCAACAGTGTTTATTCTTCAACATAATTAGGGCACCTCAACTATTTTGGATTAAGACAGTAATTAATTATAATAATTATGGCTAAATTAAGGTACGGTGTTTCAGGTGGGTTGACAGCATTCTGGAAGCTCTGAAACTTCATGATAAAGTCCAGATAGTGTAAGGGTCATTTGCCAGTTGCTTTTAACCATTGAGGCGAGGCCAGCATGTTGTTTATTCTGCTTTGGGTAGATGAGAATCCGGAGTTTGATCCAGCCGAAACCTTGGGGTGATCACTGAAAGCTGGTGCATCTTTGAACGGGTTGATTATGCTGGAAGAAACAAGAGAAAAATGATGTGACCAGAAATGTGTATCCTAATAGCAACGAAGAGTAAAAGGGAAGCCCAGAAATTGGACTCCTTTTAGTCCGGAAAGATAGGGTGCTTGAAAGATTAGGTCGTTTTGTATAGTGCATTATTTTTTCCGTGTATATATTCCATTCAATTTTGAAATCTGCGTCTGATAAGTCACTGATCCTGATGTAAATTGTATATTGTGCCAGAAGTTTGCATCATTTCTGCTCACAAGCGTATAACAGTGTATCTTTGTAATCCCTGTATTCTTTCTGTTTTTTTCCCCCTAGTTTACAAAATCCTATTGGGTATGCCTAATAGTCGCTCAGTACGTGCACAAGTTCCAGCAGAGGGCAACATCTGCAGTCACATAAATCTTAGTGTAACAAGAAACTAGAGAATTTCCTGAAATGATTCGAAGTCTTACATTGTGCTTGTTTCTGGAGATCATAGCTACCAGTGAAGGCCGAATATATCCACAGGCTCGTGCACAGAAACTGAAGTCATTTTCTGCAGCGTTTTTGTGTGTAGAAGTGTCAAAAAGCGCTTCCTCAACAATCAGAAAAGTTCAAAATGCTTCCTCACTTATCTTGAGATTGTCATCAGCAAGGTATTGCAGAAACTGCTTTTCATTATTCACTTCTCCGTTCATTCTTTCCGTGCAAAACACCAACATAGAAAGAAAAACATGCATGTTATGGTAATGATAAAATTTGGCACGGCCGAGTTTCTCTTGTTGTACTAGACGCACAATGATGTCAATAAGCATGTTAGAATATTATTGCATCCTTGGTTCATTTTCTCTTCATTTATGAGCTATAATTATAGAATTATAGTCAACCAATCAGGGACAAACACCCTTTGAATCTTAATCCGATTTGATGTTTATACTGTAACTATTTGCATAAGATATGATGATGACAGTGGGTGCCCAGATAGGACAGTGGAGCAGTAATCACTTAAATAAACGAGTTCTTGGCTAGGCAAAAGTGGCTTTTGGTTGGCAATGATCGATCACTGAATAGAAAAAGAGCTGATCTTTACGGCATGTGGCTGCTTTTGCCCTTTTATCATGGCAGCAGCACCAGGAGGAGAAGGAGCTAAAACATTGTTTCTGTTTATCTAACTTGGCCTCATGCTCGCGAAAAGCTGGACCCAGAAACCCATGAAGAAGACTTTGGGACCTCCATGGACAGGCAGTAGGACCACAAAGTAGAGCTTAAACCTTTTTCTATCCTCAAAACAATTACTTCTCCGTCTTAAAATTGTTGTCCAATTTGAGTTTTCGCGTTTAGTTAAATTTTCGTTAATCAGTGGAAGAGTATTGGTCTTTGAGAGATCTTTTTTCACATTTAAACTTTTCAAACTCTTCTTTGTTGAGCTAAAAGTAGATTGTGATTTATGACCATCTAAAGGACTAAAGCTCGCATTATTGAAGGGAACATAATGTGACATCGTATGGACTAGCGATTCTCAAGAGTCATGTAAACAGAGAATCATTAACCAGTGATTATCATGATAAACAGCTTGGAAGTTGGGGAGATTTGATGGTATGGATAGAAAGCCGAAAAGAGGGAGGGGTAAAAGACAAAAGGTTACTGGAAAAAGACTGAACGGTAGAGGTACAATGATTAAGATTTGTATGAACATGACATGAGCTTATCAATTTCATAATGAGGAAAAAAAAATGTCACCCAAGAAAAAAAAAAAAAAAAACCCCACCAAGCTTTTTTAAAAAATGGCAATAACTTCATCTTGGGTTTTCTTTGATGTTCTTGTGGATGTATGGTCCTTCTGGATTAATGCAAAGAATCACCATCATCATCATCATCATATTCATCCGTATGTGAATGATATGGCTTCCATATTGAGACCAAACAAGCGGAGAAAATGAATGGTTCGACCTTCATCTATAGTATATAGGTCTACTTAATTAAAGCAGGATACAAGTTGTTGATGTGTCAGCACCACAATGAAAATTTTCCCTCCGAAATCTATTTTCACTTTAAAATCATTTTTGACATGTGGCACTCTAACTATTCGAGAAAAAAGAATGGAATAAATAAATAAATAAATTCCTTAATTATAACTACATAATAATTCCTTAATTATAGCTATATACTAATCCTTAAAAGTTAAAACAACAACATTAAGTTGATAAAATCCAATGCCAAATAATCCCCTTAAATCATTTTAATTAACTCAAACGTCAATTAAATAATTTGACTAAGAAGATAAGTATGCCTCCCTTTTAGTAATGGTAACGCACATTAATTTAAATCCCTACAAATTAGCCAGAGTCATCATCATCAACTGGAAAACAATGCTATCAAATCATCCATATATCACTCAATGCAATTCATGTAATGATTAATTGAAAAACACACTTAACTCATTCATAGCTATATTATCATCATAAGAAAAGAATCAACAATCATGAACGCGGGGAAGAAGTTAAAATTGCAGAGGGAGCATCGGAAGAAAAAATCAAAGCTACGGACCCTTATGTTTTTTCGGTGGTCTGGAAATGAAGTTTAATAAAATGTTGGATTGTTCATATGCAGGAAGAGGGATAAAATTTTAACTAGCTTTTGATTCATATGAATATAAAATTCTGTACGGGCAATGTTTTTTTATTTCTGCGCTAAAGACTTGATTTTTAGCATACCCAAAAATTTTTCACTTCTTGGCATTTCGTTTAATTGATTTGGCCACTCAAATTACTCTGCCTTTGATCTCCTTCGATCTTTGTTATGCACTGACTAATGTATTTATCCTATTAATATTAATGAAAAAGTACAAAATCATTTGAAATTCATTAGAACATGATAAAGTGTTAGTCGGCCGAGCAATTGCCGGGTTGAGACACTACAATTTTTACACAATGAGATATTTTTCCAAGACATTAAAATTTTAATATTAACCTAGAAGTGAATGTTGAAAATTGCTTGGGCTAATTTCTTCATTCGTTTTTTTTTTCAAATACATACTAATTTTTTAAGCTGGACTCCTGTTAGCGTTCGGATTAAAACACTAAAAATAATATATAATTGTGTTAAAACATATCCCTAAGCAATGGCCCTTTAACGTGTTTCCATTTGATATTGTTATTTTATATAAAAAGACATTTATTCTTTTTCAAGAAATTTATTTTTTTTTTTTTATTTACACATACGATTACCCGGGCAAACATCTAGTTTTAGGTGACGGGTGAAGCATCACTTCACTTAGCTAACTCTGGTATGAATACCTTTTCCATTCTTATTTATCAGTTCAAAATGTGTTAAGATGGAAGAAAATAATTTGGTTCTAAGACAAGAAAATTCTTCTTTAGATGTAGTCCTTTCCGAAAATCAATCTGTAATATTAACGTGATGCATGCAACAAAGACTATAACATATACTACTAGATTATTATACTCTATGGTTGTAAGGAAAAAAGATCAATTTGTCAATTTCATTGTGTAACACACATAGAAGTTAAACACCAATTGTGATGAACAATTAATATGACTGGTTATACGTCACCACTCAAAACGATTGTGTGGATCTGATTTAATCATTTTAGTAGCTCCTAGTTGGTGACATATAAATTTGAATATCAACGTTAATGTTTTCAAACTCGGGAAAAATAATGCAACATCAACATCATCTCTAGGAATTAAGTAATCAATTACGGAAATGTAACCAAAAATAAATAATTAAAGATCACCACGAATACATAGAGAATCAGCCAAAATATAATAGTAAATAAAATATGTGCTGTTAAAAGCCATCTTAGGTATTGGTAAATTTGGGAATTCGTAAATAGGTATTCACCGAAGTACAGCGGAGGTTATGGTGATTTTCGGTAAAGCAGTTAACAACCGTGTTGAAGAATGCTTTTGATGCTTAATTCTTGATCCAGCAATAGAGAAGGACATTCAATCATTTTAGTGTTGTATGTAAGGGGTCTTACTTGTAAATACTGATATTTATAGGATTAGTTTGTAAATGTTAGTTGGTCAAGATTAGTCAACCTTTTAGCATGTATATATACATGTTCAGAACAGTTTACTGTAATATATATTCATTTTTACATCTTATCGATATATCAAAAATTTCAGAATCCCCAATTCTCTCCGTCGGTTGTTAACCACTTTATTGAAAATCACCATAACCTCCGCTGTACTCCGGTGATGGTATCGAAGTAGGAGTGATCCCGCCTGATTACTAAACCGATAAATCTTCTCGATTTTATCTCAGGAACAAAACATAATCATCTGATTTCATCATGGAGAACGGTGATGAAGAAAGCAGTCACGAGCGAGAGGGGCGGACATACGAACAACGCTTTGCTCATGGAATTGGAAGAGCAGCTAGGAACAATCGAAGGACTGAGCGTGGATTTTTTCGAAGTCTGATGACTGATTGCGATCTGGACTGGTTCATGGAAGAACATCTCCAGTTGCATGGTTCTGATAATCCTGGGATGCAATTGGTAAGCATTCCTTTGACTACTACGAATTTTTTAATGTGAAAGATGTCTGCGATAACTGCATTGGATGCAAAGATGAAGTTAGGGTTCGTAGACGGTACTTGTATAATGCCTCCAATTAATTCACCTGATTATCTTCGTTGGCAAAGAGTTGATAGTATGGTTCGATCTTGGATTCTAAAATCCATAAAAGCTAGTCAGGCCAGTAGTTTTGCATTTATTCCTACTGTTAAGCAACTTTAGGACACAATTGTGGCTAGATATGGAAAGAAGAATGGTGCTCTGATATTATCACCGGAGTACAGCGGAGGTTATGGTGATTTTCGGTAAAGCGGTTAACAACTGGCGGAGAGAATTGGGAATTCTGGAATTTTCGATATATTGATAAGATGTAAAAATGAATATATATTACAGTAAACTGTTCTGAATATGTATATATACATGCTAAAAGATTGACTAATCTTGACCAACTAATATTTACAAACTAACCCTACAACTATTAGCATTTACAAGTAAGACCTCTGACATACAACACTATAATGATTGAATGTCCTTGTCTATTGCTGGATCAGGAATTAGCAAAGCATCAAAAGCATTCTTCAACAGGTATTAGAAATTCGATAACAAAAAATATTTCTTTTGAATATTCTACGGTTTAATTTTAAACCTAAGAATAGAGATCTCTAACCTCAACACATAAATTATCAAATTTGAGTCGCTAAGGTAATCGATTGTCGTCCCTAACTAATGTGATCATTTAGCAAACTGCATACGAAAACCCTTTTGTTAGACGACCGAGTGAAGGGAGGGATCCAAAAATTACTACTGTCTTTCAGTCACGTACTTAGTTCATCAATAATCAGGTTCCTAGTTAAAATATGTGAAGAACCTTTGTACCCATTTGTCATTTGGTTTAATAACTATCACCATATCTGGGGTCCAAAAATATTACCGTCTCAACTTATCGAACTAAATGAGTCTCTTACATAAAACAAAACACTCTCCCAATAATCGAATGTGTCCGAAACACAGGACGGGTCTCATGCATATTCTCATTATCTTTTGGTGGTATGAAGCTTCTTACTTCCTATTCCACCAATCCCATTCAGACAAAAGAAGTACATTTTGCTCAACGACAAAACTAATACAATCATCCATTAATAGTCCCTTAATTAAAATTTACAAACTTTTGAGCTGTTAATGGGAAGTCAGTTACATTATGTGAGTGTTTAATTTAGTATTATACGCTGAAATTTTTATTGCCTTTTTTTTGGGAAATCTGGATCGTTTCAAGTTTGCGAGTTGCTTTTGATAAAAGATGAACAAAGAAGTATGAGTAATTCAATTAAAAAAAAATTAAAAAGATTCTCAACTAGTTTTACAAAGTTCCAAAATTGGTCGGCTGTTGCACGTATGGAATACCTGCCCTGCCTAAATAACGTGACTAATTTGTTTATGATCTTCTAATTAATCAGCCATTCAGTAATTACATTCGTGAAATATATGATATAATAAGAGGTTATATAATTACGTGTCAGTACAATTTTCACCTTCGTCAAAAGGATACGCATTTAAAAGGAAAAAGTAATAATTTAAACAGTGTCTTTGTGGAACTAAACAATACAATGAACATGACCATTATTTTTGTACCGAGTGAATTCCAGGGGGAAAAAAAGTTTATTATAAGACCGAACTAAAATAAAATGAAATAGTTTATTATAACTAGTATGTATGTACCATTTACTGATTGCAAAATGCAATTTCTACTAATTATCTTTGCAATGTTTTCTAATACTAATTATCAGTGTTAAGATTTCCCAGCATTAGCCAAATTGGGAAAAGTTACCAATGTAACAATATTAAATCATCAAGTTGGTTGGCTAAAAAAATCATTACATGATATTTCCCCCTCTAGTAATTAATCCTTTATTAACATTGTCAATTTGGCTCCCTTCATCTGTGAGACAGAAGCATATATACTACTATAAGCATCCTTGTCGGAGATAATTGTAAATTAAACGTTGTTTCTTTGTCTCGGACGATCCAAACAACGTTCTTTATGTGTAAATTTGCCATAAAGTTAGTCAAAGAATGTTTTCACAATTTGTTTATGAAATTCCACTAGATTAGTTATAGATTCCCCAAACTATGTGTATTCTTTTTCTTTTCTTTTTTTTTAACGTAGTAATTTAGAGTTTAATTGGACGATTAATTATTCCCTGATTGTATTTATCTATCTTTTTTGAATTATCTTTGTACCAATCACCACAGAAGAAATAATTTTTCATAATTTTAACTTCTCATAAATTTTTTTTATTAACAAAAACGATGTGATACCTGTTAAGCAAACAAGTTATATTATATCTAAACTAATTTCATTCATTTAAACTGATGAAAGACGTTTCGAGAGGCAAATATCTTTGCATTATCTATAAGGTACTTTAGCATCATCTGTCCCTGTACATTATAAGTGTGTCTGTATTATGCAAGAAATTACTTAGAAACAACGTGCTTGTCGAATTGTTGTATTATATATGCCACAATTTGATTAGAACAAAATGTAAAAGAAACAAAACAAAAGAAATAAAATTTTCATTTTTATAGTGCCGTACCGTGTCCTTTTACCATCCAAAGATTCTGGATGCTTTTTATTTTTATTTTTTCTTTTTTCCATCTAGATGTTATATTTTTATCTAAAAGAAAAGGTAAATTGGTGTGAACAACGTTAATAATTACTCCTTCTGTCTCAAAATTATTGTTCAGTTTGAAATTTCACTTTCAGTACAATTTGAACTAAAAATGAAAACTCGAACTAGACAATAATGATGGGACGGAAGGAGTATGTAAAAAGAAATGTAGTAATAAAATATAGAACTTCTAAGTCCTAATTCAATGTCGATTAGTGCAAATCATGAGTTTATACGCATGTCATTTCCGTAAGTAACCCGTTGTCGAAAGGAATCAAACTTTATTAGTAATTAAGTTTGGATTGTTAACACTTTTTTGTGCTTAAAAAAGTGGTCATAATGCATGGACTTTTGCCTCATTGCTCGACTCCTCAATCAAAGAACATTGGAATAAATAAACATATAAATTTATGCATCAATCAACATGCTCAAACGTTTCGTTACGAAATGTTGATTGGTTTTTTTTTTAACGTTAATCTCAACTAAAAGTCACCCTCACGTGGGCTATATGTGGCATGTCCATTTCATAATCCTATACTATTATCACTTCACACCCACTATTATTATGATTTCCCACCCCCAACTTTTCTTAACTCTGTAAAAAAAAAAAAAAATCACATTACTTACATAAAAGAGAAAATCAAAGGGGTTTTCCAACGACCTGTTTTCCAACGGCTAAAAACTTTCTTAGAAGATGATTTGATCGACCTGTTATCGCGTTTTGTAAAAAATAATAGATTAAAACACCTGTTGAGAGTTAGAAAAGGAAAGGGTTGTTTGGTCACTGAAGATGGTACGTCCCACTTCTTGCAATTTTTTCTTTTAAAAAGTAAAAGAAATTACTACGATTTGATTCTAAGTAAAAACGTGTCACATTCAAACTAATGTGCCTTTGATTGCTTGTTATTTAATTCCGCAAGTACTCCCTTAAATTATGCAGAAATGAACAAAGTCTCCAGAAAAATTATAGATACTTTAACTCATGAAATGAACCTTCAGCATGTGGATTGATCAGCGTAGAAACTGGGTGTTGAAGACTAAAATAATTTTATGTCATAAAATACTACAAGATGGGGGAGTAAATGTAGATTAATTGCAGAAGTTGAAGGGAGCTTAATATTAGTATATATACGTATTGGGGCGTTGCCGGATGTCGGAGGAAAGACATCAGTTTTTATTTTCACGTTTAAAGCGGTGTATTTTTAGTTGTCAGTCATGTGATTATGCAGCTTTCTTTTCTTTTTTTTTTCTTTTCATTTTGCATTTTCCACTTCTGCACTCTTCCTCTTTTCTTCTTTTTTCTCTGTAATTTTGGTTTCTTGTGTTTGTTTGTGTTCTTTTTGGACTAAGGAAAAATTGGTGATCACATCGATCATATCCTGGAATTCATTTTTTGGACAGTATTAGCTATTTGAGGAAAGTCGAGATTTTGAAGGATTTCGATAAGACCAACATACATATTCCTTTCTTTATCTGCCCTAAAATAAGTATTTTCTACAATAAAATAGATTTTTTCTATCTTGAAATGGAGACGCATCAATTTGCAAAATAAATGTTAAAATTGGAAAACTATGTGTTGCTGGTTCTAAATTCGGACAGATGATTAGTCACGTTTTTTTAGAAAAATAAAATCATACATGATCGTCCAAAAAGAAAGAGAAAATGAAACAAATTACCATTAAAATTTGTTCATTTGATTTTTGAACCCGTAAATGATTTCGTTAGATCGCTACACTTGCAGGCGTATTTTTTAATAAAGAAATGAGGTTTCGGAGATAATTTAAGTTATAATATTATTTCTGTCCTTAAAAAATAGTTCACGTTGAGACAGAAAAATACATTTTTATGTACGAACAATCTCTACGATGTTATACTTTAATCACGGTTTAGTACCTCACATATTTCAAAAGCTATGATAAAAATCTAATTTTTCATATTAAAAAATCAGATATAAAAGTTTTTTCTCAATAAATATACTTCCTCTGTCCCATAATTATTGTCCAGTTTTACTAAAATGAAAGATTTTATTTTTTGTCAAACTTAACTATATTTTACCTTAAACAACCGGATATACCCCTACATAAGTAATTGTTTAACCACTAAAATTTTATGGATAATGTTTTTTACTAAGGAGAAATGTGTAACTTGATCCATAAAAAGTTAAATTAGACAATAATTTTAGGACAAAATTTTTTGGGCAAAATGAACAATAATTATGAGACGGAGGGAGTAGTAAATTTGTGCTGACCACAAAGCATGGGTCATAGTTGAGCATTCATCAAAGTAACCAAACACTACATGAATGATGAAACTACAACTTTCTAAAGTAGAGCATAAATATCGTTGCCAGAACTTGCATCAATAATAACAAAAATGGAAGAAAATCTAACAAGTATAAATCTGACATATCTATATATCTAGACTTTTCAGCTTCCTTATAGACCATGTTACATGGTCGAAATTAGTAAATCAACAAAATGCAATACAGAATCCAAATATAACGAGGGCATTTTCCTCGTGTTATTAGGAATTTTTGCCAAATTGGAGATAAATGCTGAAATGAAAACCCGATGAAGCAAAAATAAAAGGCAGAAAGAAGGAGATCAAAAAAGAGAGAGAAAGAAAAGGCGCACGTTAATTCATGATGACGCTGAAAAATATGGCCTGTCTATTTTGCGTACAAATTACGATGGATGAAGTACCTGAGTACATCAACTGATTAAAGTGCGCCACGATGCCCATATTTTCATTTTTCATTTTTTTTTAAACTTCATTGTCATGTTTATAGTATCACTCCGTTCCAAAATAAATGTCGTTTTAGTAAAATGGAGAAATTTCAAAATAAGTGTCGTTCTCACCTTTCAATGCACTTTTTATCCAAAGTTTCCAAAATTACCCTCGAAAGAAATAATACTATTGGTGGACATTTTTTTAGTGGGGTTGGTTGAGGATATTCAAGTAATTTTATTATCATATTTAAGAGTTTCTTAAATTATGTACAAAGTGTAGAATGACACTTATTTTGGAATAGAGAGAGTACATTAGATTAAAAATATATATATCAATAAAAGAAATAAGTTTTTGTTACAGCAATTACACCACGTCACTTAGACAATACAATTACGTTTGGACAATAATTTTAATACAGAAAAAGTAATATTTTTTTCCGGAATATGAACTGGCTAATTACCCCTAGCACTGTAATGTCGAACAAGAAATATTTTGAAATTTCAATGAATTGAGTTTCATTTGATGAAAACCAACGGATAAAAAAAAAACCAAGATTTGGGCAAACAAGGGAAATTGCAAAAGCAACTTCTCAAGAATCCTAGGTTTAGGAAGCCATTAAACAATTACTTAAACTAATGCGAATAATTTACATTTTCTAACGCAGACGAGAAAGTTCAAATGCATTATGCATTCCAATGGATATAATCATATATATGGGTTAATTGAGCACAATTATAGAACACAGAGTGTGACAAACAAAAATTCAAAACAAAGCCATCCCAATACTACGAAGCATCATTAAAAAAAAAAAAAACAAAAAAAAATTAAAAAAATCATCAAATCTTGTTGAATAAATAATGGGAGGCAAAAAGTACAGTTGTAAATTCTCTACCTCATCATGTACCATCTCCATGTGTATATATAAATGGAAAGTGAGAGAGATTGGTATTTGTCACAATTATATTTATCACTTTCATTTTTTTTTTTCTTTTGACATTGAGAAGTGGATTTTGCTGTTTCAACAATTATATTTTTCCTCTCTGGGGATGATACAGTTGCGGAAGAGCTGACATGGGTTGGCGATAATACTTGCATTAACTTCACGCAGATCAAGAATTTGCAGAAAGAAAGAGAGAGAGAAAGAGAAGTAGTAGTATTTGTATAGTTATTTTTGTCTTTTGGGATTCTGGGATTTACCACTTCTGCAGCAATCTGCAGCATTATTCAACTTATTTCACTTTCCCGCTCTGTTGTTGAATCATCTGGGATTCTACAGCTGCAATGAATTCATTCCTCTGAAGGTATCATTCTCCTTCACCTCTCTTTATTACTGCTACTGTCTTCAATTAATGTTACTTTTTTCCTCTTGTTTTTTTTTCCCTTTGTTTTAATGGGGGCTAATTTTAAGGGTGTTTTTGCAGGTTTCATTCAATTTGGAGATTGAAGAAAAGATGAATACTAGAACCAGGACTGCTGCTGTGCAGTCTATGAGACCTATTCCTTTGAAGCAAGAAAAAGTAATCATAGACAGCCAAATGCTGATGCCATTCAGATTGATTTGTGTCTTCCAACATGTTCATTGCTTGTTTAAAGTGAATCTTCAAAGGGGGTTTTTTTTATATATATATTTTTCCTCCTCTTCTTCCTTTTCTATTTATGTTCTTAGAGGTTGACTGCGAAGATTCACATTAGGCAGTAGCATGATTGATTTTGAAACTTACCAAGATATTGCAATTTTCCAGAAGTTGCATCAAGTTCAATCAGAAGGGTTCATATGGAAAGAATTTCCGGAAATTTTGATAAAGTCGGCATCTTTGATGCAGATTCTGGATGATTATTGAGTTTTAGTTGCTCTTTTAGGTTGCAGAATACAGACATTTCCCCTGTGAATTTGATAAGATTGGCATCTTTGATGCAAAGTTTTAATTGAATTTTCACTTTTGGTTTGATTAAGCAGGGGAGAATGATTTTTTGGCCTCAAAACTTCATCACAGTTTTTCCACTTTATTAAAAATCTTTCTTGAAGTTGATAACTTTTTCTTTGAGTGTTCTGCTGATTGTTTGATTAGATGCCTGCTTTGATAAAGCTTTAAAAGTTTGCTACTTTGCTTCTTATCCACAAATTGTAGTGATCTTTTCTTAGCTTTATTTTCTCCATGTGTTTGGGACCTTTTCTTTGTTGATGCCTTAAGTTACAGTGCTTTTCTTGTGGAAGCTGACTGTTCTACTCTCTGTTCATTGGTTGAAGGAAAAGGTGGAAATGCGGGGCAAGAGGATAATGGAAGCTGAGAAAGCAACCAAAACCAGAAGAGGCTCAATTAGAGAAAAGAAGAAGGCATTGCAAGAAGATGTAGGCTTTTGAACCTTTATAATTCTGCCCATCTTTTACCTTCAAAGTTGGTGCTAATTTTCTGGATTTTTGTAGGTTGACAAATTGAAGAGAAAACTCAGACATGAGGAAAATGTCCACAGAGCTTTGGAGAGGGCTTTTACCAGACCCCTGGGATCTTTGCCTCGTCTCCCTCCCTATCTTCCGGCTCAGGTGAGATACTCTCTCTCTCTCTCTCTCTCTCTCTCTCTCTCTCTCTCTCTCTCTCTCTCTCCAGCTGAAGTACTTCTGTGGTACTGCCTTCAGAAATTTAGAAGCTACATGACGAAGTTAAATTCCAAAAGACATAATGAATGCTGCACTTGAGTCATAGAAAGAAAATTTAGTTGATTACAGAACTACAATGCTCGTGTAGTAGCATTGCTTAGAGCTGCAATCCTACCACGGAATTACTGTTTGGGTGGTGTTATTTCAAATTTTCAATCGACTATGTTGTCAGATTTTGAATCTTAATTTTGACACAAATCCCCTCAATGGATCAATATAGACATTGGAACTTCTGGCTGAAGTAGCTGTTTTGGAAGAGGAGGTTGTTCGACTTGAAGAGCAAGTTGTGCATTTCAGGCAAGGATTGTATGAGGAAGCCGTCCAGATTTCGTCTTCTAAGAGAAATATGGACAATTCAGTTGATCCAAGTGATCAGCACCAAATTCATGACCGGAAACAAAAGCAATCCAAGTTGTCAATTCAGACTCAAGAAAATTCAGCGCCATCAAGAGGGCGGCATTCGACAAATCTCTCAGGTATGTAGTAGTTGCATCAAGTTGTGTTGGCCTTTGCCTTTAGGCTATACTTAACCTTATCTGTAGTTCAGTAGCAGCATACACTGGAGTTTAAGTAACAATTTGCACCTTAAATTAATTTTTCAGATGATGCCCGCGGAAAAGAGAATGAGTTGTGTCCTAATTTGACAAAAAGCAAGCAGAAGTCTCCAAGCACAAAAACGCCAATTGTGAAAACTCACGTTAAAAGGCCTTCTATTGATTCAGGACCACTTGACAAGCGCTTTGATCCCAAGAAATTACAGGTTTTTTCCTTAATTTCCTTAATCTTCCGTTATCTTGAGTGTCTGTGTGTAGTTTGGGTGAAATGAACTTGAAAATTCTTTTCTTCAGTTAGACCTGGACAATGAGGGCAAAGGAAGAGCTCTTGTTCCTGGTACTGAAAAATCATCAGGGGATGACAATCCAAATAAAATCTCCGAAAGCATTTTAAAATGCTTGTTGAATATTTTCATGCGAATGAACTCAAAGAAGGCTAGAAGTGCAGTTGATCCATTGTCTTCACTGGCTTCTTGTGATAACTTGGAGGATGTGGATTTTAGAGATCCATATGGTATCTGTTCGGAATTTGGCAAGCGAGATATTGGTCCATATAAGCATCTATTCGCTATTGAAGCGAGCTCGATCAATCCAAGCCGAACAACAATATCAGTTTTCCTAGTTCGCAGACTAAAGTAAGTTGCTTGCATGATTAGATTTGGTTCTCAAATTTGTTACTCATTCCATATTCCAAGTTGTACCAGTGCTCAAAAAATGCCTGTCTTATATGTCAGGGTTTTACTTGAGAAATTAGCAGTAGTTGATTTAAAAGGCCTTTCTCATCAGGAGAAGCTTGCATTCTGGATCAACATTTACAATTCTTGCATGATGAATGTAAGTCTCAGAATCTAAAAGCTTTAGTCCAGAAGTTTGTGTTTAACAGTTCATTCCATAATGCTGCAAACTCCATAAGGCAAAATGGTTTACTCTCTTCATTGATTCAGGCATATCTTGAACATGGAATACCTGAGAGTCCTGAAATGGTCGTTGCACTGATGCAAAAGGTATAGTACTGGTTCCAACTTAAATCATCCTTTAGACAATTGTGAGTTTTTGTTGTATATCTGGTAATTGGTCGTAAGGAACTCGAATGTGCACTTATTAAACTATGTTACTTAACAAAACACTATACTACGTAAGGGAATGACTAATTTTGATATTTGACAATTGGTGCTTATGTAAGAAGACTAAAGAGCGGCTGATGTTGATGGATATCTTTATTTTTCTCTCTTTTTTGCCCCCATGGCATGCTTTAACAAACTGGACACTATTCCTGACCTCTTATTCTGCAGGCAAACATAAATGTTGGGGGGCACATTCTCAATGCAATATCGATTGAACATTTCATACTGAGACTGCCTTATCACTCAAAATATGTAAGTCACTTTCACCTAGTTAGCTGTTGCCTATTTGATTGAAAATTCATATTTCTTTATATCATTTCTGTTTGTGTGCTGTCATACAGACTTTCGCTAAAGGTGCAAAAAATGAGGAAATGTCAACACGTAGCGTTTTCGGGTTGGAGTTTTCAGAACCACTGGTGACATTTGCTCTGTCATGTGGAAGCTGGTCCTCACCTGCTGTAAGTCTACAGGATGGCTCTCTTCCAATTCAATCGTACTCCATTTGTACTGCAGATTAATTGGAGAACTAACTGTGATCTCAAGAAGATAGTCCATAGTGCTTGAAACTAACCCTTGTGCTGATTCCATATTGTTATGTTAACTTATCCATAGTAGTACTGATGTTCTTTGATTTGCTGAATCCAGGTAAGAATATACACTGCAGCTGAGGTTGAGAATGAGCTCGAAGTCGCGAAGAAGGAGTTCTTGCAAGCGACAGTTGGCATTTCAACAAAGAAGAAAGTGGTCGCAATACCAAAACTTTTGGATTGGTACATGCTAGATTTTGCCAAGGATTTGGAATCATTGGTAGATTGGATATGTCTTCAACTACCAGTTGAACTTGGAAAAGAGGCCATCAACTGCCTTGATAGAGAAAGAAATGAACCACTTGCACAGTTCCTTGAAATTATGCCTTATGAGTTCATTTTTAGGTATCTGTTGCAAACATGATGTAGAAAGTTTTTGGTAAAGTCACCTTCTTTTATAGGATCATTGGTTAGTAGTGGGGGTGGTATGTTTATACATCTATAGATAACATGGGGGGGAGAAAAATGTATAATCTTGCCTTTCTCTTGTAAGTAAATTTTGATATTGGTTATTCATTGGATGCACTGGTTTTTAATAACTCCAGTAATGTATAGAATGTGTGTTAAGAGAATTTCTTTTTTATTTTTTAATCTTTGTGAAGAGATAATAAATCAAAGGAATTTGCATAAACAAGTTTTTCAAATTAAACAAAAAAAAAAAGAGTAAAAAAAAATTGATAGATACGTCATTTAAGATTTTAGGTGTGAACAGCGACAGCGCATTACTCTAGACATGTTACTCAACTTTGTGAACAATGAGATTGATACATCTAATAATAAAAGAATTGAATCTATATGTGTACTTGGTGGACCATGTAACATCAATTAAACGGAATGATCGAAAGCTATAAATCATATTCATAATTGCGGAAATAATTTGTACATAGTACAACTTAAGTTCCTTAATAGATCAATATTCTCAGTTTATTCTTATGATGCATCGACTTATAATTTATCGAAACTGAAAATGTATTTATCACTACACTGCATCTCATTGTCATTATTCAACCCATGTAAGTCAAGATAAGGCATAATTAAAGAACAAGTAGCTAGTATCTCTGATATGTTTAATGGGTCCTAATTGTAATAGCTGTAATGCCTGGATATGGTGGACATTACTGAGAGATTTTGGTTAGTTTTATTGAAGTTATTTGACCAAAATGAATGGTTCACAGAAGCAATAAGCCAGGAATGTCTCTCAGTTCTGCTACGTTTGTCCTCTACCGTTTTGTGTCTCCCAAATCTGGCAAATTTTGGCAGTGCAAATGATTAGTTTATACCACCGCCAACTGATTAAATCTAATACTATAAATAGTTCCATTCACAATGTATCTAACCACCCCTTTGTCCAAATCTTTATTATTTCTTTCTCTTGTTTGTCATGGGTTCTGACACTTTTTCAAAATATATATATATATATATATATATATATATATTAAAAAATTTCCAACAAAGCTCCCATTATTCGGATGCCATTTTCACAAATTTTTGTTTTAATCACTGTTACATCTCTATAAGATTCGATTCTTGATTATATTTCATTCAACTCAATGCATTTTGAAACGTAGATGAATAAAGTTATGAAATAGTATACCATATGATGACCATATCGCAAGTCATGAAAATGGTTTTTCTCTCAATGTTTTGAGTGAATTATTGTAGAAAAGATTTGATTGGGGGTTGGGGGAGGGAGTTGGGGACAGGGGTAACAAGAAATACAGCTAATCAGAATCGAATTTTGTCTCCATGTTGAACAAAATCATGATCAATAATTATAGTATCAAACAAAGTGCCGAGTGGAAGAGGTGATTCTCTTCTACAGAACCATCCTTTTCATGTGGGGGTACACAACAATGTTCATTGTTCACCCCATTTTTAAGCAAAGAACAAGTGGAATTCCTGTGAATCTAAAAGTGGAAAGGGCCAAAGTGAGATTCTTCCCATTTACCATTTTTCCTTCTATTACATGATAAAATTTAATATATATATATATAATTTAATAACAAAATGTTACTAATTTGACAAGTTATTGCAGGACCTTAACAAAATGTTATTAATTTCTCCCTAATAATTATAAAAACTCTATAATAAAAAATTAAATTTATTTGAATATCTGTATTCCATTATTCGTTATTAATGCATTTCTTTAGCTCTTCTTAAATAATCTACTTTGTTATATCACTCCCTCCGTCCCAAAAAAATAGTTCACATTGAGTTTTAAATTTTGTACTATTTTTAGTACAAATTTTAAAACTCAATGTGGACTACTTTTTTGGGACGGAGGTAGTACAGTATATTTTAATTCAGCAAATTAAGATTATTAAGGTGGGGGCAGAACATATTTTCATGTACTCCCTCCATTCCAAAATAAGTGTCGTTTTAGCAAAATGGAGAAATTCCAAAATAAGTGTCGTTCTCACATTTCAATGCACTTTTTGTCAAAAGTTTCCAGAATTACTCTCAAAAGAGTTGATGCTATTGGTGGATAATTTTATAATGGAGTTGGTTGAGGATATTCAAGTAATTTTATTACTCTATTTAAGAGTTTCTTAAACTATGTGCAAAGTGTAGGACAACACTTATTTTGGAATGGAGGAAGTATAAATTTAGAGAAGTTGGAAGAAGTTGGTGGAGTGTGTGCGTGCGTGTACTGGGCTGGGCCACATCTTCAACATCACATCACACAACAATACACAAACAGATCGTCTCTATATATGATGGGCTCATGAGGTAGTATTAAACATCCGTGAGTGTGGGCGTTTAGTGTAATGTGGACAGTTCATTAGAAACACCATGTGATACTTCTTTTCCATGGCCGAACATTGCGACTCTTCAGAGAAAATAGAAGAACATGACACTCAGTACTACTAGTACAATACCCTAAACAAAAAGCCATACGAAATGCCCATTCCTTGGAACCAAAAAAAGAAGAACGCCAATGGAATGACAACTTTAAATGGAATGGAACAAAATGAGCCAAAATATGGCAACCAAAATGGAAGCCATGTTAAGTAGTGAATCCGTAAACTAGTGCTAGTATTATACTTCATTTACTTGTTAAACCGTAAACTGTTTCAGTTCAGTTATTTTGGATCCAAAATGAAAAAGTAAAACTTGAACATATCGTACAGAAAAAATAAAATAAAATAAAAATAAACCGGAATTTAATATATCGGATCCCCAAATTAGTAGAATGAAATTGAGACGGTTTATTTGATGGGTCACACCAATCAAACTGACAAACATACGTTTGAAAGGTTTTTTTATATTTCGGCCTATGATGTGGAAAAATTACAAGAAAAAATTATAAAGAATGATGTTTCTTAGAAAATTCTTTGGAAGTTGTATTATTTTGACAGGATTTGATTGAGTTTGTGGAGATTTTTGAAAATATGTGGTCATACATGATGGTTGATGACAACAGATACACATTAGTAGATGTTCACTCTGCATATTTTCTTCTATTAAGAGTTTAACTTGAATTTATTAACCAGAAAGTGATACAATTTAAATTAGGGGAAAAATTCACTTTTTGTACCTTAAGAATAGGGATCTCCAAATCATGTACCTAAGAATTTAAATCATGTACCCTACGTTTAAATTTTATTATTTTAAGTATTTTTTGAAGGCCAAAACGGAAGATTAATGAAATTTTGTCCTAAATTACTATATTTTTGCCCCCCAAACTTCTAGAAAATAACAAAATTACACCATAAATTTTATTGATTTTACAAATTTATCTTTCAGTCACATTTCAGCAAATTGCAACTAGATTTTTGGTCAAAAATTTCCATGACTTCCGGTGTTTATTATTATTGACGTACATATTCGTTTTATTTTAGCGACTTTTTCTCTATCATAAGTTTTATTTATATTTTTATTTGTCGTTTCCATGATTATTTTAAAAACTATTTTTTTATTCTTTCTTATTTTGGGTACTTTTTGTTCAAGTTCTTGGCACTTTGATGCAAAAAAATATCCCTAAATCCAAAAGCATGTGAAAATGACTTTTTGTCATTATTTATCACCAAAATTTACAAAATGACATCGGATGGATTTTTGGCTTAGTATGGAGGCCTATTTGAGAAATAATTTGGTTGATGATTGTGAAAAAATTATCCAATAATTAATGAACTATTTTGTGGTTTACTCAAATATAATTAAAACAACGACTACAATTAACGGCCCGGAAACGAGACTTAAAAGAAAAAAAAAAACGGCTGCAATTATTTTTTGGCTGTAGAAATGATTACATGCATTAAATTCAATAAAGAACCGGCAGAGAAAGATTAGAGAAAGTGAATACATGTCAGCAGCGCGAATTTCACGGAGAAGATTAAAGCTGTGTTGTTAAAACCGGATCGAACCGATCGGTTGAACCGGTTCGACCGAGAATCGGACATCTTACTGGTCCGATTATATTAAAAACTCGCTTGATTAAAAAACCGATCAAATCCAGTCAAACTTGCGGTTTGACCGGGAACCGAAATGAACCGGCCGACCCCGGGTTTATGTCCTCCCCCAATAATTTTCACATTGATGCTTCTATTTCTTCCCAATTCTCAGAAAACTTGTGTTAGGATTCATATACTTCCTTATTATGTGAACTTTTCATCATCCATAACAAAAAGATACCTCTCAATATCAAGTTTATCTCTCATCTCTATAATATCTTATTTACTTTGTGGAAAGAAGAAAATTAAGGAAAAAAAGAAAGAAAGCTGAACGGATGGAGGGATAGGAATTCAGTATAACAAGGAAGAAGAGGGAGAATCCCTAAAATGAAAATAGAGACGGGAAAAGAAAAGAAAAAAAAAGAAGGGGGGCTGCGAAGTGCGAACTGGAGCAGAGGAGAAAAAAAGGAGAGGGTGGGCGACGGTGGGAAAAAATAGGTAGGTAGAGTTTTTTAATTGGTATTTATACTTTTATAATTATGTAATGACCCCAATAATTTAACTTAGTACTAACAAGACTTACAAATTCTACATTCTATTTATTTGGCAACATAAGTTCTTTCTATTTCAAATATTACATTATTTTCATATTTAATTACTTATTATATAATAATGACATCATCTGGTTTTTTAGAGCGGTTAAACCGGTTTGAACCAGTGAACCGATGAATTACCAGTCCGGTTTTCAAAACATAGGATTAAAGAAATACTTTGGTCGTCTTTTTCGCTTTTCGAGTTTGGATCTCTTAGCTTGACCTCCTATAGTGATAATGTTACTGTTGAAAAAGCTTGAACGTATAGGATAGTGGCAGCTTACAGCTTATTATGTGAAAGAGAAGTAAAACTTTTGTCTGTTCTCTATTGTATGACTGTGTATCCTCTACAAAAAGAAATGTGTGACTGTATGAGAGAGAAGAGAGTAAAAAATCAGTCTGATGAATTGGACGAGAAGAAACAACGTTAACAGACTTAGGGTATGTTTGTTTAGTTTTTTTAGCGTGTATTTTTAGATATTTTTTGTATTGAAAATGTAAAAAAATGTATTGAAAATGTAAAAAAGTATACTGAGATGGGACAGTTATTATTTTATTATTATGAAAAAACTATCTAAAAAACAAAACAAATAAAGCCTTAGATTTTGAAAATTCAAAATTTAATTTTTTTATAAAAAAAAAATACTTGGGGATCCAACTGGCTTAGTTACAAAACATCCCCTCTATTGGGTGATCTACTACTATTTAGAGCAACTAATTCTCGCGTTAGTCGGGGGTATTGTCAAAATATGTAACCCCGGTGAAATATTTTAAAATTTTTTGAAATTCAAATTAGGCGGTTTATTAAATGGGCCAAGGAAGGAAAGTGGTAGCCCATTAGTAAGAAGACCTTTACTCAAAATTCCAAAAGGCATAACCAACCAGCCCACCGCCCTCATTGGGCTTTATGGTCTTCACATTTTTGGTCTGATAGTTCTAAATTAATCAACGCTGACAACACCGTTTATTTTTTGAGTTCAGCCTTAAAATAACCCCGTGGGTGACAACACCTTAAAGACTTCTTCACCGCCTAAAGAATTGGGAAGTTAAAAAACAAGAAAAGAAATGAAGGCTCTGAGCGATCGAAAGAATTGGAGTTAGAATCCAAACATCAGATTCCGCCGTCAGACCCTAATTCCTGGTTTTCTCCAAGTAAGTAAGCCCTAATTATCATTTTCTTTCTGCAATTCAGATATGGTTACTCGAAACTGAAATGCTCATGGTTTATGATTATAAGAAATCAATGTCCTCCTAGGTTTTCTCTGTGTATGATGTTGGGAATTGTATGCTATATTTTGTTCTGGGGTTAGATCATTCAAAGCTAGAGCCATAAAGTGAGAAGAACACCGTGCAAAGGGGTGATTACTTTAAAGCCTGTAACACAGGATTGTATATTAGAACCACAAAATGATTGATTTTTATATTTCTGTGGAGAACTGGTCCTTGATTCCTGGGAGGAAAACAAATTTAGTGGAAATTGAAGAACAGTTGGTGCTACTGAGTTTAGTGGGAGTTGAAATACGCACACCTTGAATTTCATCCTGCCCAAGAGTGTTTCCCCATATATAAATTGAATGGCTGGTGCAGTAGAACCTGCGAGTTTAGGGATGGAAGGAATTCCAGGCCCAGTGATGGAGGACTCTTCTGATGATACTGGCATGTGTGATGAAATTCCAGTTGATCGGATCAGCGATCTACGGGAAGAGATTATTTCCCACATTCTTTCGTTCCTTCCCGCAGAATCTGCTGTCGCAACAGGTCTTTTGTCCAAAAAATGGAGACTTCATTGGACCAAGGTAACCAGCTTTCATTTTGATGATCGGTGGTGGCTTGAGAAGGGGATATCCTATTATGAGAAGCTTGGTGGTAGCACGAACTTCGTTGACTTTGTTAACATGGTTTTGCTACTTCAGAATCGTGAGGTCTCCATGAACTGTTTCAGGCTCTCTGTGAGTGACCCCGAATTCCCATTTGTTTATCTTAAGATCTGGATCACTACTGCAATGGCTCGAAATATTCGCGTGCTTGAGTTGTGTATGGTGCCAGACACTGAATATGATGATCCCGATTATCCTGGTGGATATGCTGTTGACCATGAAGTCTATAATGACTATGAGATTTACCTACCATTTCCTCTCTACTCTTGTGGGACACTTGAGGTGCTCAAATTATACGGGCCTATTTTCACTTGGGTTCCCCATGTGGTTTGCCTTCCAAGACTTACTCTTCTGCAACTACATTCTATTCACTATGAATCGAATGAGTCCTTTCATAAGCTTATATCTGGTTGTCCAAAGCTCGAATCTCTCATAATTTACAGGTGTCACAATGATGACATTTATGATGGCATCTTAGATTTTTCAATTTCTTCCCCAGTAGTAAAAACTCTCAAGTATTACCATGATTTCTCTATGTGTGAAGCATGTGATACTAATATTGCTCCTGATTTCAAGCTGCAAATTGATACTCCTGCACTTGAGTACCTCTCTTTGGAGGATACTATGTCGAAGGAAATAATTGCTGTGCAAGAGTTGGCGTCTTTGAAGGAAGTGGAGGCAATTAAAGCCTTTTATACTTCACCTGGATCGATTGTAGCGTTATTTCAAGCTTTTTATCATGTGAAGATTCTGGATGTATCAGGTGAAATAATGGAGACTCTGATGGAAGCCAACAAGAAATGGTCGGCTAGTTTTCAGAGACTAATCAAATTAACTGTTGAAATTGGGCATTCTCAATGGAGTTGTCTGATAGATTTGATTAATTGTTGCCCCACATTAGAGTTTCTTCATGTTTCCACTTACCTTGATTCTGGCTCAGCTAACCGCAATTGTGAGAGGGGTCCCATTATTGTCCCGCAATGCTTTTCATCTAGTCTCACACATGTTTCGTATACAGGAATCAGGGATCTTGAGGATGATGATTTGACTATTTTCAAGTTTATTGTAAACAATGCATTAGTGTTGAAAAGGGTTCGTGTACGCACTACTTCATCTCTTGATCTCGGCAAAAAAATTGGTTTACTGGAGAAGATTTTAGTGCACTGCAGATTGTCTCCGACTTGCAACATCTCACTCAGAGTTGATTCTTTTGAGATGGATTCAATGAATGTCTAGGTACGTCATGAGCTGGTCAGGAACTTGGTGACTTTTAGTGCACATTTTGGCGAGTGTTATGGGAAGAGTGACTCCTGATGCTAGTGGTTATACTGATTTTAGCACACAAGAAGTGGAAGATGAAATCTGGTGCTCGTGTACTTGGTGAAGCGACTTCGACACCGTCAACTGCATCTAGCTGTATTTTGGCAAAGCTTGAGACTTTACTAGAGGGCAATAAGAATTGTTGGCCAGACTTCAGATTCTTGATTGTTGAAGAGGATGTTCTTAGTCCTTCTGCATCTATACGCAGCTGTAGGCCTTTTTTTTGTTATTTTAGTGTCTTGAAAACTTGTCTCAACTGTTCATTTCTACCTGCTGTGTGAATTCTATTAAGTTGTTTGATTAGCAGAAAACCTTTCTCTTAATTTTTCGATTCCAGTATGATGTTTGTGATCATAATTCCCTACAGCGTGCCTTTTGTTTACATATGTTTATGCTCATCCCCTCTTATGCAAATGTAGTTTCCCAGGAGATTTACAGAGGTTTGCTGCACATATCATAAGCTGGAGAATGTATGACAAAAGTAGAAAGTAGACATCGAGTGGGTTAAAAGGAGTAGAGTAACAAAAGAAATCAACTATGAACCGTGATTGCTGAATATGTTTAAAACAAAAAATGTATAGTGTCAATGGTAGAATCCAGAACAATTTTCCACAATCTTTGTTAAAATACCAAGTATATAGTGTCGAGTGTCATGATCTAGAAAAACAGGAAAATCATTTTGGGACGAGACGAGATCTTTACTATTATTGCAATGACATAATCAAATTTGTTAAATACGCATGTTGTCTAGTAGTTGGTTCTAGACGGTCGTGTTCAGGGTGCTACAAGATCAGCTGCCACCATGCATGATGCAACAAGTCTTGTCTTCAATTAACAGTTCAGTTTTGCTGGGTACAAAACAAAGTGAAAAACCGATAGTTTGAAATGAAAAACTTATATTCACCATTCTTTTTTTTCCAAAAATTAGATCGAAAATTTGACATTAATGAAACTGATGGAAGTTTTTGAGGACTAGAGACAATGCATACGATGAAGAAGACCGAATCCAAAAAACGGCTGGTTTAGGCTACCGTGAAAATGGAGGACAGGCCTTGATGGAGATTGAAATTGACACAAGTGTTGTTTATAATTATTTATTTGTTTGTTTTGTTTTAGAAAAATACTTATGCACTACAGTAATCAGCAGCCGGCTGTAATTCCATCAATTTCTTATTAATGAACCAAACTTTGATTTGTTTCATTAGTACTATAAAATATAGAAACATGCTTATCACTAGTATTAATTATTTTGTTTTGCTTTCGCGTATCACCATCTTACCATTTCCCACCTAAAAATTTTTCTGGTAATCATTTCTGTTGAATTATAATACCTTAAGTTGACCCAGCTACATGAAAAAGTTAATTAAAATTTTGTGCAGCAAGGATATGAGAGTTGACAATTTAGGCAAAATGTGCTAGTATAAAATTCGCGATATATTGTGTGCTTTTCATTTCTTCTTATAAATCTTTGGATTTTAATTAGTAGTATATTTTATGTGTATTTAACATTTTTTTTTTACTTTCAAACAAATTCGGTTGGTACAATAAGAGAGAATAAAGTCTTTAACGATCTAGATTATTACGTACGTTCTGTTATAAACAACTCTTATAATGTCATGTTTAAACAAAACCGGATTTTGACTAGAGGAAATGCTGGATGAGCAAATATACACTGGCTGAAAAAAAACTCGAGAAATGAGAGCAAAAAAATAATGGAGTTTCATCGTCAAATAGATCTACACTTATAGCTTGCGTGATTGGCGATACTTGGAAGTAAACGACTAGCTCTCTTTTGAGCGTAATTCCAAATAATTAAAATATAGGAGTAATATATAAGACCGAAAAAGTACCTCAGTATCCACTAGTATCTAGTATCGATTTTGTATTCCTTAGTAAAACATTTTAAAAAAAAAGGGACCAAATAAATAAAGTCGGTATGATATTTGAAACATAAGTAAGTTGCTCTCTAATTAAACAGTAATAAGTTCACACCCACCTAACTTCAGTGCCAAATTAAACACACTTGATGTGTCGGATGATTACACATGTCTGTTTGCCTTCTATTTTTTTCTTCACTTAATTGTAAATTTTTATTTTTATTTTTTATTTTTTTGCGTCATGAATCTGTTCCATTAACTAATTTCGTGATTTCAATTATTTTCATGAATAATTGTTCTCCACATAGTTAATACGGTCATTTAAATGGTTTTAAGGTTCTTTTCCACAAAACTCATCATTATTATTGTTATTATTCTTAAAGGAAATATGAACATTTACTAACCTGTTGAGAAATCGCCCAATGAGATAGCAAAACGGATTTAATAATATCTCATCAACTTGCTATTATACTTAGTTTATTGAGGTACGAGATTGAAACTTGAGGTTGATCCATTTACAACAAAAAATTAGCTAGCCACAAACTTTAATTGATTGGGTGGAAAACTTGATCTTCGCGCCATGATTTTAGTGGTTATGGGGAAGAATTTGATTGAACTCTTGTCAATTCTGTCATTATAATTGATGATGCTTAACCTTAAGTAGTAACACTTTGTCTTTTTATTCTTTAGATTTTTTTTTTTGGGGGGCGGGGGAGGGGGCAGATGATATGTAGATGAAGTAGGTCTTTGACATTTGAAGTACTTCTAGAAATCGTTCGATATTTACTGTCTAATTGCTGACATTTTGACATGTAATTAATTCGTTTTATCAACAAATGATCATACACACACACAAAATTTCCAGTGTTGACTATAAGGCCCGAAGCCTAGCTATACAATATGGCGGTTTTCATTATTTGTTCTATGGTAAAGACAAAAACAAAATAATGCAAAGCTCATATAATTCATAAACATAATAATGATGCAATATGTAGGGAAATGTTGAAAGGTCGGATAAAATTAAAATCTTTTGTCTTGAAACGAATATGATGTGTATCTCCAAAATTCCCTCCCATCATATTTTCCAACCATGCCCTTGCCCCTTTTTTTTTTTTTAATTATAGAGGAAAAAATACAATACTACGTCAAAGTCAAGAAAATGCTACCTTCGTCCCATAAAAAAATAGTTCAATCTTAGAAATGTATATTAAAATTCTTACGAAGCGATTATGATATGATCACAACATAATCATACTTTCAAGGTGACAAAACGAAGCAAACTAAACCAGAAAAAAAAAAAAAAAGAAGGAACCGAGTAAACAGCAGAATCAGAGACACAATTAAAGCATTTTACAAACTGTTCTCCATTAGCCTGCTGGGAATTAATTAAAATTCATTGCGCATGCATTCCTCCTGCCCCAAATTTTTTTTTTAATTAATTGCTCACCAAATCACTGTAATTAACTATTACTACTACAAGGAAAATTCATACTCCTCCTCCTCCTAAGCTAGCTAGCTACTTTGTGGGCCATAAATGCTTGCTGTGCAAACTAAATAATCAAAAATTGCAGCGACATTAAATAGAAAGAAGAAGAAGCACAAAAGTAATAAATGGCGGCTTCTTTGTTTTAGACCTTCTTGTTGCTGAGATCAGTCAATAATATTTGGCTCACTCTTTTGCTTCTCTCCTTCCTATTTCTCCCATTTGCTGCTTAATTCAGCTATTTCTCTGTCCTATTGTCTGTCTCCTTCTTTTTATACCTCTGTTAAAAGTACCTACTTTTTCACCAATTTTATTTTTTCCCCTCTGTAGAATTGATTTCAGATTACTATTAAATTGATGGAAATGGAAGTTGTGGTGCCAAATTACAACATGGATTTTGATTTCAACAGTGCTCGTTCATCTCCAAGGCATTATTTGGGTTCCCCCGGAACGCCAAGGCGGCTTGGTGAATTTTACACCAGTGCTCCGACTAGCCCGAGTCGTCTGGCTCAGTTTTACCGGGAATTTGATGATTTCTTGATCTCCGGTGCCGGTGGCAGAGATGGCAGTTCCGTTACGGTGCCTTTTGATTGGGAAGAAAAACCCGGAACTCCGAAATCGCCTAAGAGTGAAGATGAATTCGCATTTGATGTCGGTGGTGGTGATGATTGGCAAACTCCATCTGTGTCTGCTGAAGAGCTATTTGATGGTGGAGTAATCAGGCCTCTGAAACCTCCTCCTCGGTTGCAGCTTCCTCCTAAAGCAAGAAACAACAATGGCTCTTCCTCTTCAGCTCAGAAAATTAGTGGGTCGCCGAAAAAGATGATCTTGGGTGCTTTTTCACCTAGGAACAGAACAGAGTACGAGATTCTGAGAAGCCCGGAACCGGAAATTGCAAGAAGAAGGTCGCCGGAGCGGCAAAGGGGAAGGGAAAGAGGTCCAGCCGGGTTATCTTCATCAAGCAGAAGGGCAACAAGATCACTTTCTCCGTTGAGAGTTTCTCAGTATCCATGGGAAGAAGAACAGAGTCAGGCTGGAGGAAATAGTACTAGTACTACTAAAACAGAGTTATCATCATCATCAATCATTGTTAAGCCATCATCCAGTTCGGCAATATCTGCACTGGCTTCATTCTCAAAGAAATGGAGATTGAAGGACTTTTTCTTGTTCCGAAGTGCATCAGAAGGCAGAGCATCTGATAAAGATCCTCTGAGGAAATACACTGCGGTATTTAAGAGATATGAAGATATAAAGCTCTCAAGCAACAGTGGAAGGAACATTAATAGCTCTCCAGTTTCACCAAGGAGGGGGAAAAAAGGGCATGTTTCAGCTCATGAGTTGCATTATACTATGAACAAAGCAGTTTCAGATGATATGAAGAAGAAGACATTCTTGCCTTACAAACAGGGGATTCTGGGGAGGCTTGCATTCAATCCTTCAGTTAATGCACTTGCTAATGGCTTCGGATTATCTCGCAAGTGAAAAAGTTTTGGTTGATTGGGAGTTCTTCTTATATGTATAGAAGTTTTGTTTGTGCTTTGTTCTTTTGTTCTTTTCTTGTTTTGTTTATTCACTCGCCGGAGATATCCAATTGTGTCAATCTCTCTGCGTGTTATGCAACGCTTTAATGTAAGCAAAAGCCGCCCCAAAAAAAAATATTGTGATCAATCTCGTTTACAGCAGTGTACAGAAACTGTGTAAGATCACAGAACGACCAGGATTCAAATCCGGATCCTGGGGCAAAAAAAATCTTTGAGATTTCTGATTTCTTGATAAGAAATTTCAATTAATTTGAAAGATACTAATCTAAAATTGGGTTGACCATCTAGATTAAGTGGTTAGAGGGGGAAGATAGACGGAGGGTCAAATGGTGAGGATGTGAGAATACATCAGTGTCTGAGTAAGCAAGGGTATTTGCAGCAAGTAGAGCTGCGACATTTGGCAACAAAGAATAATGATAATCAAGATGCAAATGGATAGAGAGATTAAGTTAAATTCCTTTGCTGCATGGAGACAGAAATGTACAGATCCAAAATCATGTTCTAGATGGCTTGAAAAATATGTGATGAGTTTTCATTTTCAGGGATTTTGACTTTTCTCCAAGTCGCCTTCAGGCTTCCATCACCAAGAACGCTGTATAACTACTACTTGTAAATATTAAATAAACAAGGGATTCTTGGAGTGAATAATCTCCTTGGCCTGCTCTATTATATACGCATTTAGTCACCCGTCAGCGTCTCAAAATGAAACAGGCATAGTGTGACAATCTCTAAATGATTATCATCGAGTACCTATGCCTCAGTCAAAGTTATCAACCTTGATGGGAATGATCTCATCGGCGACATTGAAATGTCCCACCATACGTGCAAAGAACATCATCTGTTGTTCCAGAGTGAACTTTATGTTCTCAGCCTACAAAACAAACATGTTTATAGATTACTATCCTGCAAGTTGTCCAAGATTAATAACTTGATGCACGCATTAAACTTAGTCGGTTGCATACCTTTCGAAATCCATGCTGTTCTCCTTCATACTCAACCAGAGCAACTGGTAATCCTTTTTCCTTCAATGCACGATAGATTTTGCGAGCTTGCTCTGGGGGTACAACCTGGAAAATGGAAGCCATCAATCCTCCAATGCATTGGTTTTAAGTGAAGTAGAAGAAGGTCAACATTTCATTAAAACAAAAGAGGAGCAGTGTCTACAGTGCTCCTAAAAGAGCCACATTCTTTCTCCTCTTCTTCCATCATCAAACTTTTAAAAATCCCTAAATGGATACCCAAGAAAATAGAGAAAAAGAATGACCAAATGGTTTAAGATAAGAAAATTAATCACCTTTACTCATGCATATACACGCAAATCAAATATAAAAGAAAGCTATGCTTCACCTTTCTCTTAGCCAAAGGTACACTAGGTTTCATTAACCTCGATGGTACTGTATTGGGTTTTGTTAAAACAGGATATGCATTTATATTAAAGAAACTTGTTCAGGAATTAACCAAGGAATAGAAAAGGTATCATCTCTGATGTTCATACCTTATCCTCCAATCCTTGGAATAGAATAATTGGGCAAGAGAACTTATCGACGAAGTTGATTGGTGATCGCTCAAAGTAAGCACTTTCATCCCCTGAAAGAAACCAAATAATTGATTAATTCATACGAAAGGACATGCACCCACGTCAATTATTTTCAAAAGAATGAAGTGGTGAATATGGCTTTATTCCTCAAGTAGTGCCCTAAGTCCGTTACCTACAAGATTGTCGAGATAATGGGATTCAAATTTGTGTGTTTCTTGCCTCAGCAACTTTAGATCAGCTACCTGTCAGCAAAACAAATTATTAGTTCAAAATAGAGTGCAGATACTAGCAATCAAATTTGTAGACTCACGGAAAACCCAAAGCTGCAAAGTTGCTTGCTGCAGGATTATCAACATCAACATCAACATACCCAGTATAGTCCCAACCAAGTTATATAAGCTACTTCACGGAGGCTCCAATAAATATTGACAAAGCACTTACACCATATAAAGAGGCTCCAGCTTTAAATGTATCTCTGAATGCAAGCGCTGCTAATGTTGTGTACCCACCAGCAGAACCTCCAGTAATGCATAGCCGCTCACCATCAACTTTTCCGTTTTCAACCTTCACATTATAAGAAAAGCCATGAAGAAACGTGGTCATTTTGGTATCCCTATGAAACTCGGAAGAATTTCCCTACCAAAAACCTTGCACAGCTGCAACAATCATTAACGTCGACAATACCCCACTGTCCTAACAGCCTGTCTCGGTATTCTCTACCATAGCCTGCAAATATTTCCATTGACAATCTTTGAGCACATGGAGATAGCATAATCCTACAGGATCTATGACAATATAATGACCTGTAAGGATTGCTTATAAAAAGATAAATTGCGAAAACCGCATTGCAATCAGAATTAAAACATACTAGCAAGTTCATTAATGAAATGAAATTCATGTACCTCCCTACCAGAAGGTATATATATACATACATACATATATATATATATATATATATCACGAATCAGAAACAAAGTATTTAAAAGTAAATGAAACAAATTCTGTAAACAAAAGGTTGAATAACAGCAGATGCCTGCAGACATAAGCCAAACCAAGGCAAGTATTTCCCTGAATCCATTAAGACTATCCTCTAGGTATGCTCACAAAATTCTATGTGCGTAAACTTTTTGCTGCATAAAGTTAATGCATACCAGTACTTCCACCATAATTAACATCCACAAATGCCCAACCACGACTTGTCCAATACTGGATGCTAAGATTCAAAACTCCACGGGTCTCCGCAGTAGGCCCCCCTGCAGGAGTATAACAAGTGAGGAAAATCGTGTACCAAGGGGTGTTCAATAAAAAAATTTCTTAAATCATGAGCAGTCCTCTTCTATGGCTCACAAGATGTTTTAAAAAGCAGTTCAGTACTCATTTATTACATATGGAAGGAAAAAAAAAAAAAAACCTGTCTTTTAACACAGATCTGAACCTCTAGACCGGAAAAAAAAAAAAAAAAAAAGAGAAGCTAGACCACATAATGGAGAGCTCGTTTCTTATTTCCCCATTCACTGGAGAACAATTTGTGGAATGCAAGAAACTGAAGTATAATTCATTCAATGTATAAGCAAATACTTTTGCTAGTTTTAATTTTAAATGACATCATGGCTTGATGGAACATGCAGCTTGATCCATTCTGACATTACTCAAGAAATGGAAAAAAGAACAAGACATCCATATTAAACATTCCCTTGTTTACCCCGTACCATGGCTTTTCAACAACAATGGAGGCTTTTCTTTTCCATCAGCTTGAAAAATGGGGTTCTTTGGCAGATAGAAGTATGCAAATGCACTCTGACCAGGGACTCCAGTTGGGAACTCTATCAGTTCTGGCTCACTGAAGTATGATGTATAACTAGGACTGATGGATGTAGAACGCCAGAGGATCTTGAAATCAATTGCTTTTGCTTTCTGATCATCTAAAGCCACCTGCAAACAAGAAAAAGAATAAATGAATGGATAAACCAATAACAAGAAGTAAAATAACATGAAGCAATAACATAACGTAATTTTTGCTGTTGGGGAAAACCCCTAAACAAAGCACCTTCACTATTGATAATGGATGAACTGCAGAAGCTCCCTCAAGATACAGGTACTGACGCCAAGAAGTCTGAAAAGGCAACACGTCAATAAACATCATAATCCCTCTAGTGTCAAGAAAGTCGTTACAACAGTCAAACAAGGATTAGTATTTTTACAATATTACTCAGATCCGTAAAAGGAATATCCACAGCTGACAATGTGTTTTTAGCAGCATCAAGAATACCAAGAAACGATTTCCCGCCTTTCCTGCATTTGAGGTTATCCACATTCAGAGTGATAAAGTTATCAGTGGCTGAAATTGGAAAATTCATAAATAGCTTTTATAAGTTTTATAAAATTTCAGGATACCTGTAACTGCAGGCAACAAGGTTCTTATTATTGTGCCCAATAAACTCATAGGAGTTCATACCAAAAACCCACAGAGGCCGAGCAAACTCAGCATCAAGGGTGTAAAGTGGAAGTACCTCGTTGGTAGATTCAACCTGCATTTAATGCATGAGATAACACCTCAAAATTCTTAACATAATCTGCAAAGGCCCTCATATACTTAATAAGGTTATGAAGTTGCCAATTAGAACTGATGCAGGGTCTTTGATCATTTAAAAGAATAAAAAAGTCAATAAAAAATAAAAAGAAGAAGGGTCCCCAGCTTTCTAAAATTAATCACAAATGAAGGCAATATCATACATTCAACATTTCAACTCTATAAAAAAGAAGATGAGATAGCCAATTTTAGGTAAATCCATAAATAACAGCTGCCTTCAAGCCAGTGCTAGCAAGGATCAGCAAGATATATCGCCTATTTGACGGGGGCTAAATGACAAGGAGGGACTCCCAATGTACCAGCAATCATCCATTTTGATCTTGTGGAGATTAAAGAACATATCTAAAAATGACAGAAGGAACAAGAAGTAACAAAAATGGACAAGATTTGAATCATAATGCCAATCAGATTATTAAAGATGAAATGAAAAGTGTAACAACAATGATATTCAGGTAAGCTCACCCATTTATACAGATTCCAAAATCCAGATCCTCTATCGCTGATAAAGTACAATTCTCCTGTCACGGCAAGAACTCAACGGATAAATATGAAGCAATGAGGTTTCCCATAGCAGTAATAATGCGATGTATTCCACATAAAAAGCCAAACTATTCAAAGTACCTTGAGGACCCCACTTAGGTTCAGTTGGAGATTCAACAACTATCTGCTCACCACCTGCAACACATATCTGGTTGTGCACTTCACTGGGCAAAACAGCAAAAGTAACATTCCAATCACCAACTGAATGAGATTAATAAGAGATTCATGGTTGAAGGTCATTTTGGCTTCAACAAAAAGAGGCAATTTCTGATGAAGAATTATCTTTTAAATGATTGGTTCAAGAATGTTCAACGCCAAAAAGAAATTAATAAACAAAGGACACTTTTTTCAAGACAACCTTCCATTTTATGAATCCAGGGGACTACTTGAGACCTGTTTCAAGGTCTAACTTGATAGGAAGTCATAATGTCCTTTATCCCCAAATCAGACAAGCAATCAAGTTTAAGCATCATACCCTACTCATCAGAGATAAAGAAAGCGTGCTGTATACCCTTTATCATTTATACTGCCAACCCAAAGTTCAGATCGGTCCCATGGCATGTTAGGATGTCTCCACTGAATCCACGCTATCCGTTCTCCTTTTGGATCCAAACGAGGGAATGCGTAAAAGTCACTGCCAGCAATCAGTACTTGTGGTTCTGCATGGCACATCACACTTTTAGACGGGCGAAAATAAATAACATTTTCCATGTTCATCAGGTGAAATTGGAATTCATAAACCTTGAAGAGAAAAAGACACATTCATTCAAGTTCACCATGCAAAAAGAAGAAGGGAAGTAACTGAACAAAGAACCTGGAAAACCAACACCTACCTAGGCTTTTTTCATCATTTAACTTGAATGCCACAATGGTTGTAATAGAATCTGTACCACTTTCACGACAGTCTGTAGCACAAGAATATCCAGAAATGAAATTCTTATTATGCATATAACATATATGACTAAAAAAAGTTAAAATCATGAAGATATATACCATGCATATACCTTCCTGTACAGTCACATAACGATCAAAACGAGAGTCAAAAACTCCGTCTGCATACGATACGAGAGGTTTTCCATAATCCGGAGTGATTGGCACAGGCGCAGATTCTGCCAGCAGAACAAGCAAAAAAGGACTATATAAATGAAAGATATAGATGGAAACAAACATAAAAATTACACACAAGCACACTCCAGAACTGGTTAATTTCCCGCTATAGCAAAAATATAACTACATTGTTAGGAACAGAACGAATTCACAATTAAAACATAAAGTATGGGTAAAATATTGCTCACACGTGTATCACAACATATAAGCATCCCAAATAAATATGAACTCCAAAGGAAACACTAGAAAAGAAACAAAAAACTACAAGAGAAGCCATTAAGCCAATTCCAAGGGTTAATGGAAAAACTATGACACATAAGAAAGGAAAGCGGTAAAAGATTTGAACCTTTAGATGATAAAGACTGCTTATAGAGTCTTTGATCCTTATAATTTGAGAAAATTACACTATCCCCAATGATCCTAAATGCTCCCCCACCATATTCCTGAGCCACCGTCCTTACAGAGAATTCCTTTGGTGTAATATCGATTGGCTCATCTCCTTCTTTCTCTCCTTCATTCACCAGAACGAGACGTCTGAAACAACAAACACAGCGGGTTTAATCGTAAAGATCATTGAATTGAATTAGCCTCAGCAACAAATTCTTAGCAGGTATAAAACGTAAAACCCCTTATAAACCCCGGCGAAGAGTGCAATAGAGATAAAAAGAAAGTATTAGTACCCAGACTCCAGGGGGCGGGACTCGACCCAGTAGAGGCGACCATTGGAGTCGACGGCGGAGCCACCAAGGCGCTTCTCGGAGCCGGAGACTAGGTCGGCGGTTATCGGGGACTTCCAAGAACCGTAAGGAGCGGTGGTGATTTTATCAGCCGTGGCCGGAGTGGCGGAGCTGTTGCCGGAGGAGGTGGCGGTTGACATTTTCGCGGGAGAGTGACGGCAAGTTACGAGTTGAAGCTTTCTGGGAATGAGATGGAATAAGGTCACAGCCGACGACGTCGTAATGAGAGCATTAATCGGGTAGAGCTTAGTGCAGGAGCGAGTGACCACTGTCGATATAGTCCTTCCTGAGACTGAAAGTGCCATTCTTCGATTGGCTGTTTGATTGACGTTTTTTTAATCATTTTGGAGCATAATTTTATTTTTATTTTAGTTTTTAATCATTTTCTTTTTTTTTTCACTTCTTATATTGAAAATTTCCTACAATGTATTTTTTTTTTCCCAATATAATTATTGAGTTATCAAAATCATTTTCGAATTTTCGATTTTGACCGATTTTTTTTCCTTCTCAATCGTATCAGAGTAACTATCTAATCTAACTATCATAAACTTACAAATATGTTTGATGTAGCCACATTTTATGTCACACCACGAATTACAAGCTATAACAAAGTATTTTAAAAAATAAATTTGTCGATTATTAAAATGATTATTTTGATACAAGCTAGCCAAATGAGTACATTTACATCCATGATGTAACAAACTTGTTAAAGAAAGAAACAAAATGTAAGATTACCAAGACTATTTGAATTACAAACACAATTTGAGTGTGAAAACTTTCTTGATATACCCTTAAATCGACAAAGAGATCACAGTTACATGTTGTTTCATCACCAACAAAGTTTCTTATAATTAAGGTCGTCTTAGTAAGTAACCAATGCCTTAGTCAAAATTATCAATCTTGATAGGATTGATGTCATCTGCCACATTGAAATGTCCAACCATTCGTGCTAAAAACACCATCTGTTGTTCCAGTGTAAACTTGATGCTTTCAGCCTGCAAAATACACCATCATTTCTTTTTGTAACTAGAAAGTTGACGTATAGACAAACTTAATAACAAGGATGCTTGCTTACCATTCTGAATCCATGCTGTTCTCCTTCGTACTCAACTAAGGCAACTGGAAGCCCTTTTGCCTTTAGTGCCTGATAGATCTTTCGGGCTTGGTCAGGGGGAACAACCTGCAACGTCGAGGGCCTATGTAAACTAGAGGATGATAAAATGGAAGTGGTACGTTTACTAGTTTTCTCACCTTGTCATCTGATCCATGAAATAGAATTATCGGGCACGAAAATTTATCGACGAAGTTAATAGGTGATCTCTCAAAGCATGCAGTTTCATCTCCTGGAAAAGGAAAAATATCAAACTAAAAATTTATGTGAAGAATGGAAATGCTTTTTTCACTCTTAACGAATGCAGTCATTACCAACGAGATTGTCAGTGTAATAAGATTCGAATTTGTGTGAGTCTTGTCTCAGCAAACTTTGATCCGCTATCTGTTTGGCGTTTAGACAATCAACAAAACAGATAATAGTTTAGCGCACAATTCAAGCATAACAGAAATCTACGGGTTTGCTGCTAATTAGACCGAAAAACCAACCATCGCAAAAATCACGAATCCGCAAACAAAATTGTACTCAACTTTACCACATGGATAAAGCACTCACCCCATACCAAGAAGCTCCAGCTTTAAACACATTCGTGAATGCAAGCGCAGCTAATGTTGTGTACCCTCCAGCAGATTCTCCGGTAATGCAGAGCCGTTCACCATCAACTTTTCCACTTTCAACCTGAATGTCAAAGAAAAAGGCACGCCAGAGTCAACCAAATTCGAAGAGGCACTTTTGCTCCTTTATGATCACTCAGTAAAAGTAAAGAAGGTATTCAATCGTTACCAAAAACTTCGCACAGCTGCAACAATCATTAACATCAACAATGCCCCATTGTCCTATCAGCCTTTCTCGGTATGCTCGGCCATAGCCTTGAACAATTTCAAATAAAAATCAGTATTAAAATAACAAGAAGATATGTTGGTGATCTTGTTTCTTCGCACACTGGTTGGTAATATAAGCTTTAAAAAGAAGCTAAACTCCATATATTTAAGAAAGCATACTTTAAAGATGGCACGATTGTTTTAGGCACATAAATCTATGCTTCCTGTTTGCAAGATGTAAAAAATGATAGCCCATAAATAAATTTTGAAACTCTAGAGAGCTATTTCTAAAGAAGGTTTGAAAACCACTAACAGCATTAAGCCTTACATGTAACTGGAGATAGGACTTCATCTTCCATGGATTCCATAGTTGAAAAGATTCAGCTGAATAGGATAATAAGAAGAGAATGCATACCAGCACTTCCGCCATAGTTCACATCCACAAGCGCCCAACCACGGCTTGTCCAAAACTGATAAGTGAGGATTAAGATTCCACGGGTCTCCAACGTAGGCCCTCCTGTAATAGTTGAAAATGTAAGAATGAACTATGTAATAGGTCAACTACTACAGCCTAGTCACTTTGAAAAGATCAAAACTTCTTATACTTCCTAAAAGGATAAATATACCATGGCAAAGCAACAATAACGGAGGCTTTTCTTCTCCATTAGCTTGATAAATGGGGTTGGTTGGTGGATAGAAGTATGCGAAAGCACTCTGACCAGGGACTACGGTGGGGAACTCTATTAGTTCTGGCTTACTAAAATAAGCATTGTACATAAGACCAGTAGCTGAAGAACACCACATGATCTTGAAATCAGTTGCTTTTAAGTTTTTAACATCCAGAGTCACCTATAACCAAGAAGGGATTCTAAGAGACAAACAAAAGTAAAAGATATAACATTATGAACAATAAGATTACTTTTTCCACAGGAGGAAAAGTTAAGGACAACCTTAGCTATTGCCAGTGGATGGACAGCAGAAGCTCCCTCAACATACAAGCACTGACCCCAAGCAGTCTGTAAAAGCAGGATATCAGAAAAAGCCATTCTCCTTCTACTCTCGAAAAGATACTTGAGCTGGAAAACAAAGGTTTGAGTTCATACTATATTATTTATATCTGTGAAAGGAATATCAACATGCAACAATGTACTTTGATCAGCATCAAGGATAGCGAGAAAGGACTTCCCATTTTTCCTGCATATTGAATTCCAAAATTGAGAGTGGGAAAGCTATTAATGGCTACACCATAGCATAAGCTATTGGGAACAAAAGATCACCTGTAACTACAAGCAATTAAGGTCTTGTTATCACACTGAATAAACTCGTACGAGTTCATCCCAAAGTTCCACATCGGTCTAGTAAACTCAGCGGCAAGGGTGTAAACTGAAAGCACCTGATTGGTAGACTCAACCTATATCATGAGAAGTGATACCATCAGACTGAAATCTAGGAAAGTAATTTGCAAACAAAATCACTTAATTTAAAAGGTTAAGATGTTTCCAATAAACAACAAAAAGACTATCTACTCTCAAACTTTTCCATAGAAGATATAATTGGAAATGGAGTATTAGATTTTCTACATTATGCTTATGGAAAATCTAACATGTCATAAATCAAATCTAAGCAGGAGTCATTGTTAATCGAAGGGTTGACAAGATCCACAGTGTGATTTGATTGTTGGCTAAAGTGGCAAATGAGACTCCCTGTGTGCCAGGTGGTCATCCATTGCAGATATTCAGAGAACTAAAAATCTTGATGAGGATTTATAGAAAACAGATCACTTGAAATACATGAACCAACACTAGTCACAGACAACATGAGTAGGAAAAGAGTGCAAATTCAAATACCAACTAATAGCAGATGAGATGGAATATGAATAGTGATAGAGTATCAGGTGCACTAACCCATTTGTAAAGATTCCAAAACCCAGTTTCTCTATCACTGATGAAGAAAAGTTCTCCTGCAATAGCAGCAAGAACAGCAATCAACAAATATGTATCAAGTAATGAAGTTTCTCCTCCATATTTAACAATGTTAGCGGTTTTACATGAATGAAGCTGTTGGAAATAAAATGAATAGGTAATAGCAAAAACGATGGATTAATGTCAAAACAGATATAAGATATGTCCCAACAGACAATGGGATCCTTAAATGTAACTCATAGCATTATCCTTGTTTTACACGTGCAAAGCAACTACTCACCATCAGCTTACAGGCCAAAGCTTCAGATTGATCAACAAAAACAAGTCTTTTTTTCATAGCTCAATATTTTTGGTCATTCAGCAAGGAAAAAGAGCTCATATGTCACTATCTTTGTTCTATAAGCTGGTGTCTAACTTCCATCATTCAAACAATAATAGAACACCGAAGAATGCAATCAGTCCTATCTAACTGAACAAACGAGAAAATTTTTATCTCCAAATCATCACAAAAGATCCAAAACATTGTGACATAAATACTAAACCTACAAAATACCTGGGAATTGTGACGAAAAAAGATAAAAACAAAAGAACAAAAGTACAAACTATTCACACACCTTGAGCAGACCACTTAGGTTCAATTGGAGATTCGATAACTCCTTGTTCACCCCCAGCAACGCATATCCTGTTTTGAACTTCTCTGAGAAAAAGAGCAAAATTAACAATGACGTAACCAGGAAATGAGTAATTCTGAAAGATTCCACCTCTAAATGAAGTCATTAAGCTCTAGAGCAATTATCAGTCAAACAAGCAATCCAGCTGAAGCTGAAACCATCTTAGAGAGAACAACTAGCAGCAGGGTATCTACCCTTTATCATTTATATAGCCGACCCAAAGTTCAGATCTGTCCCATGGCATGTTAGGATGGTTCCACTGAATCCATGCAATCCGCTCTCCACTTGCATCCAATTGGGGGAAAGCATAAAAGTCGCTGCCAGCGAGCATTTCTTGTGGTTCTGCATGGTACATTTGCATACTTATTCAGGTCAGAATAAAACAGTTTTACATGATTCATCTGCAGAAATAAGTTAAGACACCTACCAAGCAAAAGGATTGAATGCAACAACAGCAACTACTTTAAAAAATCAGAGGGGGAAAAAAAAAGGAAAAAAGAGCCTACCTTGAATCTTTTCATCATTCAGCTTGAATGATACAATAGTTGTAATAGACTTCATAACACTTTCACGGCAATCTGTTCCACGTGAATTTCAGAAAAGGCCAATTATTACTGCACCATTTTCATTGCTACACGCAAATTCAACCTTGAATAATTAACACTATGCTGTGTTTTATACCTTCCTGTACTGTTATGTAACGATTAAAACGCAAGTCGAAAACTCCGTCTGCATAAGATACAAGTGGACTGCCATAATCTGGGGTGAGTGGCACAGGGACAGAAGCTGCAGATAGAAAAATACACAAAACATGGACCAAATGAGTGAATGCCACCAAAAATAGAACCAAAACAACAACAACTAACCTTTTATCCTACAATGTGGCCTTGTTTCTACAGAATAAAGCATGGATTATACTGCTTATAATCACTTATTCTTCAACTACACGCTACAAACAGAAACTGCTGAAACAAAAGTACATATTTTGTTTCGCCAATTTGCCTTAATATGCTAACTTATAACATCACATGCAAGTTGCCACAATAACTAAAACAAAACCAATACTAACTTCATCAAAAATCATAGAGAAAAATGGGCTCCATGGTCAACTTAAGTAGGGAGATCATGAACTCAACCAAATAAAAAGTGAGTAGAAATCCTAGAAATGACTGATTTCTACCATGTGGTGGCTAAGTCAGCGCTGAATCAAGTTTTCACTGTGGTGAGAAAGGAAACTAAAATAAGTGTGAAAAGTTACCACCTTTTGACGATATTGACTGCTTATACAGCCTTTGATCCTCAAAATTGGAGAAAATTACAGTGTCTCCATGCATCCTAAACGCCGCCCCTCCACATTGGTGAGTAACACTTCTCACTGAGAATCCCTCATGGGTAACATCGATGGGCTCATCCCCTCCTTCCTTCACCAGAACATAACGGCTGGAAAAAATAAATAAATACCCACAATCACAAATAGAATAAAGATTCAATCTTTCAATATTTCAGTAATTAATAAGCCCGATTAAGTTCAGAACTAAAAAGAAAGTATTGTACCCAGATTCAGTGGGACGACATTCAACCCAGTAGAGTTGGCCTTGGGAGTCAACCCTGAAGCTATCGAGGCTCTTAGCGGCGCCGGAAACGATGTCGGAAGTTATGGGAGACTTCCAAGAACCATATGGAGCTGTGATCTTTTGATCAGTGACAACATTATTAGATGACATTTTCTCGCGGGAAGAACTAATTAAGAACAAGTTGATGAGTTGAGCTGATCTCCTGGAAATGTGCCTGAATAAAAAAGGTCAAACCCAGAAAGGGAGAGACTCTAAATCAGAGTAAGTAGCTGAGCTGAGGGAATATTATCATCGTACCAATTTATTATTAATTAACTCACAAGTGATCTTCATTTGATTGTTCCTGATTCTTGTAAAGAAAACAAAAGTATTCGATTTTTTAAAATTATCCTAACGGCTACTATAGTGAATAATAATTTTTTATAAAAAAAAAATGCATGTGTTAATTGACTTGTGAAATGGATTGCTAAAGGTATTATTCCCTCAGAACTAATTTATTAAATAAATTTAAAGAACTGTAGAAGATAAAATAGTCCAATTTTTAAAATTTATCTTTTCAATAATGAACTATTATATGAGGCGAACTTGTACGAGATTTTCTGTGACACTTTTTAATTTCACTCTATGTTACACAATTCAATAATTTATGTAAATTCTATCGTTTGTACTAATATTTATACCATTCGCTGTCACTTTCGAAGTTATATATTTTAGAACTAAGGATTCACTTTTTGGGGGTTAAGATCTATTTATTTTAATTTTCATAATTAAAAAATTCAATAAATATGGTAAAATTTAATTTAAAACATAACAATATTGCTAAAAAAGAGAAAAAAAAATAGCATTATGAAAATTATCTACAATGAAAGTATTTGTTTATGGCATATGTATTAGTGCAAAATATATAATCTACGACAAAATAATTAGATCGTATGACAGCAAAATGTAACAGAAAAGTGTCACAGAGAATCCAATTCCGATAAATTAACTTTCCTATAACAATGATGCAAAAGAATCTTAACGCAAAACCGGGTAATCTTTGTAAATAAGAAAAATAGTAAAATACAATCGTATTGGGACAGATAACCATAATAAAATAGAAAAAAAATTCAAAGAAAATACAGGATACAAAAATTTCTCTTTTTTCCCGCCAAAATTCTAGATTAATTAGTATAGTTGAGATAATGACTTTGAATATATACTGATTAATTAGTTGAGATAATGACTTTAAACGAACAAGTTAATCGAGGGGATGGACATAGAGGGACCATTCTGATTTGTTGGTGGTTCTGTGGTTCCCGTCCTAGCTAATTAGCTGTCTTTGGACTTTGGGGGTCTGGACTGGTTAAGATTATGGTCGTATTACGCAACTAATGCATTTACATATCCTTTTATTGCTTCTTTTGGATCACGCTTTTGTTTAGAGAAATGCGCCATAGTTACATCCTAGCTTATACGTATGCTAAATCGAACGATATAAGGCATGTCACATTTTGGTCCAAAACGGTTAAATTTCTCGTGTCTAATTAAATTTTGTTAGACCCGATACCAATATAAAATTTAAAAGAAATATTAGGTGTTGATTTTTTTATTTAAAAAAATGCACATTCAACTATAGATACGATACAATCAAACAATTTCTTACTTCTTACCACATGAAAATTATTACAATTCTTTTCTTTTTTTTCTTTTTGGAATACAGGCAATCATGCGGCACAATGGCGTATATATGGACCAGAATTATTATTGCCAATATTAATTACACAGCCAAATAGCAAAGAACATGGCAAGTTTAATCATAATGGCCTCATTATCAGACAAGAGAAACGCCAACTGCTCGATGGACCCAAATCGTAGGTTAACTAGATCATACGTGCGTATATATGTAAGAGCCAATCTGTTTTTCTTCTCTTTCCTTTTTCTCCCTTAATAGGTGCATGATGTGTACCATCATAGCAGTTATCACAGAGTTCTTTTGATAAACTTTTTCCAATTTGATTCAAAAATTATTGTTCAGTTTGGAATTTTATTTTTATTATAAATTTAATTAAAAATAAATATGTAAATTAGACAATAATTTTGAGACAGGAGAATATAACTTAACAAAATCATAGATTGTTTGTATATATATTTTCATGTAGTAAAATTACTTTTGCATAACTACTTGAGCCATGCATCATAATAGGCTTAATATATGCTTTCTCCGGGTCCTTAATGTATAAAGCATTTTGATTTTTTCTAGATTTTAGCTAGTACGCATTTTTAATTGACGGAAAAATCTTAAACATATATTTTCACATTCGTTATATTCTCTTAATTGTTATGAAATATTTTAAAAATTTTTATTTCAATTAAAAATATGTATTAGGTTAAACGTAGAACAAATCAAAATGTCTTATATTAAGAACTGGAGGGAGTATTATTTACTCCATAAGTGTTGATTTTGCCCTAACCATGGGGTGGCTTATAAGTAGTTTGGCAAACATGGATGGATCGTGTGGTGAACACGTTCCAAACCCTTATTATACTTGATGTCGGGAATTAAAACTCCATCTCATATAGTTTTTTTTTTTACCCAATATGTCCAATATAACCAGCCTTCCTCTCGATGCGAACTAGCTATAATGTGTTATCACTTAGAGTTAATTTTCAGTCAAGAAATTAATTTCCATTACAGAAAGATACATTAACTTTGGAATTGAAATATGTTTGAATCTCTCGTCAGTCCTGCTCATTATTGAACCATACTTTACCTGCTTAATATAATATCTGCTACAAAACACACAAACTACTACTACCCCAAAAGTGCATCTTGATGATCATGATCTTTTCGGCTGCGCCACTTCTTGTACACTGATTTCACCCATCATCCCACAGCATTCCTATCATGTTTTACAAAGCTGTACAACTTTTTGGTGATTTTTTAAATTCACAATAGGGATTACTCCACATTTTCTGGTTGGATTACCAAAAAGAACATGTTGGATGTGTTCAAGGTTCGGACCATACACACATATCTGGTTCCATTTTCCCAATCTAGCTATATATTCTTTACGTAACTTTCCAAACCTATTTTATGCCAACTGAAAATGTTGATAGTGAAAGAGTTATAGGATGTGTGTCCCCAGCTACCATGTTTTTTCCAATAAAGTGAACAAACACTAACTATATCAAACAACAAGATGAATTGAACCTTATTGAGAATTTCATAAGGCCCGCTGCCCTCTTCCTCATCAAAGAATCATGAAGGGATTGGCAAAAAAAAAAAAAAGCAAAACCAAAAAAACAATTGATGTGGATGCGCTATGAAATTATCAGAGAGGCACATGCAAATACCACCATAACGAACTACCTTTTCCCATCTTTTTAGACCAATTTTTGCCTTCCCTTCCATTGCCTTCTCTCCACTTTCTTCCCCTTTTGTGGTCCACTCCCCCTCCCTTCTTCATCTTATCACCAATCAAAGCATCCATATTGCTTTTTCTTCTTAATTAGACTTCGTCACATCAAACCATGGCCTATAATGTAGAAAAACATAACCATGTTGAGGTTGTAATAAAAAGGAAACACATTACACATAGCCTTGATATTTATTATATTCGCTCAACTAGAACCAACTTGAAAACAATTGCGTCTTTCAAGTCTTTGATCCTTTCTCCACGTCAAAAGTGAAACATATATGTATACAGAGAGAGAGACAGTAACAAAGTCGCGATAACTTTTTCATAGTGAGGTGACTGTGATCACAATGAGTAAATGTCACATCAATTACTATAAAAAGTCGCTTGATTTCTGTCAATATCAATTCTAATCTTTAAGCTCTCATCAAATAAAAGAAAATAAGGAAACCCTACCAATTCTTAATAAATGAGTATTATACTCCATTCATGACTACTTGTCTATAAATTAGGACCATATCATATGCATTATGCTCGCAGCATGCACAAAAATACTCTCTCTCAACAAAGATCAACTAATCTTGTTCCAATGCCAATACCACAAATGCACTCCAGCTCATTTCAGAAAATGGAAAACTCGGTCTTGCTATCGTTACTACAACGCACCACCGCCGGCAACCCTGGCCGGAAATCAAAATCCGGCGGAGGCGGAGGCGGAGGAGGAGGTTTATTCCGAATGTTCAAGCTCCTTCCGATGTTAACCACGGGTTGCAAGATGGTAGCACTATTAGGCCGGCCAAGAAAACACTTGTTAACTGACAAAGCAACGACGACGGTGACGCTGTTCGGCTACCGGAAAGGAAGAGTTTGCATAGCCATTCAAGAAGACCCCCACCGGTTACCGATCTTCGTGATGGAGCTTCCGATGATGATCACGGCGTTCCATAAGGAAATGTCTTCCGACGTCTTGAGGTTAGCTTTCGAATGCGACACGAAAACGCACAAGAAGAAGATCCTGGAAGAGTTTGTGTGGGCAGTTTTCTGTAACGGTAGGAGAATGGGATTTTCGATTCGGAGGAAGAATATGACGGAGGATGAAGCTCACGTTATGCAGCTTCTCCGGGGAGTTTCCATGGGTGCCGGCGTTCTTCCTAGCCCTGCCGGCGCCGGAGCTAAGAATAATAGTAATAATAATAATAATAATAAGACTAACAAAGAAGAAACAATATCGGGGGATGGAGAGTTGACTTATATTAGAGCAAGATTTGAAAGGGCAGTGGGATCAAAAGATTCAGAGTCGTTTTATATGATCAATCCAGATGGCGCTTCAGCTCAAGAACTCAGCATTTTCTTTGTCAGAGTACGATAGCAAGAAGAAGAACAAAGAACAAGCTCTTCATAATCAATCTTTATACGTATATATTTCTTGTATACTACTTCGTTTCAAAAAATGAAAATAAAGAGAAAAATAATAATTACTGTTTTTTGAGGTTTCTAGATTAAGGAGGTTGACGTTGAATTATTGAAAAAGGCTATCAACCTTTATTTTCAAAAGAAATCAAAGAATTATTGAAAAGGGTGGCCTTCTCATATTGTGCTCTTTATCCCGTATCGATCGACAGTAGTATTTTATTTATTTATTTATTATTATTTTTTTGGTAGGATGACTAATGTCAATGGAGTCATCTTGTTTAGGACTGATCGAAATTAACGTTAATGTATAATGATGGCCAAGCAGCTGGCTCATTTCGGCACTATATATGTCTATGCATGCTACTATTCCATACTTAATCATGTTTTCGCTTTTGCAAAATTTTTTAAAATTCATCAAGGTAAAGCAATTAATTCCCCCCCCCCCCTTTTGGAAAGAAAAAAGATACAAGGGAATTAATAAAATCATCATAACCATGTTACGAATTCTAAAAAAACTGATACTCAGTAAGTCTAGTCAGGAGAAATTTTTTATTCGATTCAATTTATAAAGACATATAGAAATATCTTATAAATAAAATTGAAGAAAATTTTTGAACTTAATTGGACGGACTCAAATTTAGTTCAACACATTATCATTACAAGGAAAAATAAAAATCAGGTACAATTTCGAAAAAAAAAAAAAAAGCAAAGCAAAACAGAATTAGGAAAGGTATATATAGAGCAGTGGCCAACTAGTTTTTCCTCTTTGCCTTAATGCGTACACTGAGTTCTTAGCTAACCTGATACTCCCTCCGTCCTTCCACTCCCCCAACCTAACGAAGACAAAGAAAGTTTTGTGGAGCTAATTAACAATTACGCATTAATTATTGGGATTAAGTAATAGGGGAATTAGCCAGTTTTCCTTGAGCAGTTCCCGAATGGTGTATTGGTGCATATATAATTGTATATAGACAAATAATTGTTAGGAAATGTTATTATCTCTTAAAACATTAATTTTATGAAATTCGGGTGCACATTTATGGAAATCTAACTGGAGACAAGTTATGGATTGTGTTTTAAACACGACATACTGTGTTCACTTACGGATTGGGATACTTATTTTTAAACCATAATCTCTATTGTACCAAAATAAAAGCAATTACTTCAAAGTTCTTGTGAAAAAATAAAAAATAGTATGACAAATCTCTGATACTGATAACCTTAACCACCGAAGATCAATCCCTAGAGCTCTTTCTTTTACATGGGAAAAATAATCGAGTTTTTTTGCAAAGTGAATGGTAATTGAGGATTTATTTCCGACAATATACACAAGCAGCTTTCAGTGGGCATTAGCTTCTTCAACGACGCGACAAGTGAAAAAAATAATCGACATTTTCCTTACTTTTATTATTAAAAAAAAAACAAAATGGAAAAGCTGAGAAGTTATGTTGATTAGATAGATAAATGTATTATTGTAGAATGATTAACAAATCCCAGCTGGGAAAATAATGCACATAAATTGATAACTATGAATCAATCAATAATTAATAATTATTCGACAATGGTGCTGTAGACGCTGGCCAAAACTGTCGTGTCAACCCAGACTCACAAAATTAGTCCAAAAGGAGGAGTGCTAGTTCATAACTTTATGCCATGATCCCCCACCATTTCGTTGATTTATCTCGTCAAACAAACAAAAATGAAAAGAAAAGAAAAGAAAAGAAAAGAAAAAGGCTTTGAATTCGGTTGCGGTCTCCAAAGAAAGCTGGTTGAATTCCAGCAAGTTTAATGAAAATTTTTTTTTTCAAAAAAAAATAAAATAATCACCTTGCCTAATAATAATACATCGATGCTTTTGGCCAAATTTTTCCGAATTAAGCACATTCAGATGTTCTATTTCTATATGATTCCTCTCGTCTCAAACCAAGACAAACATTTTAAAGAAAATTATACATAACGTATTATTTTCTGTCCCAAAATAATTATCTTGTTTGAAAAAAGTATTATTTCTTTTCGTATCTTCCTTCCAAGTGCACTCAATTGTCTGTGTATTCTATATAACTTGGCTTTATCTAAAAACTCAAGCATTATAGGCTACGAACATTAACCTAACTTTAACGCGGAATCTAAAAAATCAAAATTTCCCAAACTAATTAATTTAAATATTCAATAATAATAACTACATTACGTATGAGGTTGTAGCAACGTATGGAGGGGAGAAAAGTACACGAATTATACTATTCTGATTGTCTATGTAACGTTGGATTGTGCACACAAAAAATTTAGAGTGAAAAGATCATTTGTATGAGAAAATGACTAAAAAAATAAGTAGGAACCGTGATATTTCACTAAAAACATGTAATCATTTTTCTCTTGCTTCTTTGCTTTCCTTCCATTGGGCTGACTCTTAAAGTGCCTCTCAACCAATCGCGAATAATATGAATTTGCCGAAGAGGCCGGTGAAATTAGGCTTGTGCCACTTCGTGATAAGTAAGGCCCTTTCTTTGTACTATTTAAAAACTGGATCAGAATGAATGTTGGGACAGAAGGAGATCAAGCAGGTGTGGGTTTTAGTTTTAGAAAAGAAGGGGAGAATTGGTTGTAACAGCAGCAATACCTGTGGAGTTTGTGCAGAATCCGTTAGCAGCAGACCTAATAGCTGTGAGGTTGGCACTGGCAAAAGCAATTCAAAGGAGGATAAAACAAGTGGAAGTTCAGTTAGATGTGAAGATTATGGTAAATTGGCTACAAGGGAAGATTACCCATGTGTCTAATTAATGTAGTTGCCATAGTCGAAGACATTTTTTCTGCAAAAGGGCAGTTTTGATAGCTGTAAATTTATGTTTATAAAGCAGCAGTGGAATTCTAGTTGTCATAACGAATAGATAATCATTTTAAAACGAAATTAAAAAAAAAAATTTTATTTGTGAGTAAATTATGTGCAGAATTTGTGTTACAGCTTGCAAAATGATTTTCGAGCCCAGTTTTGGCACCTATGTTGGGCTAGCACTAAAATCTAGAGCCTGTGGCCAATCTTTATGTGCAGCGCTTCAAGTGGCCCAATTCAGTTAGTAAAATCGTCCAAAACAAAATATCGAAAATGGTTGACATATTAATGACATGCGCTCGTCTATATTTATTACAAGAATTTTGTGTAGTAGCTGTTCTTTTTAGTACTCCCCGTCCCATATTTATTGTCTAGTTTGAGTTTTCATTTCTAGTTCAAATTGTATTAAAAGTAAAATTTCAAACTGTATAATAATTTTGGGACAGAGGGAATACAACGTAAGATCCTCCATTTCTTGATCATTTTTAAAATTATCTTGATCTAATTCTTATGCGAATCTACACTGTTTTAGGGAATATTTACTCAGTTAACCATGTAAGAGCGAAGCTACCATGACAATGGAATATAAAGAAATTGATCCTCCAACCAGCTTACTTATTCCCCGTGTTCAGTTGTTAGTAGTAGAAGTCAAGCCGTAATTAATTTATTTAAGGAAATCAAAACCATGATTAGAATACGAAAAAATAAAATAAAAAGAAAAGAGAAGCGAACGTAATTCTTCAACCTTTCAGGATTACATCATTCACCGATAATTTACTTTATAATCTGTCCTTAAACTAACCCTTTTGTTATAAAGCACTAAAAGCTTAACATCATGATTCAGTAAACTACCGAATAAGGACAAAGACTGATAGGTTATAGTAGTTTGATGATTGGGATAAAACAAAATGTTAAGTATTCTAGTTGATTACGAAATCTATCCACAGGAAGCTTCTTCGCAAATACTCGTTACAATGTTAATATAATTTGGGAAGAATATTATATAGATCAAAGCGACAAAGAAGATTTTAACGTTGTTTTTGTTGAAACATGACGGTCCCTAATTAGAAGCAACCAGATTGCGCAATTAACAAGTAAACTTAAACTGGCCGGTTTAAAAGTGCAAATTAATTATCCATATACTAGAATCCTTCATATTCACTCCAAATATATTCACTTTTCTTTTTCTTTTTTTCTTTTTTTTAGGGTACAACGTCTTTTGTTCAATGCACGAATAGATTAACTCATTAAGGTAACAAGCTTTTCCCCCCGGGAAAAATAGAAAAGCCAATGTCAAGTTTTTTAACTAAGAGTTAAGTTTACCGCATTACGACATTATACAAGTTCAATCTTAAGATAAAGCTCTTCTAAATTAATTAGGCGTAATATTATATATTCATTATAGTGACTCTCTTTGAAACAGTATGAAAAGATAACAAAACATAATCAGTTACAAAATTTGTCTCGTAAACGTAACAATCTCTAATCAACAACTCTATACTCTAACTCTAATAGTGCCATAGTGAAAGCCATCAAGGTAGCAAGTTCGCTACATGGAGATCAGATGGAGTACATGTACTCTCATCTAGAAGAATACAATTCGGATAGGATTTTCCATTTAGGGCCAAGAATCTTTTTAGAATCGTAAAACTATATCCGACTCTAAGAAAATTAGTGTATCGAATTCAGAAGATTATGGGCAGATTCGAAAAATTTTTCGATGAGCTGGAATTGCTCCATTAAAACCAACATGTTTGTAACCTTGGTAGTGAGCTGCTTGCCTTCTCTATATAGTAAAATGGTTCAAAAAACCTTTAGAGCAGACTATAAGGAAGGAGGAGAGGAAACAACCTGGAGAATTAAATTAATATAAGTGATGACTGATGACTTAAAGTACTGGCAAGGTACAATACAACAACAACCACAACAACAAATGGAAGATTTCATTCATGAATGTTGAAAAGATTCAGAGAGATTTCAACAGTTGTCATGCATTAGAGGTTTTCTTTTCTTTTCTTTTTTTTCTTTTAAAAAGAATTATAGTATATCCATATACTTCTTCTATGAGTGTCCTAAACCATGATCAATTATTAGTTCATTCTTACGTACGAATAGTTCTGATTAATTAAAACTATGTTAGTGGGTCGGGGTTCAATTATTGTTAGTCAGCAAAATTTGCATCAATTTGTTCCCCCTTTAGGTTGGAAGTTACATGAATTTGTAAGTTGTAACATTAGCTTAAGAATTGTAAGCTTGGTTAATTTAAGTAAAGTTTAGCATGATCTTGTAATTATGGTAGTGTTTTTGATTATGCTCCCTTTTAAGCAACTAGATTAGATGAATTAATGATATTTTTAGTGCAATCTTCGTATGAAATGTCGGGAAGTTTATTTGACAAATATAGAGTACGTAAGTAATGGTCCTAACCCTTCTTCTTAATGGCTAATTAAACTGTTTATCTTACTAATGTTATGTCAACAATAAGATTGCTTATGGGAGTTTGCTACTCCATTAATAATAAGATCAGCAGAAGAGGAACAACAGTTAAGTAGAACTTATAAACTCATGCTCATAACTCACCTCTTCTGTACATGTTTCAATTATTCGAGAAAAAGTTAAGTTTGTATAACCTCTAATTATTATTAGACATATTGATTTTTATTTTTTTTTCTGAATTCATTTTTCATGTTTTCCTAATTGAAAATAAAACGTTAAAAATATTTTACAACAACTAGAAGAATATATTTTTAACGTTTTTATGTTCATTTGTAAGAACGTGTGGTAAATGAAATTTAACAGAAATCAAAATGCTTTATAACCAGTTTTCCACTTGGTTTAAGCCATAATTGTTCATATAAATGTTTCCACTTTTAGGAGACATTGTACGACGGTTGGTTAACGAAGGTAAAACCAGTCACACAACGGTTCATAAACGACTAATTAAGATCTATTTTTATTGAATTTTCGAGGTTGCTTGGCTGTTAACACTTATAAGATTTAACAAGAAGATGATACTGAATCAATAGAATTTTGTTTATGGAATTTGTCCGGAAGAAAAAAAATAGATGATACAGAATTACAGATGTTTATGGAATTTTGTTGGCACTTTTTTTTGGTTTTTGGAATAATTAGTCGTCAAAAAAAAAAAAAAGTATCATTTCTTCTTTTTCCTTTCTCAAATAGAAATAGATCAGCTATCAAACTACATGATTGATACTTGGCTAGGGTAAAAAAATGAAATGAATGAATGAAAAGTGGAACACAGAACAGAAACTGTGGAATAAATTATACAGATGGAGAAGACATCAACCACCACAACCAAATTTGGTTGACCATTTGTCATTTTTGGACGAATTATAATACTACTACTATACTAGAAGAGAACGAAACAAAACCTACAACGAACAGACCACTGCGCATTTTCCACGCGGAATTAAAGACTACCATACAATAATAATGCACATTACAGAAGAAGAAGTAGAAGATATTGATGAAAGTTTTTTGTTTTAGAGCTAGAGCCAAAGCCAAAGACCGGCAACTAGGTTGGAAGGGGACACTTTGGCGGGGACACGCACCGTATCTAATCCCATCTCTCATTTTCTCCCATGTTTTTTATTTTACATGTTACTAACTTCCATTTGTACATTAACGTTGGAAAATGTTTTCGAAAGGGCAAAAAAAATAAAATAAATAAACACGTTGGAAAAGTAGCACTCAATGGAATTATTAAAAAACAAAAAAAAAACAGCGACAACGAGATGACTCATTAAAGTTTTATCTGGTTCAAGTGCTGCTTGATTTAACCATTTAATGCAAGCCTGCAATTCATCCTTCTTTTCCTCGTGTAAATGCTGTAAGATTTTGCTGTGACCCATCCTTTGTTTTCCTATTACATAATTATCTGTAAATAATGTATAATTCTGCCAAATATGTGTTTTTTTTTTATGTGGAGATTATCTCTGATAGAAATATATGTGCTAGCTGTAGATAAAGTATTTGAAGATTATAATGAGTAGGTTACGTTAATAAAAAAAAATCGATACCATATATTATGAAACAATACTTTAAAATTATGAGACTGATGGAATGAGTATATTGTCGTAATGCAAATTCTTAATCCTTAAATAAAATTGCTAATTAACAAGAGTGAATCTTTATTTATTTGAAACATCCACTGTGGTAATATATGACGTGATGCCATGTCATTTATCATCGCGTAGTTACTCTCTCATTGACGTAATAGTATAATTCTTGTTAACATCGATTAATTTTCGTATAATCTCTTATAACAATGGAGATTAAACCAGATTCTTGTTTAACGGCGTCATCATAAAATCATTTTCATGTTCTTTTCTATAAAGAGGGGGGGAAAACCCCTATGACCCAAAGTGCAAAAAAACGGAATATATATTAATGGAGAGATGTAACACGAAGTTCTAGAACTTGTTGTACAGGCGCTGATTTACGTACTGAAAGAGTTGTTACATCTTTCTTACTCCATCCGCTCAATCCCATTGAGCTAGTGCAGTGAAAATAACAGTAAAAACTAAAAACTAGCAAAATCGGTGGGAAAAAAATAAAATAAAATCTACCACTATATATATAACTATTAAAATTACCATCATCGAAAATGACGCAATCAATAAGCGAGAGAAGATCTGATCTGAAAGGGTCCACGTAGGCGTTAGACAAAGAGGCACCGTCTGATTAAAAACAGTGATTGATTGGAAGAAGGAAGCAATCAGGTGGTTTCGTCGGGTTGTGAAGGGAGGACACTACGGTCCAAAACCCACCCGCCCAGTCGGTGCCTCGCCAGCTGTACCCACACACCCCAATTCCCTCCAAAATTCCCATTAACTGCCCAACTGCTTTTATCTTCTTCTTTCTTCTTCTCCTCCTTGTTTTTGCTGTTTTGTTAGCGCTTACTGCCCAAACCAAAAAAGTCCAAAATAGCCCCTAAATTCTGCCACGTGGGCGGCCTTATACAATAATTCCGCGTTCTGACCCCTACGCCGGTCATTTTAGCTAATGAGCTCGTGATTTTTTCTTTTCTATGTCACACGAACTCAATAATTATGCTTTAATTTCTTTACTAGATTTCTTTAAATTTGGAGGACTCAATGATTATATGTGGAATTTATGCTAGTAGAATTTTACTGAGAATGTGAGAATTCGTGAGCAATATAACAGTTTGGTTTTATTTTCATGAGGTAGTACGTGAGAGTATGACTATATAAGGGTTTGTTTGATAAAATTCGTTGTTAATTCTGAATGAGAAAAAATGGAAGTCGTTGTGTGATTAAGAAATATAAGTAATAAATAAACTGATTTTGTATTGCAGTCTCAATAACTAATTAAATAATTTTAAAAGGAGAGGTTATCAAACAGGCCTTAGAGAGTATTTATTTGTTAAGATTTTTCTTTCTTTGAAATCGTTTTTAAACACCATTCATATCCTGGTTGATTGAGATCTTCTTATTATCCGTATCCCATACAAGACAAAATTGATATGTAGAATAGTTTCTTATTTGGTCAAATATTCCTTCAAGATAATGCTAGGAATGATGGATTTTCAGTTTGCTTCTACCAATTGACAACGATTTGTACGAAATTAACCTAATTATGTTACTAGAGTACAAGTTGAAGATATATGTTCACATGTGTCTTAAAATCAACCTAATTCTCTCTTGTAAATTACTAGTAATAGTAATATCAATACCGAATGATACAATTCTAATTTCACATACGCATTAGTTGTCAAAGGATATTTGAAAACTTTTGTATGACGAATTCCCTCTGAAAAAAAAAAAAAAAAGTCAAAACATTGAAAGCTCTAAAGAACATTCATTTTGTCACGTTAATATCTTTAACTCTAGAACAAATCATGGGGAATTGTTCATGAAAAAAGGAGAGCTTATATCCATATTCTCAGAAAATCACGTACGGTAAAAAGTAAAAACCAACCAACCATACTACTTATCAAACAATGGAAATCAAATAACGCTCCGTTAACGGCGATTAGGACAGAAGCTTCAGTATAATATAATAATTTACAGAACAACTGTTGTGGAATAAAAAGGCTCCAAAGAAAGTCAAAGAGAGTGAGAAACTCCGTATCACGTGAGATTCTTCCAGGCTGTTAGTAGGGTCCATCATACGTGGAAGTCGTTGAAGTCATCCTCAAACTCCCCTTATTTTATTATTACTTCCCCGTCCCACCATTTTTCAGTTTTACACTTCATCACTGCCGTTAGTCTCACCACCAACCAAACTATACTTGGATTTGCAAAACCCAAAACAAAAATCCACACCCCAGCTGTAAACTCTGCAATCTAGTCAAAAAGGGTAGGCCCCTTCCTTTTATTTTTTTACTGCTAATCACACTGGATTTGGTTTTTTTCACCTTTTTCCAAGCTTTTTTTTGGTTCATTAGTTTAGTTAATACAGGAAACATGGAGTCTGTAATTATCATCAATCATGATACACACTAGGCCTTTACTGTCATTTTTTTTTTTTTTAATACTACTCAGTTTCTTGTACGTTTTGGTCAATTTAGTACGATAATGAAGTAAGCCGATTGAAATTTTGCCTTTCCTTTCTGGATAATAAAAAAAACGAGATTCTTATTTCCCCACACCATAATTAATAATGCTACCTACGGAGGGAAAGAAAGAGTTATGTATACATTTTTTGGGTTTCTGGAGTTCTGCCTTTGTCAGTAGTAACGTACTGAAGAAATAAACACCAAAATCTTTTAGTTCAGAAGATTTGCTCAATAAGTGATGAGGGAAGATGCATCATTTGCCTTATTGTGTTATTAAGGGTCATTAATACTCACTCTCATCGGTATGAGACCGAATCTAAATTAATTTTTTGATTAACTCGAGTTTTTAATGTTGTTGAAGAGGAAGTGAAGGAAAAGAACCTTGTACATTGTTGTACGGACAAATAAGATGATCCTAATTTTCCACCCCACTCTCCCTCAAATCATGATTCTAGTCCAATGATTCAATTATGTATCTAGACTACAAGACAAAATTCCCAAATCCGTACTTAAAACTTAAGAACCCTTCTCCCAAATTCAATGAATCTAATCAATACATTCTAAACAATGACACAAGGCCTAGTAATGCACATTGATATTTTTTTTCCAATTACATTTATATCTCCCAAAATCCTTTCGTATCTTTCCCGTAGCCAACCTTGTCCATTTTTAACCACGTAACGACAAAATCCAATACCAGCCCCGACAAATCTGGTCACCTGATTAATAAACTTGAAAAAATAATTAATATTAGTAATATTTAATAATACACACAAAAAAAGACCCCCTCCCCTACCAACTTTACATGAAGCAACTTCCCAGAACCCTCCCCTAACTCCTTTAAAAAAAACACTTTTAGCCTAAAAAGCCATGATATTATGCAATGCATGCACCCCATTTTTTCCCCGCCTTCTTAACTTTTTAGATGATGACATAAACCCAAACCCTTTAATATAAATTATCATCATTATTTTATAGTCTTTTGTTCTCTATATATATGTCGAATCCAGTCACTCATTCTCAGTCTTCACTCTCTCTTTAATTTTTGCTTGCTTCTTTTGATAACAACTTACTCCCAATTTCTTCAACAATATCAAACAACAGGAAAAGAAGAAGAAGAAGAAGAAGAATATCTCGCAACTGAAAAAATGGATATTTTTTATAGATGTTCATCAGCGACTTCGTCTTCATCTGATTCTTCCACTTCGGACTCGTCTTTATCCGGTAAGACGCCGAGGGATGTGAACCGGCTGGAAAAGATTAAAGGGCCGTGGAGTGCGGAGGAGGACAAGATCCTGACCCGACTCGTTGAGAAATACGGGGCCCGAAACTGGTCCTTGATCAGCAAATACATTAAAGGGAGGTCCGGCAAGTCGTGCCGGCTGAGGTGGTGCAACCAGCTGAGCCCCAACGTCGAGCACCGCCCCTTTTCGCCGGAGGAGGATGACGCCATCTTGGCTGCTCACGCCAGATATGGAAACCGGTGGGCCACCATTGCCCGGTTGCTTCCCGGCCGGACCGATAATGCGGTCAAGAATCACTGGAATTCCACGTTGAAGAGGAGGTACCAACAGCAGCAGCAGCAACAGAGGATGAGCCACGTGGAACAACACCCAGAGAGTAAAATGTTGGAAGCCATGGAAATCACCGAGGTAAAAACCGAGGCGGCGCCGGCGGTGTCGGGATTTGTACCGTTTTTGAATGGCGGTAACTCTGAGAACTTCACGGCGGGGAGAACGAACTCCAAGGTTTTCCCGTTTGTGAGTGATTATGACGAGTCTGACCCGATGACCATGTTGTCTTTGGCGCCGCCGGGCCAGAATCTCCACGGCCAGGGGCCCAGCAGCGAGACGGCGGAGAGGAGGCCCGAAAGTTTGCCGGCGGGATTCTGGGATGCAATGAGGAATGTCATTGCGAGAGAAGTGAGGGAATACGTCACGACGTCGTCCTTCTCCGCAACTTCCTCATCCGGGTTTCATTAATTAATTAGGATGATGATAATATTTTGTTAATTATTATTATTATGTGAAGAATTTGCTCCTAGCCTTTTTCTTTGGGCTTTCTTGTTGATAAGATTATCATTCTTATTAAATAATTACTAGGTTGTAGAACTCTTTAAAATTAATGTTTTCCAGAAATGCCTGAATTGGAAGGCAATTGGGGGTAAGTTTGAAGTTTAAGGCTACTGTTCTAACAGCTTCACGCGGAAAGCAATTAATGGGACTCCGAAATTTGTTTTTTCATTTTTTGTTAATTTGTTTTTTGGTCATATATGGACAAACTGTAGCCAGCCTTCATATCTAAAGTCTAAACCACATGAAAACAGATTTTAATAACTACACTCAGATCCATTGATAATAAGATTACAAAGTTTCACGTTCCTTCTAGAATTAGATTTCAAGATTGTTAACTTAACGAAAATAAAAAAAAAAGATAAAGTTTACTGTATGAAATGAGATTATACGTAAGAAACAAATGTTCGATTCAGTTTGATAAACATGATTTCATCCTCGTACACTATATGTTTTTTAAGCTGGATTGAAGCTTGAAACAAATAAAAAAAACCTACTCCATTTGCAAATCTCAAATGTAGTAAGAGAGGGGTGACCAAAGCGGGTTTTGAACATAAACAACCAATAAACCACATTGGTGTTAGATTAGGTTACGTAATCATCTGAGATCAGGGAGTTATAAAACTATGAGTAAAATATTAGTAGTTGGGAAAAACGAGTGATGCCGACCCACACGAGTGGACTGACAAGTTCATATTTGTTTAACTCTGTACGTACTGAACTACTGGGCATTTAAGTTTTAACCTATTAGGGGTGTCAGTTTGTGGATTCCGACATTATCAACATACTACTATTATCCACGGCAACTTGAGAGTTCAACAAACTTTGTGAAGGTTCATAGAACAAACTGCTGGGATGAACTAATTGACGTGGAAAATCTCAAAATCCTAATGATTCCCTGGTAAATCCTAATGATTACGCATTACGCTGTTATCTTCTTAGTTCAAATCCTAAAATGAACATCAATTCTACTCACAAGTCACAAGGAAGCATCGTTAAGTTTCAAATCTAGTTGAGCGAGCTACCTTTTTCCATGGAAAAGAAAAGTTACATTGTTTTGTTTAGACTATCAAAGTTAATTCGCTTCGATGATGTATAAGATGTTAAAGTTTAATTTTATCGGATTTCAGTAAGTCGAACGTATTTTTGTTAAAAGATACTCTCTCCGTCCCAAATTATTGTCATATTTGAGATTTCATTTTTAATATAATTTGAACTAAAAATGAAAATCCAAAATGGACAATAATTATGGGACGGAGGGAGTACATAAATCGTCATTTGATAGAGGACAGTTACTATCAAACATATAACTACTTGACGAGGTGATTATTTACAACTGCATTCTAAAATCATAACACCGACTAATTCAAATATACAACATTAATTTGTGAAGATAAATCCCACCTATAGTTGTTAACCGTTGAAAAAGCACATAAAAGGAGAAAAACATGGGCTTGGGAATTTCAAACTGATGGGCCGCTATCAAATCAGCGGTTTGGATCGTTGATTTCAGCATCCTTGAGACAAAGGACGGTGGGGAGGTTTGGGACAGCGAGATAATATTGGCATTATTCAGGTGAGTCCATGCGGGTGCAAATTGTAAAGCAATGGAGGGAATGTTCCAAGTTCCTAACTTTTTTGAGTCGTGGAGGTTGAATTTCAAAGTTGGAGGAAATTGTTTCTTTTGCTTATTGAAAACGTGCTCAAACTGCTGAAAAAAACAGTAGTAATGAATAATGAATGAATATAGTTATTGGTCCAATTTTTGAATCCCTCAAAAAGTCCCCGTGTGAAAGCGCGGCAGATTCAATCGGCCAACACCAAAAAAGACCCACAACAAACAACAAATTGACGTTGCTGTTGTTGGCAGGCTTTTCAGCAGTTCCTGTCGTTTGCTGCTTGCTACTTTGCTTCTTTCATGAGTTTGCGAAAGAGAAAAAATTTAACGCCAAAAAATTGATATATGGAAGGATCCCTGATCCTTCTACCCCTTCCATCGTCCAAGTTGCCCTTTTCATTTTTTCTTGTTGGTTTTGTTTTTTGTCTGCCACCAAAAAAAGCAAAATAATGTTATCATCTTTCACATATACATTATTTCTTCCATCTTCGGAATAGTAGTACCGTAGTATGTAGCATAATTGCATCACTCAGCTTATACTGACGTGGAAGTAATTAATCAACAACTGTGGTTGTGTTTATAATTAAAAATAAACTTGCGAATACGATCACACAGAGTAAGGAATAATAGTACCACATAGTTTTGTTTTGTACTCCCTCTATTCTAAAATTAGGGTCCATTTTGAATTTTCATTTCTAATATAAATGATACTAGAATTGAAGATCTGAACTGGATAATAATTTTGGGACAGAGGGAGTATCAAATGGATGTTCAATATCTTTTAATTTGTTGAAAACAAGTTGGCAAAACAAGAAGTAAATGTTCAGCTGTTCCATATAGTACATGTATTGGTATAAAAATTACTTCCTCCATTCCAAAATAAATGTCGTTTTAACAAAATGGAGAAGTTTTAAAATAAGTGTCGTTTTCGGATTCCAATGCATTTTTTAAAAAAAATCTCCAAACATACCCTCAGAAGAAATAATATTATTGGTGACCATTTATTTTAATGAGGTTGGTTGAGGATATTCTAGTAATTTAACTATTGTATTTAATGTTTTCTTAAACTGTGTGAAAACTCTAGAATAACACTTATTTTGGAACGGAGGGAGTGCTATCTATCAACACAGTAGTTTTAGGCACTGATTGTAATATGATTAAAATCAACTTGGAAAGTAAGCGGCTTCGCTTCATCTACAAAAGGGAAATTATTTTATTGACATGAAAAGAGAAAAATGAAAAAGGAAGAAAAGGCAAGGGATGCTTGTTAACGTGCCATGCACGTGTGGATCGGCTGAAAGGCGATAAAACTACCGTCGTGGGAAGTTAGGATGATCATCGACAAGCCTTTTTAATTCAGTAGTGGGGTTTTATAAAGCTACTGCAATTCTTACTTCATCACTAAAATTGTTGGTAAATTTATTGTCATGGATCATTCCTCCCAATCGGATGGAATCAATGAATGCTGCGCAGCACAATATCAATGCACAGTACTCCGCCGTATTGCTTGAGCAAATACATATTCGTTTCACACTCTGAAAATTGCAAAAGTTTTTCCTGAATTTAATTTTAGGAGTCTCAAAGGGAATGGACGATGCTGAGAGAAAGGTAAAAATCATTTCGTGAATCTTTTGCCGCCAATGCATATATATATATATATATATCTATATATATTTTAATTCAGTTGGCAGAGAGAAGTAGTGATTTTAATTCTACAAAGATTTTCCTGCTCCTTGTCCCCCAAGTCATCATCCCTTCCTTGACTAGCATTAGTTAGATGATTATAATACATGCATTTCTTGAGTCAAGAACAGTTAACTGTTGCATTTTTGCAATAATTAGATGTAAATTGCATGTTTTGCCGGCGTGAGTGAAAAATAATCGCTCGCGATAATAATATATTTTATTATTTTCGTCTTGTTATTAAAGAATAGCATACTCGCGTGAATTATATTTCAATATTAATCTTTTTGGTCTAAAATTATTAATTTTTCTAACTGCCTTGGCTAGAATGATTGTTTGGAATTGTCACTATAATACGGCAAAATCTCTGATAAAAAAAAAATACTTTCTCCATCCTAGAAAAAATTATCAATTTTGTTGAATTAAAACAGTAAAACAATATGGATAATTTTTTTTGGAAACCAAGAGATTAATAAGAGTATTTATAACTAAATTTAATTAATAGAAGAGTAAGTTACAAGAAATCTGTAATTGACGGTTAGGCGTATATATTAGGACCCCTCACATTCTTGAAAGACTATAATTTAAGGAGGGAATTCTGGGAATTTCAAAGCTCAAATTCTGGCCCAATAGGTTAAGTTGAAAAGTAATAGTCATCTATTGGGCTTTTTCTGGCTTTTGAACGGAATAAATACGGGGCCCAACTTAATCGCGCGCGTTTCGTGAATAACGGATTTGAGGATTCCGGCCACTCCGGAAACCCTCCACCGCCATTGCTGCTACTCAAATGTTCCATTGGTTCGCCGTCCTCTTCCTCTGCTCCTCCGACGGGGACGTCTACTTTTACCAGTCAGTTCGTAATTATTAATTTCTGTTGACTTCTGTTATCCAATTGCGGCAGTCTCGAAGCTCATCGCCACCAGGTAATCAATCAATAAATTCTTAATCTTCTTTCACTTTGGAGGAATTTGAGACTTGGACAGTGCCCTAGGGTTTGTGTTCCTAATAATTTCAAGTATTTATTGCAACTAATGGAGTAACTGTTCTAGTTTTGTTGGTGAGTTTATGATTCATTGATTTGTGGATAAAGATAAACTGTTCTCTTTCACTTTGGATAGGTATTACCAGTTCGAATTCCTGTTTGAATTTGGCCTTCGATTTTAATTGTATTAATTTTCGTAAGAATAGCTTGAATTTTACTATTCGTCATTTCATTTGGAGTACTTGATTTAAAGTGAATGAATGTATTGATTGCATTGAAATTTTATTGTTACTGTTCAGTTTGTGTAATTTACCAACCAATCATTTATGTTTATCATTTGGGATTCAGGAACTTGTTGAAATAATCTTAGAACAGAAACAACATATATATATATATATATATATATATATATATATTCTTGAAGGATAAGGATATGGACTCTGTACGAAAAAGTCCTCTGTTTTGCTTGAAATGGCCCTGGGATTTACCTGATCCCAAACTTAAGAATTCCAGTGGATGTCAATTTCAAGCCCCTTGGCTTTTCAGATCTTTTAGAAACCTTGGGTTTATGGCATTTGGATTTGTCAACGATGTATCCAAAACCTACTTCCCTAAAGCCTCATTTCACTTGCAAACTGGAGGGAAGCCAAAGGAACCTATGAGGAAGATTTTGACGGTAGAAGAGCAAGCAGAGGCTGAGCAGAGAGCCCTGGCAGCTGCTCTTGCTTCTGCGAAGGAGGCAACAGTGCTCGAGTTCTATTCACCAAATTGCAGACTTTGCAGTTCCTTACTTGGTTTTGTACAGGAAGTTGAGAATAGGAACTCAGATTGGCTCAACATTGTGATGGCTGATGCAGAGAATGATCAATGGTTACCTGAGGTATTCCTTCTGTTTTTACTGACCACAAAATCATTTCTCACAAAATTGTGATTTGACACATGAAGGTCTTCTGGATTTTCTTGTTTCACATGCATTATAATTCGGCATTGGAGTTCTCTTAACTTTTACTGGATTTACTTGGAGTTTTGTGTTTTGCTTGATGTAATCTCTCTCTAACATTTTTCTTAATTTGCCTTCTTTACATACACAACTTGGATCAGCTCATTTGATCCTACTCCCCGATGATGTGAATTTTACCTTAAGTTCTTAAAGATTGCTTGTTGCCTTACCTCTGTTAGGAAGGTATACTAATTGTGGCATTTATTCGTGCTGCAGCTACTCCATTATGACATAAAGTACGTGCCTTGCTTTGTGCTACTAGATCAACATGGAAAGGCACTTGCAAAAACAGGTGTTCCAAACAGTCGGCTACATGTTGTAGCAGGTGTCTCTCATCTTCTTAAAATGAAACGTCCCCAGAAGTGATTCTCTATATCACTGATTGTCAATTGAGATGATAGATCTGTCCTTGCAATCTCGTTAGACATTTTTTACCTACAGTCTCTTTCCTATCATGTACATCAGCTTGTAAAATCCTGGACTGGGTTATTGATATTGGGTATTCACAGACTAATTGCTGTCTGCTGATATGCCACATGTAACTTGTTGAGTTTATCCTCGTCTTTGCTTGATATATGATCTGTAAAAACTAATATTAAAGTTTTGTTTTCGTCTAGAGTACTTTCTTTAAGTATTAGATGACCAACCAGCTTCATTTCAATTCATTGGATCTTGTTGCAACAGTGTAGTGTAACCAAATGGCCTTTCTTCTGGTGATGCAAGGAGAACACTTTTCAATGCGGAATCTCTGAATAGGTGTGCGTTAATAAGTTCAACTTTTTATAATAGGCCTTAGCTTGGCGCGCGAGAGTGATTTATCCAGAGTGAGGCATGTTTAATATGAGGCTCTTCATAAATGGTCAATAAATTTTTGAATTGCATTGAAATGACTAGTAGATTAGCCAATATAAATATAGTATGAACTTGTACAACATATCACCGCATGTGGTTCCTAGCAGAAAATTGGCAAAGCTGCAATGGTCTACGAAGCAACATTAGCAGTCATTTCAGACTGAAATTTTCAGCTACCTATTTACAAGCTCTTGAAAGAGTACCCTAGATTCTGCTAGAGGGTCACAACGCTGTACTCCAGTTGCCCATATGTTTTGCAATGGAAGCAGCTTCATCTCCAGTTTACTTAATCGCTTTTCTAGCCGGTTTAAGGCAGTTGTATCCATGAGACTACCATCTACCGTCTGCCAAATATATATCAAGGTAAAATGAGAAGGCAACAATAAACGAATCTAGACAACAGCATCTGAGTTTTCTTACTTACCCACAAGTTGCCGGAGCAAGCATTTATAATCAACCGTCTGAGGAAATTTTCATGGGAACCATTCACAGGTTCCTTACTGCCAACAGAAACGGTTAACTCCATGCATGAAGAGTCCCACATCGATCCCTGGTTTTGAACAATAACCCTATGATGCTGTCTTAACATAGTGTCAAGATGACCAACTGAAAAATCATTCGCTTTCTGCCTCACAAGACCAGCTCCTGAAGAGGTTCTGCCGTCATCTTCACTTGACACTGATTCAATAGGCAATCCAAGAAAATTTGCAGCTCTTGCGTTATCAGCCCAGCAGCAACACACAGATGAGCCATCATCTGTGCAGGTTGACAAAGTTGCAGTTAAGACTAGTACAAAATAAATCAAAATAGACAATATATCTAAGATATAACACAGTCAACGGGATAGCAAGAGCTGGGGCCCCTAAGATGCGAAAGTTCCAGTTCATAGATAATGGTCATACCCACAATAAAGCCAACAAGTGGGATTTCAGCTTTGGATGAGCAAAACTGTATTTTTTTGTTGCAATATCCAGCTTTCTCCATTTTTTGCAAAACCAATACATAAATGGAAATCACCTGCAACAGATTTGCTGTATTTAGGACAAGCCTATTCAAAAGATTTGCTACAGTTGAAAAATGAAAAAGACCAAGAAGCAAGCAATGTCTGACTATCTGCAGATCAAACCAGAGTTACCCTGACGTGATGTTGCATGGGCTTAAAATCCATGGCCTTTGTTATTTCAGAGATCAAAGTTGCAGGTACAACACTTGGTGAAGTTGCACATTGTGAAACCAGAGACACTGGTATAGAATCCCCCTCATCAGCGACTTGGCAGTCAGCAACATTAGCAGAATCAAGCACAATAAAAGATGCAGAAAGTAACATATATTGATTTACTCCACTGGAAAAGAACACAGTACACATTAATACAGTAAGAATTCCCAACATGTTCCACATGGGGGAAAAAAAAAGAGACTGTAACAAGAAAATATCGATACAATGTAGGGCACAATATGAACATCCAATAGTGCATACCTGAGTGCAAGAATTCGATGAAAGGTTGCATTCACACCTGGCCCAAGACCTGTCGAATATGTACTATTACTTAGAGAACCGAAGATCATGGCCTGTTGAACATGGAATCATTTAATATATTGGGATGCAACGTCAAAATTGTGAATAATGAATCAAACTGAAGTCAGAAATACCATTTGGTCATCCACAAGAACATGAATGCAACTTGCTCCCGGGGAAAATTTTAATTCATGAGCATCAAAAGAAATTTCATGTCTTGGATGTGAAATATGTGGAGAACCATTGAAATCGTGGATGGCCACTACAAGTCCATGAAGAGAGAGAAGATCTCCTTCAGGCAACAGGGGTTCAGAAGGATAAGCTCCAGAAGGGAGCGGACCAGTGACGATTGACCCCTTGGCATCATATTTTTCAGTGTATGTTTCGAATATAAGAGATGACTTCTGCACACCACTTTCAAAAACATTGGTGTCCACCTTCAGATGATGTATGGCATCAGAAGGCAAGGATAGTATGATATCTGAGCAACACGATTCAGGCCAAATAGAATATTGCTTATTTGCTAAAATTTCATTCTGCGGAAAAGCATCAGGCACAGGCTCAGGTTCATGACTGGTTGCAGAAGAAAACACAGAAGATGAGTTTGAATTTTCCAGAATTACATCTGAAGATAATGAAATGCTCCGGAGATACGTCTGACAATTGACAAGCATTGCTGCAGGGATGTTGTTCTTATCATTCTTTGCAGTAAATGGGAAATGATTTCTTCGATCCTTTATTATGTAGTAAGCACCAATTCTCAAACCCTATAAGATGGCAAGCAAGAGTCAAAAAATAAAGAAAATCAATAACCAAAAATGTTTAAAATGAAAGAGCAGAAAACCTGATGCATGTCTAAACTTTCAGAATCAAACTCCAGCAATAGACTCCTCCCATCTGGTTTAAGACTGGAACTTGTCACAGCCTTCCTGTCCGTGCAATACACAAAACCCGGACAAGGGCACTTAAAGTCTCTACTGGACACTACACATGGAAATTTGAAACTCTGGTCTCCCGGATTCTTCTCTGTAAAACATCTGTTCCAATACGAATCATTTAAGCAGCCACACTTGAGATTTCCATAATCACATGATCCACGTTTTCTGTGACTTGATAATTTCTCAGATTTACATCGCTTCGGGATATGTTTCTCACACTCCCACACCCCGTGTTCCTCTAGTTGAAGGCCCTTCAAAGATGCAATTTCATCCTTCTTAGGCAAGATCAAATCCCAAGGCAAAATTACTGCCTCGGCAAAAGCTCTTGATCTGTTTGAAAAGGCTTGATGTCCTACTGACTGCAAAACATTGAAGACAAATTCAGGAGCAGAGCAGATACCAATAAAGGCCACAGGCATTAGATATTTCAGCAATCAATGAAAAAATAATACCTTATGAAGCAGTGGAAACTTGTGCTTCAACCAAAATAAGTGATAATGTCCACCCTGAAGCTGTTGAAAGCTTGCTTTACTATAGTTGATCCGAGAAGGATATATTATTGAATTTGCATCTCTAAATCGGTGGTAAAGGAAAACCGATATATCTATATCTCTCTTTGGGGAACCATCCTCAAAGATATTTCGACATGAGAATGGTTCACAAGGAAATAAGTCTAGATCATTCAATTCAGCTGAAATCCCCTGGATAATTACCTTGAACTCTTTCACCTGGACAGAGTCAACATGTGAAAACACTCAGAGGACGACTAACAATAATCATAAAACTGTTAAGTACTTGTAGGAGATTCTAAAAAAGTAAATGCCAATAAGATTGTACAGGAAACTTCACCTCATAAACTTTGTTGAAATCCCAATTCAATGGGATGTCAGGTATGACAACATCTATACTACAAGATGCATCAACAAGTTGCAACCTCCCAGAAGCTGGTGAGACCTACACAATGGAGGCGTTACAATAATAACACAGTGAAACTGCGGTTTTGAGTGTAGAAATATCTTGCTGTGCACCTTTATATATCCAAGCAAACTAACAGCAGTTTCTTCACTTTGAAAGATTCTTCTTGTCAACATTGTGTAAGATCCCCCACCACAGGACAGATAGTTTCTTTGTGCAAGCTTACTCATGACATTAAAATCATCTTCCTGCCCTCGTATCCCCTCTGTCCACCTGATTGCAACATAGCTCCTAAAATAAGAGACTGGTACTGCCTGAAGCCGAACAAAGCAAAAAGTCGCTCAATTTACTACTGTTACAACAATGTATGATTTCTAATAGCAGCTGTACAACAGATAACAGTTATTATCACACGAGACTTACTAATTTCATAAGACTGTAATCTTCATCCTCAACACGATTGCTCAAAGAATGCTTGCTGTACTCCATGAACAATCCATACTGCTAAACAGTGAGGTGCAACTACATGAAAATCCATCTCCAGTCATTGGCTTCACTATAATCACATTGACAACTTACACGTTTTTGGTAGGCAGATGCAGGTAGACATGAAGTAGCATATGTTTGAACCAGACCCACCTTCTGGGAATACCTTGTAACAGATCATGTCAGTTGTCGCAAATTAAAGCACGAAATAAGGGGGAACTAAACAAGTTCAAACTTAAAGTTCAAAGCTGCGCTTACATGTTCTGATCCTAATATTTCCTCTTTAGATAAAATCCCAGCAAATTTTTTCTGAAAACATGCGACTGTTAAAAGCACCCTGAAGATAAAGAGAGAACACGTTTAAGCCAAACTCACCAGATAAAATTTGAGGAATCAAATTTATCTATTCCTAGTTCCTACCATAGTCTTGCAGAAAATGCCAGAGAATAGATAAATCTCCAAAGAAGGTCTTGAGAAAGTGATCTCTTGTAAGCCCTGTGCAAGTAGAAATATCGATTAAGTGAATACAAAGCTACATAATAGGAAATAATCTGAAGAATTTTCGGATATGAGTGCTAACCCTGTTTCAAATGGAGAAAATGATTCAACAGAAATACATGTTATGACGCAAGCACCAAGTACAACAGTCTTTGTCCAACCAAACTTGGGATTTACAAAATGCACATTTCTCACAGACAACTGAAAAAGACAGAAAGTTTATGAACTTTGATTTAGTCGTCATTTCCTGAAGAACGACAGCCATTAACAGAAATACTTCAACAAAATTAATGCTACAGAATGAGGCCATTTCCACAACAGGTCAACCGCCAAAGTACATTTCTTTATACCACTGAAGTAACTTAATAAGACGAGAGAGCTGCTTAACTTACTATAGCACCAACTCTCAAACTGTGAGGAACCATGAGCTGGGGATCAGTTAACAAAAGCTGCAGTTCCTGATCCAGCTCTACAACCATGCCCTCCATGTAAACTCCTGTTATTGTTCCGACATAGCTTCCAACCTCTCCCGAACCTCTCAACTTCGGCTTTTGACTAGAAAGACCTTTCTTTATCACCTTAGGAACACGCAACAAACTTTTCTCGTTTGTAACATACATTAATTCAGAAGTATCCTTTACAATATAAACCAACTTCCTCCACAACCCACATAATGTAACCATACTCCCTATCAACCTCACAATGGCAGGGTGCCAAGATGAAGCAGACCCACAGAAGTAGACTATCAAAGGCTTCATAAAGCAGTGATATTTGTGATTCCCTTCAGCTAAATATTCCATTACAACTACATTTTTTCTTGACTGACACAATGCGCACTCACAGACCAAAATTTTCACAAGGAAGCCACAAAGCTTTCTTGTGGAGCTTACAGAACTGCTTTCCCCAACAGAACATGGAACCACAGTGAGAGGACTAATAGACTCCAAAACACCAAATAAAGCATATTTAGCCTTGGAATCAGCTATACCATCACCACACGAATCCAAAGCTAAAGGAAAAGAATCAGAATTCAAAGAAACTCCCAGAATCTCCCAACTAATTATCTCCAAAAACCCACTTACTCTGCCTCCAGAATTTGAAGGAATGAAATTCCAGGCGCAAACACGAACATTTCTTCCAACAATTCGCGGGTGGAAATTGAGAATATCACAACAAACAGTTGCAGAGCCATCGCTAAATTGAAAGCAGCTACAAGCAATATGCGAGCTTGGATAATTATTTCTGGGATGGGCCGGTAGGGAAACCGTTCCTATGAGGACGGTTGGGTTTTTCAAGGGTTCAAGGATTTTTAAATTAGTGTTTTTTCGGGAGGATGATGATGATACAACTGGGTTGGGAGGCTGTTCATACAGTTTCCAGTCAAAATCGGAGGCCGGATTCTTGGGAGAGATGGATGAAACTCCGGTGACGTGGAGACCGCCGGTGAGGAGATCGGAGAGTCTGAGGATTCTGGCGGACGCTTCCTCCATCGACGGCCGTGATTTCTTGTAACATTTTCGCGGTCTCTTATAGCGGGAAATGAAGCGTATTTTGAAAGCTTTGGTCAGTTTTAGTGTATTTAGCGGGGGAGTTCTAGAAGCTCAAGCCCAATAAAAACATTTTGGCCCGTGGAAAAATCAAAGCCCAACCATCGTCCTCCCAAAATAGCCCTCATTAAATTAACAAGACTTATTTTGCGAGAAGTATATGTATATTTTTCGTCTTACCAAATGGTACCCATAATACTACTGATGTGGTAGAGAAGAATGGAGGCAAAATTTACACATTTAATTACTGTCAATAAGTACATTGAGTTGGTAAAGCCAGAATGACCATCTTTCTTTCAATGAGGTAGCATTTACCCATCAAAGAGAGCAAAAACAAAACACAGATGTGTTACCATCATCACCTGTAATTGCAACATTAAGCAAACCCAAGACTCAATTTCTGTACACCAACACCAAGTGGCAAAAGAAGTCTTGAACCCAAAAGAATTTCTGGAGTCAAAGTACAAGAAACTCTAATCTAATGCTAATGCACCAGGCAGCATATATGGTATCGGTCGTAGAGCATCCTCTCACCTGAAGTGCTACATAGATGGCTGGATAAAAGCAGTGCATCTCAGATGAAATGTCTGCAGTATTGTCTGATGCCACTTCCACACAATATAAGAAATGAGTCACAGCATAATGGATTATGTATTTACCGGTACATTGTTGAATCAATGAAACAGTCATCCATTCCAACATGGTCTAGAAGGTTTTCCCTATCTTGGAAGAAATGGTTTCTGAGCCAGCACTGGTTACCAAGCTTCCGCTATCCGACATGTAGAAATAGTTATAATTTAGTCTGGTAACCAAATCTGCTAAATGCGGAAACTGCCCCACATTCAGCTTGAAGGATAATATCTGCAACGGACACAATGCAGTGGAGAATATCAACAGAATGACAATGCGGCCCTGGTCATTTGAGTTATGAAACCATGACAGTTTAATTTCAACTATGAAACAAATTTGAGTTATGAAACAATGACAGTTTAATTTCAACTACAAAACAATGAAATTAATTTAGCATGCTGCTTAAGGATGAAAGGTACAAGAAAAGATAAGCAGAAAATTACTCTGAGAAGGAAAGTTATGCAGTCGTCAAATTGTTTTTCTATCCGATCTATTTCCATCTCGCATCTTGCTTTAACTGCAGACATAGCTCCTCCACTGCTCAGAGTCTGCTGGACCGCATAGAAGTCCAGGGCTAGTCCAAGGATGTTGTTGAGCCGGTTAGCAATCAACGCCCACTGGTAATGCAACAAGGGGATCAATAAATTCAAACTAACAGTGTGCAACTGAATAGAAAAATACTCCCTCCATTCCAAAATAAGTGTCGTTTTCGGATTCCAATGCATTTTTTGTCAAAAATTTCCAAACATACCCTCAAAAGAAATAATATTATTGGTGAGCATTTATTTTAATGGGGTTGGTTGAGGATATTCTAGTAATTTAGTTACCCTATTTAATGTTTTCTTAAACTGTGTGCAAACTCTAGAATGACACGTATTTTGGAACGGAGGGAGTATAAAGTAGACAAAGGAATTAGCTAAAGAAAAGAAATTTTAAGCCGTATTAACCAGCTTATCAGGAACAACAAAGCACTGTCTCTGAATTGACAACAGATACGATTCATGCACTTCAATGACTTCATCCAATGATCTCGCCGCTGCCACACCTTCACATAGCTCACGCCATGCACTATGATACACCTAGACACAGAATTCTGGTAAGATGGTGCTAGCAAACACAGCTCCACACTCGTAAAAGTAAATGATAACATTTCCAATATCGCATGTGCATGTTTGCAAATTTCTAAGAACTTTTTGCTTGAAAATATTGTGACATTTGAAGTGTCACTCAAATATAATAACAAGAAGAAGGTGAGTGCATGAACAACAAAGGTAAATAAGAGAATACTTCATTCTTCAACTTATTCACTTTAATTTGGTCATCAAAGGGCTCCGGCACACCATCCTATATAAACTTATCCTCCTTTACGACTCATATAAGTAAATAGTAAAAGAAAAGACATCTATGCTAAAGGGGCAAAAGACATTACTCTGTCCATGACGTACTGATGAAAGGCATCCACAAAATGCAGTAATTTCTGTTCTAGCAACCAATGGTGTTTGCGTGTAGTTGTAGCAGTGCTTCGATCCTGAAAGAGGCAGAGTGTGTTAGTTTAAATCTAAACAAAAATTTCGGGGAACTTGTTTAGTAACATTCAACTGAAGGGAATGTCAATTTGCAAACTTCATTTGGCCTCATGGCGGCAACATGACAAAAGAAAATAGAATGGTGAATGATGAACCTTCAACATCCACCTTCGAGCCTTATCAAGAACAAACTTTGCTCTCCTGACCTTCAACAGGAAAACCATCACCTGTACAAATACTTGAAATCATTACCAAGCGGCCTTCACGGTACACATCAAAAAATGCCAAACTGTTACAGTGTTACCTGATTATACTTCTTTAATGCCTCAGCATTAGCTAAAAGTTCAAGTGGCCATGACACCTATATCCAGAAGGATATATCAATTAGTTTGTAACAGAAACTACATACAAATATGGCTGCCATGTGGACAGCAGCAAGTTGCAAGCATATAGAAAATAAAGCTAACCTTGTATGTAAATGTCAGCGACTGAAGGACGTCAATTCCTGCAGTCTGCAGTCGACTTCTGCGAGGAGTTGAGGCAGGAACAGCAGCACCATATTGTTCATCCTCACTTTTGTCAACAGATTTACTGACTGAAACAACTAACGAATCCGGTGAGCTTAATAACGAGCCATCAGCAGAGTTTCGGACAGATTCCTGATAATAAGCATTATCATCAAAGCACCAGTAGATATAATTAGTTTCAGGAGAAAAATAAGGTTTCTAACATTAGGCCAAGCACCGGAAAGAAATTATTACAGACAATTATCAGAAAGTAAACCAAAATAAGAATGGACATCAAAAGCATTCCTTATCTGATGGGCTATATATACATTATCCATATTAAGAATCTTACTAGCTTGAATGTAAGATTATTCATAATAAGGTAAAAGGGAGAAAAGCAGAGTAGCCTAATGCAGTGGTGTGAATCTAGATAAAGAAAAGCATTTGCACCTGCAAAATAGTGTTCAACTCGAAATCATCATCCAAAGCTTCTCCTTTGTCTAACTTATTAAAAACCACCAACAAGAAGTGCTGCAATAAATCCCCTGCAAACAATTCAAAATTTCAAATTACTAAAGGTCCCTAACAATTACATCCAAAATACCACATAATAGGGTTTTGGCAAAAGTCAGTATACCTGAACCTAACAAATATATAGCACGCAATACCCCTAGCTCATCCAGTAGTCTCCAATCATGTAGCAACTTGGTCAATATATTCCTGCCTATGTAATCAGCCTACAGAGAAATAAAAAGAAGTTAGAAAGTTAAAGGGATCTAAGAAAATGTTGGCAACTGATAAGAAATGAAAAAAGCCAAAAATATTGATTAGCAACCAGACCTGCTTCTTTATGTAGGTAAGAAGGCATTCCTGCATAATAACAACAGGGAGTGGAGTGATCTTTGGCTCTACACCTTGTATCCAATTAAGAGTTCTTGATGAAAGGGTACTATTTTTTTCAAAAGGCAGAAACTCTGATATACAAAGGTCCTCCTGTCCCACAACAGAAATTAAATTCAGGCATAAAATGCTCGAGGATATTAAAATCCAGACATAGTCAAAGAGCCACAAAAGCACTACCTGAAAAGACGGAAGCAAAGTTGGAAAAGGAAATAACATCTCCAGCATTTTGGTTTCTTCTTTTTGACGATGAAATTCAGATTTGTCAAACCCAAATCCAAACCTGAAATTAGTGCTTCTCTCACCCAAACCAGATCCTTCGGTCCTATCAAATACAGCATTCCTTAATTCCTCATCATCTAAAGGTGGAAGATGCATATTTCTAGACAAACTTAATGCGCTCCAAGAATCCTTCTCCTTTTGGAGGAGCTTCTGACAAACAGTCATAGTGGGATTCTCAGGACAGAATGCTTCAACACAGGGAATGTCATAAAATGCATCAGACATTACATTTCCTTTGTCCAAATTAGAAGGAGATGTTTTTCTATGCGTGAATCCAAGATCACCACGTCTTTTCTGCTGCAACGTAACAGCCAAGAACTTATTCCAGACCTTATCTGACGAAATGGATGGCAAGATCACATCATTGCCTTGTTCTTTACACTTCCCACCATGAGATTCAGATGAAGTAAAAATCAAATTATCATGCCAAACGTAGTCAGCAATGTGGTCACCACAACCAATAAGAGCTGCCAGTGATACACAAAAGGCCTCTGATAATGTTAATCCAGCTACGCATCTCCCAATTTCATGTCTATAAGTATGAGACTCTAAAAAGGATTTCAAAGGAGCATGTCTAATAAGTTGTAATGATTTCCCAGCAGACACAATCGCCTTGCCCATTTCTTTGATGAACAAAGGACAGACATGGTATTCACCATCCTTGCCCTCGATTTCTCTGGAAGAACTAGACTCTCTTCTGGTCATATCCTTTTTCTCCTTTAGAGTTAGAATAACATCAGATGGAGAAGCATGACGATCAAGTTTTTCATATGTTTTTGAGCGAAGCAGGTAGCTTTTCTCCCAAAAATCAGTCTCATCAATTGCAATTGTTTTGTTAGCATAGAAGAACATCTGCAGAAAGCACAAAAGTTAAAAGGGAAATAAGTTGGCTTCACCAGGTAAGAGAATACACAAGTAGGTAGTCAGCAAATCGAAACCATATTCATGACATGATACATCACATGAATCCTTCACATTCTAAATTAATGACATGAACCATAATCTTATACTGGAGACTGAATAAGGCCGAAAAGACTCCCAAAAAGATCATGACAGGAAACTACAGATGTAAATGCAAGTGATTATACTGCAGACTGAAAGATAATAGAACTTTATCATTTAGGACTCAAATTGTGTGACAAGCTAAATATGACACAGGCTTCATCAGAAAGACGTTTGATAAAAGTTTCAACCACAATCACCTCCCCAACAGGATCATCTAGAGTTCCTTCAAAAAGCCAGGAGTCCAGAACTTCAATATAAGGCAATATAGTCCCCGTGAATATGTAGAGTAGCATCTTGTAAGAATCCTCCTGAAAAGTGCACGAGATTCATTTGAGGAAAGCAACTTTAAACCCCCCACCAAAGGAAATGGGAAAATTAAAACTCCTCGAATAACAAACAACAATCCTTTCCCCAGGAAGGATATTACAACCTCACCCCCTTGCAAGAGACAAATTTCATTGAGCTTCCTGTAAAGCTGGTTTAGAATGTGAGTCGCAATATCTGCTGCTGCAACAGAATGATTGAGTTCAAAATAGATTCCTGGAACAGAATCATTTACAATTTGCATCAAACATTCAGCTCCGGAGCATAGACTGCAATACAGAAAACATTGTCACAAGAAGCATCAACAAGACATAACTTCAGAAAGGGTGCTCCAGTGGCTTTGATTCCTGAAAGAGGATAAACTCGGCAATCTTGAAATGCACTACTAATAAAGAATGCGATAATGAAAGGCAATAAGCCCTTGATCAAACAGGAAACGCTTTGTGTAACACACCTTGATAAGGAATTAGACAATCCCAGAAGGGTTGGAACTGTTTTGTCATCAGAGGTGCTTATCTTTTCCTCCTCTCGCAAAGCAAAATCTCGTAATTTCTGTACCAAAACAATTATATTAGCAAGAAAGCATAATTCACCAGAAATGAATTGAACAACTACAAAGGTAAAGAGCATACTCTAAGCCAGGCAGAAACAGAGCAAGTGAATGCTCTCAATGTAGGCGGAGGTGCTACTGAAGCCTTCTCGATCTTGTTCAGAATAATTTCAACAGATTTTAAACAAGTGGCAGCATGAACAAACTGAGCAAGAATGCCGCGAAGACTCGTCTGTGTAAGATGGGAGACATAAATCCCACTCTTGACTCCATAGCACTGCCCATTTTCGTCCCAGTAAAACAAAAAACTTGAAAAACCTTGGCAAATATGCAACACACCTTTCACCTACATCGAATTTGCATAAACCAGAAAATTAAAGACAAATTCTGGGTTTATCATAAAGGTTATGTTTTTGTGACCTAATGTGGAAGAAAGATGAGAAAGCGTACCAATTCGATTTCATTAACCCTTAAGGAAGACAATGGTGCAGCGAATTGTAGGCCATCATTGGAGAAGGAACTATAAACTTTACCAATAAAACAGTCAGAAATTGCCATTCTTTAATTTCCTCAACTGAACCTGTCAATGCACAACTCCCTTCATACGAAATGACATATAATTTCACGCCTCATTCTAAGAAGGAAAAACCTATAAACCCAAAGAAAGAAGTTTACATTCGATTTCCTCAGTGGGGTTTTGGGGGTTTCAATTAGAATTGAGAGGGACGAGAAACAATATTACTTCCTCCAAATCCGAATGAAAGACCGGGGAGCAAAGATGGTGTTTCCGGTCAGAAAATAGTTGAGGAAGTGAAGCGGGAATTAAAAACATTAAAAAGAAAAGTATGATGATGCCGGAGTGGAGTGGCGCCGGTGGCAGTCAAGGGACGTTTTTCAAATTTTGTTGGGCTACCCCCTTGATTGAGGGGGTGTTGGTTGTAAATTTCAAAGTTTTGAGAATTAATCAGTAATAATACCAAACTTTGGAGAGAATTTGTTCTGTACCTGAACTAATTGAGGGGGGTGTTGGCTACATTACTAAAATACTGAGAAATATTTAGTGATACAACAAAAGAATGGGGTTTATTTTGTAATTGTCCTAATTTTTGTGGTTTCATGATCTCCATCCAGGCTCGGCGGAATCCGGAATGGGGAATTTCCGACCGGCGAAGAAGCATTAATCGGAAGCTCAAACTCCATTGTTCCGTATATCATCATTAGACCCAATATATTGCATTATTTGACCACTGCTTTTTAATGGCTTAAGAAGAGAGAACTAGAGGGGAAAAAAAAAAAAAACTTGAGAGAAAACTGAAGCAGATTGTCTTGATGAACTTTTGGGCAATGAAACGAATGATTTTTCTTATAGTTGTTCTTTGCTAAAGTCATGTACAATATATACCAGATATCCGTCTGTATCTGCAACATCTATAAATGGGGAGTACTACATTGCTTTCTATTTGCTTTTATCTAAGCAGTGAAGTTACAACAGTCAGATAACATGTTATGCTAAAGGACTGGATGGTGATTTGCGCGGCACAGTCGGCATCCCAGAGTGAAGTAAACAGCTGTTCTTTGAGTCACGGTGTGATTCAGCAGCACAAAGGCTCGCCCACAGATACCATTTCTAGGGTAAGTATCAGCCTAGGCTTTGCTCAAAGTACTGTTTTCTCCTTAAGTCTACGATTCTAAACACAAAGAGATGTGAAGTGCCACTGAATGCTAGATATGTTATGATCAGATCGTCAGGGCGCAAGAATCATAAGATAGCCCCTTTCTTTATTCCCTCCAGTAAGCTGTCGAAACCATTAGGTCGGCAAGCAGTATTCAAATTGTTGCTGAGCTCTGGTGGGGAGGTACTAGGAGGAACCTCAAGTGTTGAACGAGGAGAGTGATGAGAAGTGGGTCCACAATCTGAAACTTTAGGACCAGTTTGAGAGATTTCGCTGGAACAACAGATAAATTCTATATACGTTAGATGGAGAACTAAGGGTAAATCTTATTATATTCCGGTTGTTGGCACTATCCAGTGAAAGGAAGAAGCGAAATGGAAGGAAATTAAAGTTACCTGTGATCTGACTGTTCCGGACTCTTTGTATACATGTTTGGCAGAAATGACGCCAAATCCTTCTTCCGCTTTTCGCAGTCTGGACTAATTTGCTTGTCCTGGCAACAGACATCAATCAGAAACTAACCATGTATGCATTGTATTATTAAAGAGAATGTATGTCATCTATGCTAGTTTGGGTGCCGAATTACTTGCAAATGAGATTTGCAAATCCTAAATGCAAGATTTTTTGTAGTATCATTTCAAAAATTGAACACAAAGCACAAGAAGATAGTTAACACTCACAGAAAGTGTCACTCCAGATAATTCCTGCAAGCAACTTGCTAGTTCTTGGTCGGATGGATTTCTCAAGAAACGATGGTCAAGTAGCACGGCTGCTGATGGCCTATCTTGAGGCCTTCGCTGAAAACACAACTGAAGGAACTCCTTCCCTTCTGGAGACAATGTATCTGGTATTGGCGGTGATTTGTTCAAGACATTGAACATAGCTTGCACCTAGTGTCAAACAATATATTACCAGTTGTTACTTATCAGAGTTACAAATTTGAGGATACTAGATGCTGCAAGGAGATCTGGAGATGCAAAATAATTTATTAAACAAGAATGGGTACCACTTCTGTTTAACATACATAATTTGATTAGAGTTCAGGGAATGAAGTCCACTTCTTCAAATATGTGAAGTTGATATAGCAACCCTACATTACATATACTACTAGTTCCAATCTTACCCCATTATAGTCACTCCAAGGTGGTTTCCCTGTTAGCATTTCAATAACGGTACAACCCAAGCCCCATATATCAACTCCATAGGCAAGCTCTGAAGTTGCATCTTTCCGCATAGCAGCTTGCAAGACCTTATAAGATAGAATAAAAAGTTAAGGAGCTTTAGCAGTTACACTCAACTAGGTATGGAAATTAATTAGCAACTGAGGGTACAGAAATAACACCTCTGGGGCCATCCAGTGTGGACTGCCTTTCAAAGAAAGATCATTCGCACACCCTGTAAGCTGAAAAGACAATAATATGTCATTAGAGCAAGAACAAAAAGTAAAAAACAACACAAAAATAGAGTTGCATGTGCACAGATACGGATTAGTAGTGAAAATCTTGAACTTGGGCTTTAAAATGTGACCCTAGATATTCTCTTGAAAATGGAAAAACAAAATCTTGTTCAATAACAAGTTGGTATAAAGAGCTCACATGCTTTGCTAACCCAAAGTCTGCAAGCTTGACAACCCCCTGTGTATCCACAAGCAGGTTTGCACCTTTAATGTCCCTGTGTAGGAGGACTAGAAGCCATTAACATCACAAAAGACAAATCTACATTAACCAAGTAACTGTGTTTTTCTCTCAGAAACAATGGAAGGGAGAATAAAGTGACAGCAAGTTCAGAGAATTACTTTCAACTTGTTTACATCTAAGATTGAACAAAACTTTTATGTCAAAGGACATCATACAGTCAAGATAACGGAATCATATCAGCACTTGAACATTATGATCAAGCATGAAGTTACCTGTGTATTGTCTTCTTGCTATGCAAGTAAGCCAACCCTGAAACAATGTGGCGAGTAAAACTGCGAACTACACACTCTGTCATAGCTCCACAATGCTCTTTTACATACTTATTAATTGATCCTGGATGAACATACTCCAAGTATATGCAAAAACGATCCCCAATCTACTCAGAAGTAGGTTGTTTACATAGTTAGTATGCTTATTTCAACCACATAATGGCTATAAAAATAACAACAGAAGGTTTCTTACAGTTTCACAGCCAAGGTACTGAACCACATTTGGATGCTTTAAATGGCGAAGAACTTTGATCTCCTGAAACAGAGATACAGTGGGAATTTTAATAACTGTGATCATAAATTCTTCACCAAAAAAAAAGAAAAAAGAAAAAACCCCTAGAGGTGCTCCATTTGAGGATAGAAAAAATATGCTAAAACATAGATTCCTTCTCATGTGCTGGTCTACTGTTTTTGAAAAAGTAAATAACAACAGATTCGCAACAGTATAAAACATTAACCACCTGTTCCAACTGCTTTATGCATTCCAAAGCTTTGGAATCATCTGGAATAAGATCAACCTCTTTCATTGCGCAGAGAGCTCCAGTTTTCCTGCAAGAAGCAAACTCAGTTGTAACTTTCGTGTCTCTGCCAGGAAATAAAAAGAAAACATTTAATTAAAACTTACGTATTAGTTGCAACATAAACACTTCCATATGTACCACGCCCTATAAGCCTTCCTTTTCTCCATTGACCCTTAACTGGTGATGCATCTAATGCGTCCGACTTGTCCATGTATTGATGGGTTGCAGGGAGTTGCAGTGACCTTGAAGCTCCGGGAGGAAGAGGCAGAGGATGCACAGTGGCAGTATTATTTTCAATCCATGTCTCTGAATGAGATTTCTGACATGAAATCTGCGGAGCAGATGAATGTTTCCTAGTATTCATACATGAATTTTGTCCTTTGGGGCTTTGTAGTGGCGAGCGATCTGGACTATACATCATTCTCATGGATACTCCCGGGGATGGAGTCCCAATGAACCTATCCTGCGCTGGAAAATCTAAACCAAACGAAGCTTGAACAGAGCCATAGTCCACGGTTTTGTACTTTTGGGGGCTCCATGCTGGACTTGAAAAACCACTACTAGGAGCACTCCTTGCCGGAACATAAGGGCCAAAGTCGTATCCAACTCCTTCAACATAGAGCTCATTAGAGATCCCCCTGCGAGCTAAGGTTGAGGACCCAGATGATCTGCTGACAACATCACCATTGCTATACCTCCTAGTTTTCGGAAAGATACTGTGGCCATGAAAAATGAAAGTAAAATCAGATTCAATAAATTAGGTACCAAAACTACAATCGAACAAGTGTGAACCCAGTATCTGGGTAGAACTAAGGACTACTCGGGATAAATTTAATAAACGTATAAATTGGTCATCAGGCAAAGCACTAGACTACACTTGCCACAAACAGGGAAAAGGGGAAACTATAAGTATATTTCATATCTTCAAATACTTTCTGTGCATCAAGACAGTGAAAATGGCACAATTCAATCACCTAACCTAAAAATTAAATAAGAAGATAAAAAAGATACTTATTAAATTTTCAATTAAAGCAAAAAAGGGATTTTTATTTTTTTTTCACCTTGAGACAGCAGTGCTAAAGGGATGATCCCCATCTCCTTTGCTCAGCCCCTCTTTTGGTGACGGCAAATGATCACCGGGATTGCTATTCTTCTGAACGGTGGAAAGGTCCGGCAGCGGCAGTGGCTGAGGCACGGCTTTTGACCAGAAATGGGATGACCTGGACCCTTTTTCAGGGGAGACCGGCGAGGACTTAACCGGCTGCAAATCGATTTCGTCATTCCCGGAAGTATTCCCGATCAACTTCTGAAACGCATTCCGCTTATTTCTCCTCGAGTTATCTTTCTGGGGAGAGTCAGAAGGCGAAGTCGACGACGATGATTTTGAGGAAGGTGAAAACGAAGGCAACCAAGGAGGCATCTTTTCATACGGGTTTTACTAAGGAATCAAAATTACACCACCAGAAGCTGCAGTTTAAGCTTACAAATGATAGAATCCTGCTCGATTATATGGAAAAATGCTGTCATTTGAGGAAACACATTCTTGAGAGTCTGACAAAACAGAGAATGAAAGCTACAATGGTGGACCAAAATTCTTGGTGAACAAGCTAAAAGATGTGAGGTCTAAATCGAAATGGTGGCGTTCTTAAGGCATTGGAAAATCTTGGGGGGTTTGAGAATTTGGAGAGTGTTTTTGTTTGTTGGCAGAAGTTCCCACGAAAATGCTCATTCATCGTATTTTACCGTCAATACTCGAGCAATTCCGAGGAGGACTTAGTAGTAGTGTATTTTTTTTACTTTCTCTTTGTCAAATGCTTAATTGTTAAAATGGTTGTTGGCCCCATAATTGCTTTATTTTAATTATTATTAACTATAAGACGTCCATTTCCATTTCTCTTTGAATAATCAACCTTGAAGATTTGTTGGCCCCATAATTGGAGTAAAACAGCACAGTCCATAAGATAAATATGTAAAATACATTCTTTTTATACTCCCTCCATTCCCATATAAAACTCAAAATTATACGTGGATTATATTGTTTTAAGACAGAAGAAGTACTTCTTTTGTCTCGGAATTATTGTCTAGTTTGGATTTTCATTTTTAATACAAATTGAACTAAAAGTGAAAATTCAAACTGGACAATAATTTTGAAACTGAGAGAGTATTAATTTTCTCCAAACATGTTTTAACTTTTAAGGAGTGTTTTGCAAAAGTTATCCGAATCAAGTATTCAAGTAGATCACTAAAGATGGTGAATTTAGATGAGACAATAAGAACCTACTTAAGGAAACTATAGAATCAGTTGCCTGATAAGTGCGGCAAATTATGCAAGGAATCATTCGTTTGTTTGGGTTCTTTTCTCTATTTATTTTTTTTTTTTCACTAAACAAGAGGTAAAAGTGTCACTAGCCAATTAAGCAGATCAGTGATCCCTAAATCTCGAAATGTAGTTGTGTAAAATTGAGAATACGTTTTAGAGTCAAAACCCCCTTATGGCGTAACCATAAATCACACTCCCTTGCTCCCCACAAAATGGAGAAAGTAAACCATGTCATTTTGGTCATAGAAGTGCCAAAACTTCTAATTGGATGACCTACCAAACAAAAGTTGGGGCGGTACTACGTTATTATGTGATTTTCACAAGTTAGAATTTTTTAGAAGTCTTGCAAAATTGAATGCCATTTCCAAATTACCCATTCCACAATCAATCTTAATCAAAACTGACTCTACATCAAAATAAAATATGCCACTAAATCGAGACATGGTGCTAGAAGCCTTGTTCAGAGAATTTTTTGTTGCCGGTATTGGCCCGGATTTGTAACATAACTGTGTTAAGTGTTGGCTAGTGTAAGTAGAGACTGAGTACATTTGTACTAAAGTCAGCCCAAAATGTCAACGATGAAGAAGGATTAAAATTTAAACACACACGTAACTTTGCCAGAGGGGCGCGTATATCGTTCCACTCTGCTTCAGCTCTCTGAAACTGTTGGACTAATGCAAATACTGGAAACTAAAGAGAGCGTAGAAAACTGGGTCAAAGGTTGACTAAATCAAAAGTGACGCGTGGAACTTGAAATATTATATTCATTAATTAGTTGATGAAGGAATTAACTTATTTAATTTTTTTCCGGGGTTGCACGGTTTTAATGATGTGATTTGAGATTTGTGTTTGTATTATTTAATTGAATTAAATTTGATTATATTAAGTACAGTTGGTGAGGGAAATTGTCATGAAGCGGAAGTTTGTCTTGGTCCTGAGGATCCCAAACTAACTAACTACTACTACTACTCATACACTTAAGCACTTACATAAGCAAATTTTTAACGTGTTTTTTGCTTTGAGCTTCTGCCACACAGCTCATCTATTACTGTTGTGGGGAATTTTCACATTTTTATTTTCGTTGAATACCGCGTGTTTCTAGACCACCCCCCATGGATTTTATCAATTTCGTTACTCTTCCCATCTATCTCATAATAAAATTACGTTTATTGAATCATTTCGGTTTATTAAATATATGGTTTTTATTTTAAAATGAAGAGTATCGACTTGTTATTTTCATCAAATATATAGTAATTTGAAGTGATAAGTAATCTCAAAGACTCGAAGCATAAAAAAAAAATACGAGACTTTTACAAGAAAAGATGTATTTTTATTATTAGATTCTGCGGGTACAAATACTACAATATTTAATCCGAAAATTCTCAAAAACAAAGTGAATGGTTAAAGTAGTGTTAGAGTAACTTTCCAAGATATTAGAAAGTAAAAGAGTGGTTAATTAACTTCCACTTGAAATGAGAGAGTTCATGTTAGTTGAGTTTGTCTTGGTGCTAGACTTCCGGGTTCCCATAGTCAGCCACTTATACTTGAGGTGCTTACCTGAAAGCAAATTAACGTTTGCTTTGAGTTTGGGCCATCTCATCTAGTGTCGGGGGGTTTTTGCATTCGGAAGCCCATATGGTAAGATCAATTTTTAGATTACTTGGAAATTCTTTTGTAGCCCCTATATTTTTCACTCTTTCTTTTGTTTCATAATTGCAGGGCTGATAATACTGAAAAATTTCCATTGTTGATGATAGACATCTCAATAGGTGGAATAATTAGCCAAAAGATTTCGCTCTTATTGATCTTATTAGTCCTCTTAAAACTCCATCAGTATATGAGCAGTTTAAATTTTTATTTTTTTTCAGTACAAGTTGTACCAAAATCCAATATTCAAACAAAATGATTCTTGAAAACTTATCATTTAAAGTATATAGAAATTGAAAAATAATAATCACCATTGCATCCATGTCTAATAAACTTGCAAAATGGATTACAAATGAACCAAATTTGATACGGGAAATATAACAACAAGGCCCAAATTTTATATTCCTAACTAAGCCCGCTTTAGCCATATCCATCATAGCCCACATTCGATTATCGAAAACCAAACAAATACCTTTCTCTTAGCCCGTGTGGTCTAGTCAATTTGTGCGAGTGATGTGTCCTCATGACTTTCTTGACATTATTGCGTTTATCTTTTGACACCAAGGCTCCTTCTCCCGAAGTTATTTTGTAAATTAAGCTTTGACGCTTCCTCTGTATGTCATCAGTAAACATGAATCCATGTGTTCCCCTTAGTGTATTACTGTTAAATTGTGTCAAAAAAATTGTTTTGATTCCTGATTTTATTTTTGGCAATATGGAATCTCATTTATAACATCCACTTAATTTCATTTTGTTGTTATTAGTGCGACACAAATAATTATTATTTTTTTTTGAGAGGAATGGAGATACTAGTACAAGACTGTTCGGGACTGAGGCTGAAACGTGACGTTATTAACACATGTTATGCTGATAAGGTTAATGATATTTTTTTATAATATTGATATTAATTTAATCAACCACTCTAACGCCGGTCAACACAGAATTCACCAATTGTCAATCAGACGCATTATGTCACCCAAATCCAAGACATCTCTCTTTTGTCCTTTGCCATTTTTTTTGTGTTTTTCTAAAATGAAAATTGAAAAACAATTTGACATTATTTCGTACAAGAAAGAAACTGACAAGACACATGCCTAAGTGATAATGAAATTTTTTTTATTTTTAGTATAATATATTAAAAATAAAAATTCAAAATAGACAATAATTTATATACAAAAATTATTCAATTTAGAACAATAATTTTAAGACGAAGAAATACTGGTAATAAAGAATTTATAGGAATTTCTTATTTTTGTGCCTCGGCAACTTGTTAATTCATCCAGAAACTTCGGATAATGACGTGTTTTTGTTTTCATAATCCGATTCATGCAATTTATTCTACGTGCACGATTCATATGTCAAAATCTAATTATAGAAAGCCTTAAAAAAATTAACAAAGATGATTAAATTCATCGTTATTAATGGAGGTGGCTAATTTGTCAAAAAAAAATACTCCCTCCGTCCCATAATTATTGTCCACTTTGCCCAAAAAATTTTGTCCCAAAATTATTGTCCAATTTGACTTTTTATGGATCAAGTTACACATTTGTCCTTAGTAAAAAACATTATCCATAAAATCCTAGTAGTTAAACAATTACTTATGTAGGGGTATATCCGGTTGTTTAAGGTAAAATATAGTTAAGTTTGACCAAAAATAAAATTTTTCATTTTAGTAAAAGTGGACAATAATTATGGGACGGAGGGAGTAATAAATAAAGGAATCTTTTTGGGCAGCAAATTTGGACTCCCCCCTTAGCCATGATTATGTGGGGGCAATTTTGCAATACGCGTGAGTTTTGAACTGTTGGGGGCGTCTAAGGTGAGTGTTGCAGTATTCATTAGTGGCGTTGACTATTTTTTACCTAGTTCTCTCACTTTTAGTTAGCCATTTACGGGGCAATGATAAACGGGTTGAATATATTTAACTTGTAGACATTGACAGTGGATCCACCTTCTGGCTTTTAAGGTAAGAAGATCACTGATCAATTTTTATCGTCTTTCAGATTTTGGAAGGTAGTACTATTGAGTATTGGCTAATGACTAGTCAAGCAATTAATAGTGACATCATTGGACTATCTCAATAATTGTTTTTTAGTGAATTTGGCCAAACTCGCATACCAATAACGTATCACTACTTTTTTTAAGGTAAAATAATTATCATTTTGAATGTAGCGTTACAATCAGACAACGATGTAACATCTTTGCCAACACTTTCGTGTTACAATTTCTAAACATATTAGTTTAAAATTTGATACAAATCTAATCATCTATTATTTAGTTATAAAATGTTAGCAGTATTACTTATGTATAATTACTCAACTTAATCCATCAGCAAACCATGTATAGTGTTGAGAGTTTATAAGTAAACCTAACACGCCAATTATAGAGGATAAAGAAGTAACGAATAATGAAATTGTGTCCATACAAATGGCAAAAATATGTCAATTAAAAAAACTTTTTGGTAGCAGAGCAACCAAAATCTATTTACCATTTGCCATTGTGATAATATTTTCTTTACTTTTTGGCGTTACTTTTTCAAGCCACCAACTTTACTTCTTTCAGCCACAAATTTCTAATTTGAAACATTTTACCCTTGTCATTTTTGCAAATCGAATAACTTACTAGAGAGAAAAACTAAAAAAAAAAATTGAAAACTAAAAAAAAAATTAAAAAACCGACCGACCGTGCAATAAAACCGTTCCGAGTTAACCCGGACGCCCACCCTCTTATTTGCCCGAACGGGTTCATTGTACTCGGGACGGGCAAGGAACCCGTTCGGGCAAACAAGAGAGCGGGCGATCCACTTGTCCCCGGCTAACTCGGGACGGATTCATTGCACAGTCGGTCCCGGTTCGGTATGATATGATAAACCGGTTCGGTCAGGTCCCTTTTTTTTAAGTTTTAGATTTTTGTTATTTTTTTTTGTAATTAAAAAAATAACAATATTTGTTATTTAAAAAAATTTAAAAAAATAAAAGAAATAGAAATCGGATTCATTGTTTTTTTTAATTTTTAGATTTTTTGTCATTTTTTGTAATTAAAATATAGCAATATTTGTTATTTAAAAAATAAAAAAAATAGTAATCGGATTCATTGCTTTTTTTTTTAATTTTTAGATTTTTTTTTGTAATTAAAAAAATAGCAATATTTATTATTTTAAAAAATATAAAATTAAAAGAAATAGCAATCGGATTCATTGTTATTTTTTTAATTTTTATATTTTTTGTTATATTTTTTGTAATTAAAAAAATAAAAATATTTGTTATTTAAAAAAATATAAAAATTAAAAATAATAGCAATCGGATTCAATGCTATTTTTTTAAATTTTTTTTTAGATTTTTTGTTATTTTTTTGTAATTAGAAAATAGTAATATTTGTTATTTTAAAAAGTCTAAAAATTAAAAAAATAGCAATGGAGATCCATTGCTATTTTTTTAATTTTTAGATTTTTTTTAATTAATTAATCTAGTTTTTAGGTCATTAAAATCTTGCTTGGGTTGACTTGCCCGATTTGTCCGAGTGGCTTATTCTCTCTCTCTCCTCTTTTCCCTCTCTCTCTCCTTCAATTTAGTCTGGTTAAATAGCAGGGATAAAATAGTCAAAATTAAAAGTTCATGGCTGAAAGAACTAAAAATTGTGAGTGGAAAAATCCTGCCCCTACTTTTTTACCTCTTTTCTTCCGTACGGCCATTTCACAAGCTGGTCCTACAGTCTCCCTCCTTATTTAAACTTCTCATTAGCCTTTCCATTTTTTTCAGTTTAACCACCACTTTGGGTGGCATAGCCATTTCTCAGTGCAAAATCCGAGCTCAAAATGGCCGTGACGGACTTCTTCGCCGGCGAGATAGCCACCGAGCTACTCAAACAACTCATTACCATCTGCAAGAAATCAACCCTTTGCCGGACCACCGCCCAAGACCTCATCAATTCCATCCAAGACCTCCTCCCCATCATCCAAGAAATCAAATACTCCGGCGTCGAACTCCCACCGCAACGCCAGCGCCAGCTGGACCTTATCTCGGAGAAACTCCGATTTGGGCTCGAGCTCGCCGGAAAAGTCATCAAATCCCCTCGCTGGAACGTGTACAAGAATCTGCAATTGGCGCGGAAAATGGAGAAGCTCGAGAGGACGATATCTATGTTTGTGAATGGGCCTATGCAAGCCCACGTTCTCGCCGACGTGCATCACATGAGGTTTGATATGGTGGAGAGATTTGACCGAATTGACGGGTCAACGAGGAGATTGGAACAGAGTCTTGGAGCTATGAAGATTGGGGTGGTTGGAGATGAAAAGGGGTGGATTGGGGAAGCTGTGAAGAAAATTGAGGAGGAAAAAGAGATTTGCGGGCTGATGAATTTGGGTGCTGGGATGGAGCTTGGGAAGAGGAAGGTTAAAGAGATGTTGCTGGCGGATAAGGCAGATTTGGGTGTGATTGGGATTTTTGGGATTGGGGGAAGTGGAAAGACAACTTTAGCTAGAGAAATCTGCAGAGATGATCAAGTTAGAAGTAAGTCCCCTTTTTAATTACTTCTTTTTCCGTTTTCTTACTGTTTCTCAATTTCAAAGTTCCAAACTTTTTCTGTTCTGGAAAGTCCCTTTTAGTGTTGTTACATAGGAGTAGTAAATGAGCATACTATCTGTTTCTGCTATATGGAATTAAGTTGTTCTTTGTTGCAAGAATCTTAAAAATTGAAGAAAAATAGTTTAGTAAGTTTCATGATGTTTGTCCTTTCAGGCTACTTCAATGAGAGAGTGTTTTTCCTCACTGTATCCCAATCTCCTAATGTGGAGCAGCTGAGATCACAAATGTTGGAAATGATATGGAGGGATAAGATTGAAGGGTCTGGAGCTGTGATTCCCCAGTGGTGGGTACAAAATGAGGCCAAAACGGCTGCTCAAACACTAGTGGTTCTGGATGATGTTTGGTCGTTGTCTGTGCTTGAACAACTGATGCTTAGAGTTCCTGGTTGCAAATTCCTAGTAGTTTCGAGATTCAAGTTCCCCACGTCTGTTATCAACTGCACATACGAGCTAGAGCTCTTGAGGGAAGATGAAGCCATGTGCTTATTCTGCCACTACGCTTTCGGACAAACCTCCATTCCTCTTGGAATCAATAAGAATCTGGTCAAACAGGTAGGAGATGGTTTCTGTTTATTCTGAGTTTAGCTATTGCTTATTCTAGTGAGTTTAGCTATTGCTTATTCTAAGTCTGATGGAGTAAATATGAAACTGTCAGGTTGTTGATGAATGTAGAGGACTCCCCTTGGCTCTCAAGGTTATCGGAGCTTCTCTGCGGGACCAGCCTGAAATGTATTGGACTAGTGCCAAGAACAGGTTGACACGATGTCAACCTATATGTGAATCCCATGAGGTTCAATTGCTGAGGAGGATGAAGTTGAGTATTGATTGCTTGCCAGAGAAAGCCAGGCAGTGCTTCCTGGATTTAGGATCCTTCCCCGAGGATAAGAAAATCCCTCTTGAAATCCTCATTAACATGTGGGTTGAAGTACATGATATTGATGCACAAGAGGCTTTTGCAATTCTTGTCGAGCTTTCGAACAAAAATCTCCTGACTCTGGTGAAAGATGCTCGGTATGTAAACTTTTAGTGATTTAGAACAGATATATTTCTTGGTTCATTATTTAGCTAATCTGTAATATGTGATTAGAACGATTTTGTTCCACCAGAGACAAACTAATTGCTTCATCTTTGTTCATTTCTCAGGTCAGGGGACATTTATAGCACATATTATGAAATTTCTGTATCTCAACATGATGTACTGAGGGATCTAGCCATCCATTTGAGCAGCGTTGAGGACATCAACAAAAGGAGGCGATTGGTCATGCCAAGGAGAGAACAAGGGCTTCCGAAAGACTGGGAGAGAAATGCAGAGAATCCGTTCAATGCGCAAATCGTCTCAGTCTATACAGGTATATCATGTTTACTACTTATTGCATATTGCCATTGAATGGTAAAAATAGAGGATGATGGATTCACCTAGTTGACACTAAATAGACTTGTTTTTACTCCTGATAAGTTTCAGAAAGACTTTGTCTATTATGTCACGGTCAAGATGCCACTTTTTGTCTCTCCAGAATGGGGTTGGTCTAATTGCTGATATTCAACTTAATGATTTCAGGGAAAATGGAAGAGATGGACTGGTTCAAGATGGATTTTCCAAAAGCAGAAGTACTCATCTTAAATTTTTCTTCGGACGAATACTTCTTGCCTCCTTTCATTGACAACATGCCAAAGCTTCGAGCTCTCATTCTCATCAACTACTCGACTTCCAATGCAGTTTTACGGAATCTGTCAGCGTTTGGGAACTTAAACAACTTGAAAAGCCTCTGGTTGGAAAAGATATCTTTCCCTCAGTTCCCCAAAACGACGGCACCCCTAAAGAATCTTCAAAAGTTAGCAGTTGTTCTTTCTGATATCAACAACAACCTGGATCAATCAGTTATAGACATGCCATTTCTCTTTCCAAGACTCCTGGAGCTCGCGTTGGATCATTGTATCAATTTTTCGACATTACCTGCATCGCTATGCCAAATGCAATCACTCAGAAGCCTGAGCATCACCAACTGTGACACCATTCAGGAACTTCCAACAGATTTGGGCAAATTAAGTTCCTTGCAGATTTTACGGATATATGCGTGTCCAAACCTTAAATGGCTTCCTAGCGGGATCAGTCAACTCATTTGGCTGCAGTACATTGATATCTCCCAATGTGTGAACTTGGGATGTCTTCCTGAAGATATTGGTAACTGCAGGAGTCTGGAGAAGATTGACATGAGAGAATGCTCATTAATCAAGACTTTGCCAATGTCTGTCCAGTCTTTGCAATCTTTACAGCGCGTGATTTGTGATGAAGAGGTATCATGGTCGTGGAAAGACTTGGAAAAAAATGTACCAGGTCTTTGTGTTCAAGTTGCGGAGGAATGCTTTAATCTGGATTTCCTTTCCGAATGATGGCCCTTTTTAGTGCGTCGATTGGGTTGGTCATATAAATGATGTAAATTCTTCCAACACTTTGACGTCCATAACACTGGGGTAGGGAACACAGAATTTTAGAGTTAATATGCCTCATCAATGTACATATTAATGTAAATATCAAACCTCAATAGGTTTTCGCTACGGTATCAATCAAGTCCTTGATCACTATGCTCACTGTTTCAACGTTGATGAGATTTGAACTCTCGATCTATTTCAAAATAAACAGGATTAGGCTTAATCAATCACATCAATGCTCGTCAAAAAAGTTGACTTTGAATTGCATTTACAAACCCAAACTCCACGTTTTAAAATGCTAATATTATACTAATAAATGATATGATGACGTAATGGGAATTTGGAAGGATCCATGAGGGGGAAAGCAACATCACGTTAATCACGGTTCTTCAAATATTGAGTGCTAATGTGATGAGCAAAGTGTCTCAATCTTGGAGGTAGATTTCCTTTTTTGACAGATTGTAGAAGAATTCATGGAATCAGGCACTGAAAGATATACAAAAACGCGTGGACCCTCAAAACTACCATAATAGTACATAGGTTGCCACTTATAATCCCATCATTTTCACAAAGACTCGTGACAATGTCAAATTAGTTTTGCACTTCTTTTGATTCAGAAGTGTGAAAACTGAAGTTCAGGTTCTAGCTAATCTTCAAGTATGATGGAACCATTAACCTAACAAAGTGAATTTTTTTTTTAAAAAAAAAGCAATCAACTTACTATATTTTGATCAAGTGTTGAGTTTGGTGATTGACACACTTTTACATCCACTTGATAAAAGATTCTCTCCCAAGTCATCATGGAGCCCGTTGAAAGACTTTGGAGTGAAGATGGCCATTGATATCATCCAAACAGTGTCACTATAACACCTCATTGATGATTCATGATTGCGTTTCTTCCTTTTACTTTGACCCGGAAAGCAATTGAAATAGACCAGCCAACAAGCTGTACCATATATTACATATGGGCTGCTAAGATTGCCAAAACATAACAAAAAAGGCCACTCACAATAGGTATGAATCAGAATTTTTTTTTTAAAAAAAAAAAAGGAAAAAAGAAAACCCATGAAAATGATGGTTAATTCATAAATATCTTGGTCCAAATTGTGGGAATTGGCATGTTTTTGACTCGTGACTAATAATATATGGTCCATATTTCAGACGGGATCAATGGGATTTTTGGTCACTTTGTTCAAAACTAATTTACTAAAATCAATTTTCTTTTCTCACATCAACCTAAAAAATGTTAAAAAAGAAAGTGACCTCATTTTACTACAGTCTAACATGGTTCAAAAGGTATATGATTAGCGAGTTCAACAAGCACTAATGATATACAGAGCTTCTTCTTCTTCTTCACAAAAATCTTGATGGGATATACTCATTTATTCTAAGAGGATAGTTGTAAAACTCCTCATTTCTGCTGTCTCCATTCCGCTTCTGAAAGTGTGCTAGCCAAGGTATCCCTCTCTCGGCAGCCGTCTTCTTAGCTTCTAGGGTGTTATCGAGAAGCGTTGCAACAATGATTGCCACAGTAGGAGGTGACGAGAATATGGTATTCAGAATGTTGTTAAACTGCATGCATCAAGAAAGAATGTTATAACCACCACAAAAAAAAGGATAACATACACAGGATTAGTCGAGTGAATTAAACCAAAATGCAAAGATAACTCTTACCCATCCAGCAGCTGTTCTGACAGGTCCATGGCCATTGCCATCAGTGTTCATGATAAAGTACTGTGGTATCGATATCCCCAGGAACAACGAAATGCCTATTATGTAAATGTTGCGCATGGAGTTCGGGTTTGCAAATTGGATGAATGATATACCGGTCGCAGCTGTTCAAAAATCAATGTTATCATAAAACTATTCCCAGAAATAGAAGTGTAGAGGTTACAAAGACGCGCCAGTGCAACTTACCAACAATGGCATAAAGCACACAGTATATAGCAGCATAGATTGGTAAAGGAATTGATGCAAAGAAGGCCCCAAACTTTCCTGCAATGTAGATTAATAGTCACTTAAAAACCCTGCAACTGTAAAACTCAGAATTGACTAAAAAGAATGGCGCAACAACAGCTCTTGGGAGAAGTCAAACCAAATATTGAGAAGAATATCATGAATGCAGTTGATATCTCGACAACTCTTCTGCTCCCGACACGAGTAAGCCCAAGAAGACCAACATTTTCTCTGCAGTCAAGTCATTTTGAATGATCAGTTGAAATTTTGAAGCAAAACTTGGGACAACCCATAGCCTCATGGATGAGCTTATCAATGTCTAAATGAAAAAAGGTACTGATTCCTAATGAGACAAGCTTAATAAAGATTATCTGCAAAGCACATGTACTACTTCCTACAGGAAAAGAAATGCCCACGGCAACTCACAACAGTAAAGACCGGAAGAAAGAAAGGTTAAAAATGAAAATATAGAGAAAGAAAAACCCTTACATAGATGCTGTAGAACCAACCAAAGATCCAAAAATCCCATCTAGTAATTGACCAATGCCCTGGACAAACAAAACAAAATAACGAAGGTGCCATTAAGCACACCAGATTCCAATAGATTCATGTAGTCCTTGGTATGTACACATTCAACATTGTGGTAAAATTCAAAAAATAAAATAATAAAAGACATCGCCATGAGTGCTTTGTTTACCTGTAAACCAACACTTCGGCTCACAACATGTCCAGGAGGGATTGTAGCACCTGAAAGCCTGGCTGTAGCATAATATGCCCCAGTTGACTGCACTACTAAATCAAACTTCAGTCTAGAAACAATAATTGGAGACAATATATTACTGCAAGGAAATGCCCTTGCACAATACCTCTGCAGCTGAAACAAGTGAAGCCCCGATCATTCCAAACAAATGGGCTGCTCTGAATATTGGGGTTCCCCACTGGAAGGGGTATGGAATCTTGATCCTAAAGTATCACACACACCTTGTTCAGATTAAATTGTGGACGAAAGAAAAAAACACTTGCATTTACAGCATACCATGGAGCAGATGATATCAGGTAAGATCGGTCTGTACGACAACTAATCTTCGTATGCTCCCCAACGTTGTTGTAAGCACCGGCGGTAGTAAGAATGGCAGCAAAAGCCCAGACCAAACCAACACATAAGAGCAAAGCAAATCTCTCAAGTATCGCATTAGTGACCGGATGAATGCGTTGCAGATACTGCAGAGAAACAGTAAAATCAGAGATCTTTCCAGCTTACAATTTTGACAAACTCCAACAATAATGCTTACTTGTTGGCTGATGACCAGAAGAATCAGTGCAGGCAGGCCAATCTCCACACAGTTACCAAGCTACAGAAATCACCAACCATTCCAGTGAGAAATTATCTGGAAACGAAATCTGCATGACAACTTCTAGACAAAACTACCTGAGGGAAGCCTCTAGCAAACAAACCCAAACCGACCACACAGACCACTGGCACCAAAACAACGGCACTGAAATACCTGGAGAGAGGTCGGATGTTTTAAGCGTACTGTTGAAATAGCGAAAGGAGTACAGAGGAAAAAGGGGAAATTCAAACAACCAATAAAGAGAGGATCAGTTAAAAAAAGAAGTCTGGGTTGCTCACCTTGAAAGATGACCCCATGCCTTGCCATATCCGGTCACTATATTCAGAAATGATGAAATAATCATTGATCCTTGAATAGATCTCATAGTGTGAGAAAATCTCTACAAGCAAAAATAATGAGAGCAGTGAGAACATAGAAAATGATATTAAGCCAGCTTAAGTGAGCAAAAGAAATTAAAGCATGGATCTACTCTACTGATTGTACGAGGTCCTGGAGGCCGAGCCATTAAGGCCTAACCTACAGAGTCTTAACTAGTGTTCTCATAGATGATTCAACCCCTAATGATCTCTTAACTACTGTAGATGACGTATCAAACATGTGAAATGTTTAAAAGCAGAAAAATGGCCATTCTTCTGAAGACCAAAGACATTCAGAACTTGTCGATCATATTATAAATCTTGAGAAGTAAACAACAAAATGGCAAACAAACTAAGTTTTGACAAGATATATGGCATTCATAGTATGTACCACCAATTCTATGATGCTATATATTTGAACTTATAATCATGGTCAACATACAGCACCAAGGTCGGGTACGAAGTTTGAGAATCAATGTCATACCTCATGCTCATTGTTAAAGATGGTATCGTTGAAGTCATTTATGGCGTAGAGTACAGATAATGCAAAGGCAAAAGATGGACCCATTACTGTAGGAAGCCTTGTGCCAAACAAAGTCTGGAGAAGTGTATTTATTCCAGACATGAAAATCATCGACTGAATAACACGAGCTTTGTCACCCTGTTATACAAAAATTCAACGGGATTATGGGATATTCTTAATCAAAATTTGAACTTTGCGCATACTTAAAATTTAAAAAGATGCAAAATTAGAAAACTTACAGGGCCACCACCCATTCGAGGAACAAGGGCAGTTGCAATCAAGACTGCTGTTCCTAGCATAACAATGTAATGCTGAAAAGCCAAAAGGACTGTCTGGGCTGCATAATAATACAGGTTACAAGTTAAAACAAACCCCATAATCCAATTAGTCCTAAATAAAAGTTCAGCAGCTAAGAAAATCACAGAATTACCAGCAGATGACAGAAAAAAGAAAGAATAAAACAGAATACCATGAGAGCCCCAATGTAATTTTTAAGTTCAAAATGAGAAACATGTGAACCAAAGGCACGATTTTGATTCCAATACGAAAAGTAGAAACCATGTGTAACAAAGGCAAAATTAGTAATCACTCTGTCAAGCAGGAGGTCCCCAGAATTGGGAGAATTAAGAATAAACAAACACCCTTTTCAATCTCAATCCAACAAAAGCCAAAGAGCCGACCACCAAAAGGCGAATCTTTACATGAAAAAAACGCATGCAATTAAAAAAGGCTACACCCTTTTCCCTAATTTTTAACTAAAAGCTTTCACTGAACAACATCATATACAAGGAGAAATCAATGCCAAGATTTGAGTAGTAGGAAATACTGGAAAAAAAAAAAAGGAGAAGAGAGAAAACAACTCACGCCATGAAGGATTGGAGTGGATGCAGTAGTGAAGCTGCCCCAGTTGCTCCGCAGGCGGATACGTGGGACCTTTTGAAGCACCAAGCGGTTGAGATGGTCCCGGAGGTGGCCGTGGAGGCGGTGGCTGGGGGTTCTGGTTTCCCGTTTCCACCATTTTTCCTCTGTTTTTTCTCTTACCAGAAATGAAGAAACTTTTCCAGTTCCAAAGCAACTCGAAAAAGTGTTCCAAACCCTTTGATATTCCCGAGAATCAGAAACGGCACCGACACCAATACTATTCAGTCTTCACACAAACTGAAGAACTATTATTACTATTATTCTACGAATTTAAGAAATGCTTGTTCAGGCTTAAAATCCCAGGTAAGTTACTAGTAGTACCTACCTAATAAGTACTAAAGTATGTATGTTTTATCTTTTCCTTTTAAGTACACTGGGAATTTAAATTTTGGAACTTTCTTTCTTATTGTTGAGAAATTTAAAAGGAGGGGCTTTAAATTAATACAGATCAGATCAGCTTAGTGGGCATTTTTTCTGACGCAATGAAAAAATGGGGCAGAAAAAACAGAGGAAGAGACTCTGAAAGAAAAAATTAGGGACTTGGGATTACGCTAAGGTTATGTCCATTTCGAGGAATGTAATGCATGGGCTAGCTAACTCAGGGGATTGTGATGGACGCGTGGGTCCGCGAATATCGAGGTCATTTTCCTCATCAAACACCACTCCACCCTTTTCTTATTACGCTCTTGCCATTTATATGTCTTTTAAACCCGTCCCAGAGTAATAATTATTCTAATTTAACGTGACAAACGTTATAACTATTCGAATATTAGTTACAGTATTGATATGTTTGTGGTGTTTTATGCACGCATCTTATCTCGTTGAATGGGAGTTCCAGTCTCCTTAAGTAAAAAATATCGCATAATTCTTTTTTCCTTAATAACAAAGTAGGAAGTGAATTCCCGGATTGACTGCCAGCTACAAGAACAATAGCCAAAATGCATGGTGAAATTTCCTAGTAAGATGTCTGCCATTAATTACCGTGAAAAAAAATAGTGAGTCCTGTCAAATTCATGATCTTATCTTATATACCCCACTCCCTAATAATTTTTGCCAACCTTTTTTCGGATATACTTCCCCATTCCTTCCACCACCCCAGGGCCACCGTCCTCTCCATCACCTTTTCTCCATGTATTAGTAAAAATACGTAGAAATTTCAGTAAAACAAGATATATTAGTTAATTCATTTTTATATTTGATTCTAAAGTATTATAATGTCATTATTATATTTTGTTTCATTTCTAATGAAATTTTTTGATTCTGTCAACTGGTAATGACTGTGCTACTTAACGTTAGTTCAACTGTACTTAGGTACTAGTATTAGCATGACACGAACCAGATTCGATGGCATTGACTTGTAATTAAACCGTAGATGGGGTGCCAAGTTTACGTAAAGTAATACTGAATTCCAGAATGGGGTCTCAGTTGGCATTTTTTTTTAATGTTTTGTTTTTTTTTTGCTTATTTTTCCGTTTTGAGGATTTAAAACTTCGCGCCAGCACGTGAAAGCAGCGTGGTTTGTGGGGTCAAGCTTCCTTTGAATCTATTTGCATTTGTACTTGCGTAGTTTACTAATGTACACAAATGTAGTACCTTAATTTGTTAACTATTGCCTCAACCCCTCCGGTCAAACTGCCCCAATCTGAGTGTCAAGTTTTACTGTATTTTTTGGAATGTCACAACTCTAGCTTTCAATGGAAAATGCAATGTTAATCTGTAAATGCCAAATACAACAACGGGAAAACTGAATGATGAATGATGTTCGATGTTCAGGTACTATGCCGGAAAACATGCATAATAGTACATCTGACAATATCTACCTAGGTAGCTACCACTACAACTTCAACTATAAGTGTAACGCCAAGCTAGTAAAACTGAAGAGAGCAACTGTATGTAAAGCCAAGGATAAAAGAGTTTGGCATCTTGTAAGATACTGAAACTAAGCCATAATTCGGATTAAGACACAGTGGGATTAAGCACACTACCTACAAACTGCACCACCCTGGTCATGTCTTCTCTGATGACGAAAAGGAATGGATGATCAGCAACAAAATCAGGTTTATCTATGAGTACTAATTCACGCAGCATAACCACCCCTGCACTTGAAGACCCTGCTTCTGTACCTTCTTCATTAACCTCAATGAAGGATTTGTGGAAAATGTTGGAAACAAAAAGGTTGCGACCAACAGGGGAGTCCACAATTTCAGAGAGTCCTCCATCAGAAAAAGGTAAGGTCAGCCCTAGATCTTTCAGAGTTTTTGATGCATCAAAACCAAACGACATCTTAAACTTAGGGATGAGGAAATCTCCAACTTCTACTTTCCTACGAGGAAGATGACGGTCTATGAATCCAGGTTGAGAATCAAGTTTCTCTACCAAAGCTCGCAGACCATCCTTGGCATCTGGGAGGAAGAAATACATGGAGAAACGACGCTTGTCCTCACCTTGTTTGTAAGGAAGGCACAACACTTTGAAGTCATCATAGGTGCTTACATACTGTTCTTTCTCGCTGGTCATGAATGGTGCTTAAATTTTGCTGCCATTTAAGAGGTGGAAATCATGCTCTTTGGTCTTTGATGCATCATACTTCTCATCCCAAGCTCCTTTGAAATACAGAGCATTTGCAAATATCAGCCTTGCTGTACTGTCCACAGAACCAGGAGGAAGAATGTCTTTGATATGGCCATTTGTTCCTTTTTCCGCCCATGCATTCACTTCATTGGTCACCTCCACAGCCTTCAACATTAATGCCGCGAATGACAAAAATCAGCATATATATATATATATATATATATATATATATATATTAAAAAACAACCTTCAGAAATCAGATAATAGTCTTCGTCATTGTTTCACTTAAAACTGTTTTGTTATTCTATACAAATGATGACGGGGCGGGGAGAAATATGTCTCCATGAGCAGACCAAGAGGATGCTTACAAGCAAAAAATTAACAACTGCCATACGTACTAAATCTATGATGCGATGACTGCGAATAACTAATTTATTTTCTGATGAAGATTCACAAAACAATACCAAACTCCTATTTGATGCATGTTATTGACTTGTAAAACTCCATTTACGGCAGATCAACCACCAATCGAAATCTAATCAACCCACAACAGTGATGGTAAAGGAAAAAACATCAAATAACCAATCAAAGTAAGTCCTTGTGGACAAACCAAAAAAGTTGATCATTCGCATTAGGAAACCAAGTTAAGAAATGCAGATAATCCCTGGAAAAGCCTAACCATACTACCCTACGCCATTAGGTGCAAAACCAAGTCTTAAGGATAACAGAAAATGTAAGCTTCAACCAAAGGACAAAAAACGAAATGGTAAGCTTCAATTAAAGGACAAAGGGAGTTGTCAATGACTACAAGGAATTCATAAAGCATTAAATTTAAAAGGATTCCCAACTCTATAACTTTTTCAACCTCTCCAAATTTCAGTAATTTGGGATTTCTAATAACTCCAACAAGGACAAATCCGATCCGGTGATCATCCTCAAACCGCTGATGTCGCACAGTCAGTACTGGATAATAATCTTAACACACGAAGAAATAGAGCTAATATAGCAAAGATAACAACTTTACAAAATATTAATAGAGAAGTATCACATATAATAACTCCCAATTGACCAATGACAAAAAGGGGGAAAGATTGGAACTGATAAGTAACAGTATGAAGCGTCAAAAAGATTTAAACAGAAAAGAATCTCGAACTTGATTACTGAAAACCTCTGTAAGTACCTTATGTTGAAAATCAACTTGTTTGGAAGCAGCCTTGTAAACATCATCCACGACCTTATTGAAGGAGGGTTTAAAAGACAAGGACTGATCAATCCAAACCCCATTAGCAAACGACAAGAGGGGTCCACCGGAGGGGCTACCGTCGGCGAGTACGGCGGTGACAAGCTGAGATGACAGAGAGTTGAGGTCGTCGGTGGATTTGGAGTTGAGGAAAGAGAGGAGCTGGTCTTTCGTAGGGCCGTCGGATCCGGCGGCGATCAGGCCCAATACCACGTGCAGTGACAGTGGCGAGAACACGGAATTCGTCTCCTTGGCTTCCGTCAATATCACTCGCTTGGCCAGTGTTAAGGAGACGTCGTTTTGGCTGCTGATCAAATCTCGGACGTCCATTGTTTTGGAGCAGGGAACTGTTTCTCTTTTTTTCTAGAGGACTGAATGAAGTAAAAAGATTGTGTGAATGGGAAATGGCAAATGCTGTGTTTATCGGGAGTCCAGAGTGTAATTACCTCAAAATTAATTACTCCATCCATTTCTTTTCAAATAAACCCACCTAAACATACACGGAGATTAAAAAAAAGTGGATAATGTAGTTTATGTAGTTAATTTTAAATGAACTTCTTACTACACCCTTATTTTTGACTAGTGAGTTATTAGTTGATATAAGAGAGTAATAGTTGAAATTAATTAAATGATCTTGATTTCAGTAAAAGTGGGAAGGATATATTAGAGAGTTTATAGAAAAAAATTAATTTGTCTAAAGTTGGACTAAAATTTTGAAACATCCTAAAAGAAAAGTGAGTCTATTGAAAAGAAATGGACGGAGTAATACATATACGGATCTTTGTAATTTTCTTTGTACAGTAATAACTATTGCTTTGCAATAGCAAACCCCAGTTAAAAAATTAATTAAATATAGAATAACTCAACATTCACTATATAAAAGAGTCAGGCACGAGTGCATTGGATTGGACGTACTTGTGGAAAGATTGCACGTTTATGTGTAGAAAAGGACCATGAAAATCAACTCAAAAGCAAATCAAGATATTGAAATAGTATAGCAAGCACTTGGTCTGAATGGTAAATGTATTGGCTCAGTTTAATTATGAAATTATGATTCAGGGATCAAACTCGGACATTAGCATATAACAGTGATTAATTACAAAAGAGACCTCGAATATAGATTTGTCGAAACAATGATTTCGGACATCTAATACCATAATATATCCAAAAAATATATATATATCGTGAGAACGTAACAAGTACATAGTGTTATGTAAATGACAAACATAGTACAAACAGTTGAACTCTTTTTTGCAATGAAATATACTTTGGTGGGAAGCATCCGCCAATAGTAGAGTAGCATTGTACAGATCAGAATCTAAATAACGTGATTATTGAAATAGTGACGACTATTTTTTAAGACCTATATACACAACAATTACAACCCAAGATAGCTGACGAGTCCAAATTAGTACGGCACGTGACTAGGCCGGCCCAAGTTCGGTAAAAGGTCCAACCGGTCTCCGGAAGCTTCTAGGTCGGTTTCTAATTACTTTCCTACCAAGAAAGCGTTTTATAACCTAACTCTATAAATAGGGATCAACCCTCACGGTTAAAGGTACGCTTTATGCACCCGATTTACACCCCTATTACAATTACTCTTACAGATTTAAGCATCGGAGAGTCTACCCTCTGGAGACCCCGAAGCTCTATCTTGCAAGTTTTAAGGTTTCATAGCCGCCATGGCCGCCGGATTCAATCCACTGGAGACGTCAGTACAATTCTATCCTTCGTCAAGTGGCACGTCCAGTGGGACCCGAAAAAGGTTTTCCTTGCAGCAATTCTTCTTGATTCGGAAGGAAGGATGGACTGAATGTCTTCCCCTAATCACCTTCGACGGTCATACAACATGATTATACTTGATTAATCATCAGCCTGGTAAGTCGTCGTTTACGACATACTCATGATGACCAGGTTAGTTTCAAAGACAAAAACTACTTGGATGCTATCAATGATAACAATTTCAGGTTTCTGGCTTAAGACCAATACTTTGTTACGACAGACTCATTATATGCATGATTTGAAATTGAATTTGTGTCCGATGAACAATATTTTGTAGAAACCATGACATAGAAGGGTTTATTTGGTCTTGATTATATGATTAATACATACGGTTAGCTATTGTGAATATTCTTTCAAGCTACACCATGATATATAAAAAATTTATACTTTAATTCCTCTCATGACCAACCTTCTTTTTATGTCCCAATCTGGTTGTTAATTCATGATGAATCAAAAGCACCTAGTTAATGACATACACATGCATAAGCCCTTTAGAGTTTGGGGCGTTTTGTTTTTTTTGGGGGAATTTTGGGTGCATCAATCAGCGCTCGGGGAGCTATTATTGTTAATGAACCGCAAACTACAAGTGCTTGACATGTCTCAACAATTAACTTCGAGATGGACTACAAAGGCAGCGACGACAATCTCCTCCAATATTCTGTCCGGAGTAATTCGGGTAGTGCCCAAGTTCGACGCATCCCATGCATACGCCAAGGTTCTGTCCGGAGTAATTCGGGTAGTGCCCAAGTTCGACGCATCCCATGCATACGCCAAGGTTCTGGTTTTATGTTTCATTGTTTAATCAATTGAACTTGCTCAACAAAGGTAATCGAAACTTTTTATTATCCTAACATGAGGATTGTAAAAATCATTTTTATTTTCTAATTTCCTTGGATCGGGGAGAAGAACAGTAAAAATCCAATAAACACTAGAGTTGATTCACACCTGTTTTGTAGTCTTATTATCATTAACTACGTCCGTAAGCATCGATTGAATTAATATTTTTGATCAAAATTCTAATGCTGGCTAACTCTTTGGAGATTAATAATTTGTTAAGGACATGAGGAAGACAAATCCCTAGAACTTAGGTGACCGAGGAGTAGGCAGTTCACTTTTATTGGCATTATATCTCATTTTGTTAATAATTCTTGTCGAAGTTCATCAAAGCTGGCTTCAAGGTTCAGCTTTCGAGATGAAAATCTCTCCTCGCAGCTCATTCAATCCGGCCTGAGTTTGGCCAACTAACATGGGCAAAGTCCAGGTAACTTCGGTATTTTCGTGATGAATGTCTTTCTCGATATAAAACAACAAATTTGCTCATTTTCTTTTGGCATGCATAATCAAAGTAATACTTCCTCGAAGAAAAATTTGATAATACATTCAAATTCTTTACTTGGGTTGGATAAATTAAAGATACCTTATCTTTATTTTTATTCTTTGGGGTGTATATATGCCATATACATATCTTGATATGTTAAAAGACTTCAACTTCTTCTGAGAGTATAAAACTTATTTAGCATTAAATATGATACTTTCCAACTTTGTTGAACTATATTTGTGTATGTGCAATAATCATTTCTTGCCTTCTTGCACGGGAGAAAGCCCAAAACTCACCCATAAATACTTTGATGGTTATTGTCCTATTCTTGTGATTTAGAAACATAGAATAGTCCTTACAACACAAAGCTGCTCGGTTTCATCAGGCTGATGCTCGAACATCACTATAATATTTTACAGATTATATGCTAATCTCTCGATCTCTCTGTTTCGATATTTTTATTATATGTATTAGACAGGCCAGGAAGGGGCAACTAGGCCGAACATGGCCACTGCACATGAAATCTCAAAGCTTCAGTTTACTAAGCTTTATTCTACCTCTGCGTCAAGGAGGCATTTAGATCATGTGATGATCTAAGCTGGAAATGAGTTAAAGTCGATAAGCAAGAAATGGGTCAAGCAGTTTCTCGAAATTAATGATCAATTAACAACAGCACCTGAGCAGTAATGGCAAAAATTCACGCCCTATCGAGGAAAAACTTAATATATTTCACAGTCTTATAATTCATTTCTTATTAATTATATTTGTTATGATCTTCCCCTTCAAGACTGTATAATTTTGCAGATTATCCTTCTCAATTTCAAAGGAAGTGGTAATCCGATACTGGTGTCAAGACACATTTTTTCAACGGGACAAGCATCCCTTCAACAACGTACTATTACTAGGAATATCCGAGATGGCGTATCTTGACATCCAACCATTAATACAAAAATACTAGGAGCATAGCTTCCTCGAGACTTGAATATAAGGTTGTTCAATGTCATTCGGAAGTGCAGGCTAGACCACCTCTTCCTACATAATTACATAAGACAGAGGCCCTAATGACAGCTATGCAAGCATAGCTCGATTTTTTGCGGGACCGAGGGCGCATATAGCCCTAGGACAAGAGTGGAGATAATCTCACCGACTAGTTTGAAAAGAGATAAGTAGCCCTAAACTTACTCGTGCTATATGTTTAACCGGACTTCTATAACAAATGCATTTCTGGTTATCTTCTGTAAATAACATGTTAAACATGTGTGCCTCCCTTGAGGTAATCTAACGAAATGTGTACAGTTACAATAACATACCCGAGTGTGGCACAGTTGTACTACTTGATTTTGCAAGTCTTACAATAATTCAATTCGAGGAGCATCCTTCTCGAATCACGAAGCAACCCATTCCAAGGGACAATGACCTGCTCGAAAAGGGAGATAAGTGTTACTATCTCCTTGGATAAATGGTATATCACATAGACCATAAATCAAAACCTGGAATTAAGGAATAATCAACTGAGTTAATCGTTAACTTATTCTTCATACATGTCATGTGTGAATTTGCTAGTTTTTGTATTATCAACCATTACCTAGCCCTCACCTGCATCAAACCTTAAGATAAAATAATAGTCATGAAACATATGCTTTCTCGAAGAAAGTTTAGATGCTATTTGCGATCTAGTCCTTGATCATAGCACATCATGTTGTTTGCCTTCATACTTCTCAAAAAGTTGTTAATCCATGATCTTGAGAACACCAATGTAAAGCTTTTTACGCATACTTGATTTTTGGGAGAACTTTTTCTTATTTTTGCCGAACTTACAAAATCGTGAGACGAAGATAGCTACATTTGGTTGAAGATTGAGTGGTTGAAAGTCGACAACGGGGCGGCAACGGGGGCTAAAAAGCTCCGATTTCTTTCACCGTCTGCAAATTTCGAGGCGGGGGAACAGCTGATGTTTGTGCGGAGATCATGAAGGCTGCTTGTCATTCTGATTATCGTATTTTGTCCCCAATTGATGTATTCATCTGTTGTTTAAGTTCTGGGGTTTTAAATTTATTCTATATCCCATCATATTCTGTACTCTGAACTGTTAAATCTTGAAACTTGTAAAAGCTCCTACAGGATTGAAACCTACGGGATTTTCAGCACTTCAGAGGACCTGTTGGCAATCTTTTTCAGAGATAATGGCTATGATCTTTGATTTTGTTTCAGATTCCGTTGTGTTATACAT